CAACTATTTTGTGTTCTTGGGTTTTGGGACTGGTTTGCTCCTTGTCATTCCATTCTGGCTTGCCTTTGGCTTTTCCCGATTCGCTCGCCTTACTGGTATCAGGTAGAGTATCTTCTTTCTCACCCCAATGATGGTTCGCGTCAGGAACCTGTCTAGCCAGGGAACGCGGTTCGCCGCAAACCCCGCCACCAGTGTCACCCTGTTTAGGGAGATGCGTGTGGAAGAAGCCTACGATATGGAGCTCTCTTTTCTTCGGAAAAAAGTCTCTGATAGACCATTATGGTCCATGGCAATCGTTTGCGCTACAGGCACCCTCGATCGCACGTCCCCCCGATGTCTTGGCCAATGTGCAGACCCTTTTACCTCGCCCCCACCCCCGTCTACGAGCCTCGGTATTGGCATCTTAACTTTCGGGTACGACCCGCAACCTTTCAGGTACGCCCTGCTATTCTCTGGGTATACGCCCGTCTTGCTCGAGTTTACGTTGCGTCTTTCGGATACAGCCCGCTCGTTCGTCCCATGTCCCTCCCGTCGTTGAGATCGGCCCCGTTGCCTTTGAGATTATCGACATGCGGACTTGTACTACAGGGAACGTTTACGTAGCCCCGTCGCCACTGTCACTCCTTTCGGAGGTTGACGAGAGCGGAAGAAGCCAACAGATATTGAGTTTTCCCTTGAGGATTTCTCTGATAGGCCGCTATGGCCCCTGGCTCAACTTGCATACAAGCACCCGGCTCCATCCGCGTGGGTCCTCTGCTATGGCATGGCCTAGAGACGCGAGAGTCCATGAGCGGACAACAGGATCTTGATCACATTCTCCGCTCATGGACACCCCTTGGAATGATCCATTCGTGGATCGTTCCTTTTCGTGGACTGCCCTGTGGATTGTTCCATTCGTGGACTTCCCCTGTGGCACCTTTTCGTGGACCGCCCTTTGGGCACTTTCGTGGACCGCCCTCATGGGCAACCCTTATCGTGTTTTGCCCTTGTGGCACATCGTGGATACCTTATCGTATCGCCGCCCTCACGGGCAACCTATCGTGTTTACCGCCAACACTCGTTCAACCGACCTCTCATGTCGGGACCGTAGTACGGCATCTGGCTTTTGACCTCATCTCCTCCGACACAGGCTCGGTCTAGAGATGGACGTCATTAGCTTTTTCCGTGGTTACTTTTGCGGACGGAGGCGTTTTCCGATCCCTTGGCGGAGCGTCATCCATTTGCTCGCTTTTAGTAACCGCGTTGTAGCGGATGCAAGACTGCTAGCGTGGACCTCGTCAACACCTCGTTGACCAGGGAGGAAGCGCGAAACGTCTGCGGTGCGGTGTTTTCGTCGGTCGACTCTGAGACTGGCTTATTCGCCGCATCTTTAGCGGGGCAGGCTGCTAAGCATACTCGACTACGCACTACAGTCAAGGTTGCAGAAATGTCTGTTTGGAGAAGAACGGATCGCACATTGACAAGATTTTGGCAGGCGATCGCAAGAGGTGGATGGGCGGTAGAAGTCGGACCCTTGCGCCTCCTCGTCGGTGCCGCCTGGATAGTCGACTATGTCTTTCTTTTGAGTGCATGGGAGTGCATGGGAAGACATGGGAGATGAACTAGATGCTTGGGACGCAAAATGAGTCACGATCGATTGAGGTTTCTGCTGGGGCAGAAGCCTCCCTCGTGTGGTGGCGGTGCTGAGACGACCATGTGATGACTGGTAACGACCACGGTTATTCCGCAGACTACCCTGCCAATAGCGTGAATCGTTTACTCCGTATCACGATAAGTTGGTTGCTCGGCATCGGCGCGCGCTGAAACGAGCTACGATTTGTGTTCTCGATGGAATAGCTAGAGATGTTTTCCGGCGGTTTTTTGTCACAAAATCTCCAACAAGAGTTAGCTTAACCCCATTGGAGTGGTTCAGGTAGCTAGTAGCGGTTGACGAGGTCGTGAATGCACTTGGTGGCAGAATGGATGCTGTTGATAGGTCTCCTTGCTATTCCTTTTACACTGGACTTGGTTGCCTAAATCCCCCAGGTGAGTTCTCATTCTTGACTTGTTGTTGTTGGTGTTGGTGTTGGCATTGCTGTTGCTGACCTTGTTTGGTTCTCAGTGAGCTATTGGAACGGCTCGCCTCCGTCTCCTCCTGCTCCTCTGGACGATGTACGGCAACGAACACGAAGTCTTGCAGCGCAAGCTGCCCCACACGAATAAAACCACGAGGCAAAGTAGGCCCTCCCTTACCTTCTAACACGAATGGCTTTAGACGATTGATTGGCTGGGAGCCGAAGCGAGTCACGAATGGTTTTGAACAACGAATTGCTGGAGGAGTACCTCTAGCTGCAATCCACGATATCTCCAATGGGCGGCCAATGCTCATGGGACATATCGTGGACTGCAGCTGAAGTTACTTCTCCAGCAATTTGTTGTTTAAAACCATTCGTAGTTTGTTTCAGGTATCGAACGGTGGTAGGCACCGTGAGCACCTGAGGATAAAATGCTGAGCTGAAGAGCACAATGATAAGAATTGTGCTCTTCAGCTCAGCATTTAGTCTGAGATAGAAAATTTACGTAAATACCTTCCCACGTCATAATAGTAACACACTAAATCCAAATCTACCTTGCCATCCTCATGCCTTTCAGTATTTCCATGCTCACAATAGTGTTATATCATTGCTGAACCATGTCTTGTAGGTTATACAAGGGAGTTGCTGACCTGTTGCCTCGATAGGTGAGAGCGGATGATACAGATTGCTGACGCAATGAACTCTGGTGCAGTCGTCTGGTAGCTATTCAAGCGACAAGCGAGATAAAGTAAGGTATGTTAAAGTGGCCTAGCGTTTGAGAACGTGATGATGACATCTGCGCCAATGTGAAGATACGGACATCTACTGTGCATCACCCTCCATCCATATCTACAAAGTCCTGCATACTCAAAGAGAAGGCATCATCTACTTCCTCAAACATCCCTTCCTTGGAAGTTTCCAGTGCTACAAATGGCTGTTTATCCGCCGCGGATGTCACATCGGTGAGGGTGTCCCTCAGCACATTATGTAAGTGGGTATTCACAAACCCGCTCCACATCGCCGTTAGTCTACTATCATCACAGTGAGCTCTAACAGCTGCGTCCAGTTTGGCAGGTAAGATACGAAGGAGTTGCCTCGAGAATTTGTCGACAGCCTGTTTTTGCGTTGATACACCATTCCGGTAGTGATGAGGGAGTAACGTGCGTTCTGTATCGACGTACGGCAATGCCATGTCTTCCTTCTCGGCGTCTGGGAAGAGAGTTTGATAAATTTCACGCCATCGCTCAACTTCTGGCTTCCCTATTTTGCCTTTCTTGGATCTTATCGTCTCAAAGGTCGAGTGCGATATACCCCAGAAATCAGGTCTTGGGTTTGTGAGAAGCTGGCACGGCTGAGTGTTTCGCTGATGGGCGGCTAGACTCTCTTTTCCTGCTGCTTTGCCGAAGAATGTATCACCACATCGTGAGCAGGCGTGGTAGAGGTGCACACGCTCAAGGTGTTGTTTTAGTCGGTTAATGCCGAGAGAACCTGGTCCGGCGCAGGAGTCGTGATTGCAGAGGTAGGGGTTGCGTACGTAGAAAGGGCATGCGAGACCGGGTTCGAGGGTGTTTAGACGACGACGTCGGGTTCTCTTACAGGGTGGTGGCTTTGAATGGTCGCGGCTGGTAGCTACGGTAGGTGTTGTTCGATGGTCAAATTTGTTTGAGCGTTTGCGCGATGTGGCGTCTGCTCTGGATGTGTTACATGAACCGCCGTAACCGCTGTCGAAATTCCGCAGTATCTCCTCGCTGAAAGTAGACGTTGCCAGACTGTCTGCTGTGACAGATTCTGTTGATGTTGACTCCTCGCTTGGGAGACTCGTCATGGCTTCGGTATCGCTACGGAGACGTGCAGCGAACGGCCCGTCGATGTTGTATGATTCTGGAACTCCTCGCTGGCGTTGGGCGTTGGAATCCGCTGTACCACCTATCAAGCTATCATATCCAATAGAATGTATAGACATGAGCCCATTGATACCGTCGAGCTCGCTAGGTACCACTACATCATCCAACAGTTCGTCCTGGAGAAAGGGTTCAGAGAGTGCCAGGTTATTTTGAACTGCAGAGACCAAATCATCCGTCGCAAAGGTTGTCCCAGAACTCTCCGCTACTGGTACTCCATCACAAACAACACGCGAAGTCTCAAAAGTCTCTTCGTGTTCTATGGCGTTTTGAACTCCATGTTGGAATATCGAAGGATTTTGAAAGGCGTATTTTTTCCAGAAATTACTGTAATCGCACATCGAACATGCAGCCCAGAGCGAGACACGATTCTCGGAGAAAAGGCATTGGCAACATGTCCACATGCGCACATATTGACCATATCCATTCACCCGCGAGTAAATCACACTCTCTATACAATGGTCGCATCGCCAGTGTGCACCTCCGGGTTGAAAGATGCTGTGGTTCGAGTAGTGGTTCTTCGAGCCTTGAGAAGCTGCAGTTGGTATCGTGTCGTCGGACACTTGTGTGAAGTCGAACGTATCAAAAGAAGGTTCCATAGTAGTGGGTTCCGGTACTCGCAATCGTGTCAGATTGTACAGTCCCGAGAGTTGACGAGGAGGCCATGTTCCCATACGATCAGCGCGTTCTCCATAGATAATATGTGTTGAAGTCTGGAGTCGCTTTTGTGGAACGCGCAAAGTTGCGCACATGTGCAGCTATGAGACTTTGCGCGTAGGGCCACTTGCAGGTGGCAGGTGCTTCGTGCATGACGCATATAAGCAGAAACGTGTACCAATCAGGAAGCGTGGTCTGGAGCTGCAAGGCTGGTGGGTAAGGATCATCTCGATGTATCGACTAAGCAATTGGTCGGATACTGGCTTCTTCGATGGGGTATGAGGGTGTTCTCACTTCTTAGTATGACAAGAGAGGTATGGTGGGAGTTTGAAGCGTCGCATGTCTAAAGAAAGCACCTGGTGATCAAACGATTGTTGCGACCTTCCATACCGAGGGCTGACTATCTGTGAAAAGAACTCTGACTTTACTTTGATAACAACGCAACGACTGATTCTCATCATTTGTTCTGATTTTGATCGAGTGCCCCAGCTTGATTCGGAGTGGCGGCGCATGGACAGTCCGTCACAAGGCTGAAAACGCCACGATGCGTGATGTCTACACAGCCCCGCGTCAGCCCTGGACGTCAACAGAGGGTCGTCTGCCTAAACCACATCACCGTTGCACGAAGATCACCTCCAGTACTTTAAGAGTACTTAGAGCAGCGAAACTTCAATATTGCATGCGATGAGCGAACGAGAAGCGACATGTCAGAGTCATCTGAGTGCTGACCCAATCGTCAAAGAGTCGTTTGAGGCACGTCTTGAGCGACCGACAGAGCCCGAAATCTACAAGCACCAGCGTCTGGATACTTCCACGGATGAGATACGCCTCCTGAAACTTGTCCAAGAGACAAACGGTCCTGTACGCTGCGAAGTCAAAGTCTTTCCGTTCGAACGCGCCCCGAAATACTTTGCGCTATCCTATCGATGGGGCCCGTCTTCGCCCTTATGCGATCTCTATATTGAGGGCAAAAAGCTCAAAATACGGGATATACTTTATTCATGCTTACTGGAGTTACGAGAAGATTTGGAGGAATGGCTATGGATCGATCAGATTTGCGTTGCTCAGGCAGATACCTTGGAGCGAAATCATCAGGTCGGAATGATGTCACACATTTATCGCAACAGCATTTCTGTTATCATCTGGATGGGCGACATTCCCTTGGCAGCGCCCGAGGAACATGATCGTTATAATGATTTGGACCTCGATGTTGTATCGGCAAGGGTGTTGCTGAAGAACACATATTTCACAAGGTTGTGGATAGTACAAGAAATATTGCTTGCCGACAATGTCGAGATTCGTATCAACGGGCACCGTTATGTCACGTGGGACAGGTTCCAAAGCTTACGTATAACACAAACAGAACTCCATGATGTATCTTTCAGAAACATACCTCTGTTTCTCCTGGCATTTACACAACGCGAGCAGAAAGCAGTGGATTTACGGCGACAAATGTCGCTGATGCATTACGTCTGGTGCTTTTACGAAGGGAAATGCGAGAACCCACGAGACAAAGTGTATGGCCTGATGGGTATGGTACGCAAAGAAGACGGGGTAGTGGTAGACTATAGAAAGAGCGTTATGGAAGTGTATCTGGACTTTGTTGGAATCAGCATCAATAAAGGATTTGCAAGGGTCTTCAGTACGCAGCGGGAACGGTTCGAAGGCCCTGCGATACATTACTTTGAGTTGGGAAGATTGATGGGCATCGGATCTGATGTATTACGCGGTGTTCTGCGACTGATGATGAACCGTTTCACTGTTCACAGGAATGACATAGTAACAGCTATTGGATTAGAAAAAGCAGGCCAAACGCATGAGCAGCATAATTGGTGGTACGAGTGTAATGGTGAGAGGCATCTCTTTTCTTGCCGGCCTCTATCTGATTCGGAAATTTCAACCTTCTTGTAATGGAATCGATGAAGGGAGATGTCGAGCAAGCAAGGGGTAGAGGAGATCCATCGTTAACTGTGCTTGAGTCTTATGCATGATCCAAATTATATTGACTCTATAATCATGACGTTAACATGGTTTCTCAGCATGAACAGTCACCGAGGCGTTTATCGTGATGTTCGAAAATGCTATGTGCGTTAAAGAATAGTATTAATAGAGATACTAGATGCGCAGTAGTTACAAAAGGAAAGGTATACTGTCCTAGGTAGACGGTAGACGGTAGACGGACCACTACTAAACTATTGTAGTACCAGAGTCTAGTCATATGCTAGCGGTTGCTCAGCATTGCCCCGGTAAGTGCGCTAGGTCCTGACAATGTGTACACAGATCAACTCACCTACGCTAGAGATACTGATGAGGAATCATCGCGGTTCGTTGTAAAAGTTTCACAAGCTGCGCAACGCCAAAACCTGAATAATGAACAAGAAAGTACTGTCTCAGGTTCTGATTGCTGCGCAGCGATGGGTCAGCAAATAGCCAAATGTCGCCATTGTTTCTGCAGGCATGAATTACCAATAGTGTGTATTCTGAAATGAGATACGAATGGAATTCCAGTGGCACGGCAAAATTCCATACACCAATTCGAAGCCGATAGTCTACTTCCCAAGAACCTAATAATCGCATTAGTCAACCATAGTTCAGACAACAGAGCATCCCAACATACCTTATCAACAACCGCCTGCCCCATCATCGCCGCATTCGCCAAGCTACTCTCCACCGTCCCACCCACCCTCATGAAATTTACCGCCAACACCTCCAACCCCTTCTCCTCAATCAACCTCTGCGCTTTAAACCCCCAACGATCTTTCAAATCCTGCATCTCACCCTGCTTCCCCTGCGCAGCCGCCACCCACTCCTTCTGCATCTCGCGCAGATCCTCAGGCCGTACTTCCACCTTACCAGACGCGCGAGCGAGGATGAAGACGTAGCGGTGCGGACGCGGGTAGAGGTAATTAGGCAGAGGAGCTGGACGCACGTAGGGTGAGCGCTCAGCGGCAGCATGGTGGGACAGTGTGCCGTCAGGGTTGCTGGAGAGGTTTGTGACGAGCCAGTGGCGGACTTGGCCGCAGTAGGTATCGTTATTCATTAGGAGGTCTGGGTCGACCATCATCAGGACGAGGTTGTCTAGCGGCTCTGAAGGCTGGATGTTGGGTTAGTGGGGGGTGCTAGGTGTGATAGTTTGCTGGTGCTTACTGCAGGATTAATGAAGACTTTGGGCTCAGGTTTCGTGTCGTGATTTTCCAGCTCTTTGCCTGGCTTGTCGAGCTTTGCGTTTGGCCATTCTAGTGTTAGGTTGTAGGATAGGTTGATGTTGTCTGGAAGGACATCTGGGATGACTTTGTGCTCAGAGAGAGCTTGTTTTGTTGCTTGTGTGTTCGACATACTGAAAGTGAGAGTTTGCCTTTTGAAAACGAAGATTTGTCAAAATTCGTGCAATTCAGATATAATTATTTCACCCAAGTATTATAGGAATTGGCAGCCGCATATGCCGGAGAAACTCGTGCATTACGAGCAATCGCGCATCATGCATATTGTTTTCGGAAGCGATCCGCTCTCCTTATTGCCCAGCCAAGTCGTCGCGACCGACGTTGGAGAGCTCTTTTTGGTTAGTGACGCGGATATGCAGGCACGTTGGATGTCGTTGTCGTACGATTGACGAGATGACGTTGATATGACACGCACAAGGCAGGCACGCGACGCGAGGAACCTCGGCCACGTGCCAACCGCAAACTACGACCACCATCACTCAAGGACGACATGTCTGAGAAATGATACGGAATATTCAATAGAGCATATACTCGTAGTATGTGCCTCGGGTCAATGACCCTTTCGTCGATGTATTGCATCCGCGCTCAGCAGAAACTCATTCCTACTTTCAACCAGAAAAATTACGGCATACCAACTCGTTATCCTGAAGTCACCCACGCTGGCTATCGACTCTCCGGTGCCTCGTGTGGTCGTACTTGATCCCCAGACAATTCTACAGGTGCTTGCGTAGCCGGAGCTTCATACCTGGAAACTTCGTCCATGGGAGCTTCGTGCCTATACTGGGGCGGTAATTCCCCTTTGGCTGGCTCGTAGTAGCTTGTCGCCTCTGTAACTTCCTTCTTCTTCTTATGCGACCTTCTTCCGATGAGAACACCAATCGCGATCAGCGCAATAACACCAGCAGCAGCACCCACACCTATTCCGGCCTTTGCGCCTGTCGACAGACCGGCACCTTCGTTATTCTGTGGTGTTGAAGTAGGCGAAGGGGTTGGAGTATTCGTCGCATTCGCATTCGAGGAGGTCAACGGGCTGGATGGGCTCGGCGATATAGAGGCACTTGTGGACGTTGGGAGTAGCGAACTCGTGATTACGCCGCTAAAGGTGGGTGCGACTTTGAACTTCTCAAGATTGGGATCCGAACAGCAATCGGTTGTGTTGCCGCAGCACCAGAACTCGGACGTAGGGGTTCCGTCGCAAGGAGTGACAGTCACGTCGTTTTTGCTTTGCTCGTCCTACAAGTCCATGTCAGCGTTTAATCGCGCACCTTGTACCGGCCTTTCATACTCCACTCGAACATAGGTCCTGGCAGCCTCCAGCTTCCCAGTTTTGTAGTGTGCAACTCTCTCTAAAATAAAGGCCGAGGTATTCTTCAGTTGGCGCAAAGGCCTGACAGATGCCATTCGGAAGACAGGTATCCTCGCCTTCGCCAATTTTGCAGCAGATATGGCTGAGCGGATCGGAAGTGTCGTTGGAGCACGGCTGGTATTTGGCAACGGTCTGCAGGCCCCCGTTACGCCAGTAACAGTTATCTGCAGATGCCAGTGTGGTGAAGGCGAGCCATAGAACAATTTGGGGCAACATCATGTGTCGTCTTCGAGATCAGACGACGCTGTAGGGCTGAGAAGCAAACGCAGGATGCGCGAAGGGGGATACATATAACATGGGTTTATCACTGCCAAGTTCATCTATACTTATAAAGCTGAAGGATCCATGGGGCGGGGCGTTAATGCGTTAATCTCATCTCTTGAGGCTTGTTGTTGTGCAACGCGAGCGTTTACTGGACCAGTAAGCGACCGGGCGAAAGCTGACCTGGGTGTTTGGGGGCGGAAAACCCACGCTCGCGGGCTGAGTTGAAGATTCCGCTCCTACGGTAGCCCTAAACAGATTCTCGGTCCGATTAGCAGTTGGACTATTTGGAAACCCGAACGAATAGGAAACTTGAACGTTGGACAAATACCAGCGCAGGTTCCTACTTCCAGTTTCGCAGAGATGCCGCGGCCCAATCACCGATGCACAAAGTACGTAGAACTGGTGAGACTAAAACTTGAGGCTGCGCGCTGCACGCTGCACGCTGAATGCGTAGAACACAGCTGAATATTTTGCCTACTTCCAAAGACTCAACATAATACATATATACATATGCCCCGTCACCGCTTCACATGCTGGCTGCTGGATAGAGCCGCTCACTTCTGACCTTTTCCCACCAACGCCATGTTATGCCTTGCGCATTCGAACCATATATACAGTCGAACGTATCGCCTTCAATCGAAGAATTACAAAGAATAAAATAGTGAAGAACCTTGTAACAGAAATTGAATGACTAGCAACTAACTCTCGGCATACTATGAGTGGGTACGTTCACCGTTGACTGAATGGTGCGTTTGCTGTTGATCACCGGAGCCGTTGGAGCCGTTTGTAGGGGGCGTTGCAAGCTGCATAGGGCTTCCGTAACCGTCTAGTTGAAATGCCATTTTGCTGCCCGTGCTTACTCTCTCTGTGGAGTCGGGAAACGACATGGCGGACGTATCGTCCATGGGCGTGAGGCTAGTTTCTTCGACGTCGGTGGTTGCTGGGGGTGGAGGCGGAGGTGGAGGCGCTGATTGCTGGTTTTCAGAAGTCGTTCGGGTTCGCTTTGGTGAGCCAGATTGTGCCTCTCCGTCTCTCTTCCGCTTCAGGTCGGATGTTGAGTCGGATGGAGAGGCCTCATCAGCATCACCGGCTGGCCCTGAAGGGGTGCTAGGAGACTCGCTGGTGAGGTCTAACTTCACACCACTCTGTGCGGCCTTCATCTTCTGTCGCTCTTGCTTCTTCTTGACAGCCTTGTCCATGAACCGCTTGACCTCATCTCTGACCGTCTTCTCGTGGTTGGAACTTATTCTAGCCGTCGGGTCCTTGACACGACCGGACTTGTAGTCGCCTCTCACAAGCTTCTGTGCCACCTCTTTACTCAGTCTTTTGATTTCCTGCTTTTCGAATTTCTTGTAATACTGTTTCGTTACTGCCGTGACGTGCGGTGCAAGCTGTGAGGGTCAGATATGCTTTGCAGAACGATAAATAATACTCACTGTCGCTTCATACACCTTTTCCTGCTTTTCTAATGATAAAGTACGCCACTTTTCACGACCGAAAGCCGGTTCTGTGTCCTCATTGGAGACTGGCTGCGGAGTAGTAGATGCGGAGGGCCCGGTAGGTGTGTTGTTCGATGTTATGCTCGCTATGATGTCTTGTAACAGCTGCGTCTCATTCCTAGCCTTATTCGGAGGAGGCGGTGGGGCATCTGCAGGCTGGGTTGGTCTTTGCCACTGTGTGATACCAGTCTGGTTGTAGAAATACGTCGAACCGTTCTCGGCTGTGGCCTGGTACCAGCCTTGTGGAAGAGCGTTGAATGGCCTTGGTCGCATAATTGGTCGTGGAGTGGCGAAGAAGCCAGCTGGGCCGCGAGGTGCATTTAATACACGAGGACCGGACGGGATGTTTGCTGCAGATGGGCCTTTGGGCGCAATCGTGGAAGGCGATTTTGACCTAGACCGGGACCGTTCACGAGCTCTCTCGCGTCGTTCATAATGATTCTCGGTCCGAGCTGGTGTGCTTGCGTTTGGATCTCTCTTCAGCCGTGGTATCCTGTAGCCGATTTCCAGCTTACTCCATGCAGCCAATAGCTCTTTGGCGGCCTCCTCGACTCGTTCGTCTCCGCAGTCTGTCAGCTTGCTTACCTCCTCTTCAATACCAGAATCTTGAATCTTGTTTCGAGTAATGCGTGGCAATCTGTGCAGTACGTCCAGCACTTGGAGAACAACATTGTAGTCATCCTTCCACCTAGACAAAGTGGTTTTGAGGTTTCTATAGCCGTGGAATTGGACGATACGTGCGCGAACCTTTTCGTTGTCGGTCTGCATACGGCTGAGAAGCTTGACAGCAATCCACTTTTCTTCGCAGTTGCGCAAAGCTGACACGACCTTGTTTACTGCATCCTCTTCCAGCTCGCGGGTCTGCAAATTGCTAACGTATTCTTCATCGTCTTCGCTTGCCTTCTTCTTGCGGGGCTTCTTGGCGACTGCCGTACCCCAACCATCAATATCGTCGATTCCGAGAGCCGCGATCGTTTCATTGCTAAGGTTTGTCGCATTGTCGGACTGTGTCTTTCCGCCGATAAAGCCGCTACAGTTGGGCTCACCACAGTAGCAAGGTTGTGGATCTGCGCCGTATCGATCGACGTTGTAGTTGAAAACAAGCTCCTCGCCTGCTTTGACGCTACGCTCGACGAATATGCCCATGCGCAGTTTGTCCCCAACAACCCACTTGTCGACGAAACAGTTGGGATTGCACGAGTGATTGCAGAAACGACCCAGGTTGCCCTTTTTTGTGGCATCTACAAACTCGCCCTTGGTAAGGGACATGAAGTAGAAGTGCTTGATTCCCTCGTCGTCGTATTGACCCATGCGGCGGCGGAAGGTGCGCTCGTCGATGACTTCGCCAATGTATTCGAAGACGAAGTCGCCTGGAGCCATGTCCTTGTTGGCGCGAAGACCGAAACCCTTCTTCTCCGTCTTTATAACCGTGACATCGGCATACTGTTTCCGCTGAAAGCGCATGTTCTGGCATTTCCGACCGCAGCCGCAGTCACCTAGGCACTCCATCTTTGTCGCGCGGTTGATGCAGTCGGAGTCTTCGCCACAGGCATGATTTGTCTTGGTCGTGGCATCGTATTCTTCTTGACAGTCGCATTCGAGCGCAGGGTCGGTGGTGCCGATGGTCTTGTTCGCGTACGTGCATTCTGGGAGGACTACGAAAGTCTCTTTGGCGGCGGCAGTAGAGTCGGGGAGGTCGAGGAATAGCGGAGGCGGTCGTGAGACGACTTTTTGGGACGCGGTGCGCGAGAGCTTGGGTGCCTTGCCGGGCTCCATCTTCAGCGTGATATCACCACCTACGATCTCTTCACGGGCGCTTCCGGGCGACGGAGTATCGACTTCGTGTTTTGTCATGGGCGACTGGGTCCTGGATCGCGTCTTGAGCCGGGGAGGGATGGCCAGAGGCGTGGGCGCGCGATCATCTACCTCGACCTTTACCTGACTGGTGTCCTTGCTCTCACCTGCACCGTCCGAGGTCGCAGCTTCCAACTTCATCTCGCGCAGCTCGGGCTCCAGTCGAGCCGTATTTTGGTCCGACTCGCTGTCCGACATGTTGTGGAGGGTCGTGGGGTTGGTGGAAGGTGCTGAAGAAGAGGGTGGAGGATCGCGAGAATCTCAAAGAGAGGGACGCTAACGCTCAATGTCCAATATCACACATGCAGAACCAGGAGCCTATCTACCTCATAGTCCATGCGACACGCATACACTCGACACCTCCAGGGCAGCTCCTTGTAGTTCGGAGTGAAAGGCGACAGACAGAGGCAAGAGACTTGGTCGCCTTGGGTGATGACTGAGCAAAGCTTTTTGCTTCCCTGGACGCAAAGACGTGTCGGACGAGGCAGGCTTGCTTTGCGCCTACACCGTAATTGGTGCACCGAGCGACAAGGACTCTATGGGTGTATGTATGTGCCTGGCGTTGTCGCCGTCGCCATGTAGGTGCGCGGGATGGAGCCGTAGATGCAACCAAGCCTTCCGCGGAATCGAGCTCGCTTGTTCCGATGACGACAGGGAAGGCGATTCTTTTTAATCCACAATTTGTACGTGTGTGAGCCTGAACAGGCAGTATCGATCAGCCGACAGTGTCTTCGAGTGGTGGTGCTGCGCGCGACGCGATGCGCTGACTTTGGGATGATACTTTGGACATGCGAGCGAAAACTAGCGTTAGTCCATTGGCCCAGCCTCGGCCTCCGCCATCCATGGATGCAGGGCCCCTCTGGCCATATCTACCATTGGCGCACGCAAACATGTCAAGTGAATACAAGATAGAGGCAATGATGATGATATTGTTAGAAGAAAAAAATTGGATAGAGTTGTGTGAGTTCCGGTGTTGGGTCACAGAGCTACTGTCCGTAAAGTGAACTCTTGGCGACTCGTGGACGGTCTAAGAAGTTGTCAGAACGGAAAAGTAGGGTGGTTGTTATGGGCGACATAGGACGAGAATCTAATCTGAGTTGCTAAAGAGGATTCTCACTTACACGAGCAAGTCCATTGAACGTATCTCACATCAAGTTGCTGAGCCGTCAGGACCGTGTACGCACTGGGAAAGCCCAGCGTCTTGCACAGATCTTTACCGGATGGGGAAACTAATATATCCTCATGTGCAAGTGCAATAACAAATGCCGTAAAACACCCTGTGCCTGTCACTGCACCCGCGGCTGATGGTGAACGAGTAGTGGACAATGTATCAGAATACCTTTGTGATCGGCGCATTATCCGCGAGTCACCGAGACGTGCGGTGTTCGCGGGCCGAGCAAAGACCCAGGGGACGAGACATGTTGAACAAGCAGTATGAGCAACACGGATCGGACACGACTCAGGGCAGCGTGTGAGTTGACCGCTTACGCAAGCTGGAGCTGTTCAGTCATCGGGAAAGACAGGATGGCTGGTTGTTAGAGTCCGGCTGGCTCGTTCCTTTTCCACAGATCCAGATCGGGCGAGACTAGCGCGAACCCAATTGCCCGAAAAACGAACGGGTTTCTTCGCGATGCGAACTCGAAATGCGATGTACCATGTCCGGCGCCAGATTGATCATGTGTTGTGACCTCTGCAGCAGGGTGTTCAGCGGCTTGAAATGTCCGAGCCCTAGCGCTAGCATCATAGACTGACTCCCCAAGATGGCTGGCGTTCGGAGTGTCAGCTACAGCACTGGTGCATGTGCTTGCTCTTGAGTTCCAACTTTCCGAAAGACTAAATGGTGGCAGATTGAACTAAGGCCGCCCATGGTGTGTTTTGGATCTTGGCCAAGGCTTCCCATTGGCGTACTCGAGCGAGCACAGTCCACAAGTTTACTAGTGCAGAACTCTGACTGAACGGCTACCTACTCTTCACAGCAGAACCCATGACGCCAGCACGACAGCTGACTTGGACGCACCGGCAAGATGTCGCCTATACGGCCCAGAGTGTCACTTGGTGAACGCCAGCGGGTCCAACTGCCTGCTGAGAAAAGATACTTCGACCTAGCGAATGGCGATAAATTTCATTGGGGGCTATGCCGAATCGCGGGCCGCTCCCGATCTTGGACTGGTTTCAACTGGCTCCGCGTAGCCATACGGTGTGAAATGTGAAAAGACTGCGCAGGAGAGTGCTACGTGTCGATGCATGTGCGCACTTTGGTCGCCGGCCAGGTATAAGAAAGCCAGTATCAAGCTACGCAGCTGCGACGTTTGTGCCTCTCGATACACACCTCCCCAGCAGCCGTCCTGGAACAGACTACACTCATGGCACCGTTGTAGACAGGGATGACGACGCCGTCTTCCGCTGCCCCATCAGGCGCGACGCGCTTTCACGACGATCAGCGCTGAACCGTTCTTGCCAGATTGCGCGCAGGACACCAACGCTGGTACGCGCAGCGACATTTCAGCCTCCCCACGATTGCGCTTGCCGTCATGGCGACGAACATGGTACTGTCAAAACTCCGAAACAAAGGCGGCAAGCGTACATGAGAAAAAAGGAAGGCAGGGACTGGTTTGCAAGGGAAGGGCCGTTGGTCTCAGGCTAAACCCTCCACGGCTGGTGAGACACGGCTTGGCGTACTCTCTAGGCGATTGGCTCATCGGTTTGCGCAATCGTTTTCGAACATCCGCTGAGGCTTTCGAGATGGGGTAAAGCGCCGCCAGATCTATGTTACATACGTAGGCTTCGTTATCGATTTGCGACAAGTACTGATTTAGACAGATACCGTGCGGGAAGCCTTGGATGCTGCATTCTTGGTGTGGGGACTAGTCGCTTCCCATTCGTCTTTGAAGAAATCCGCTAATGTATAACATACCGGGTGGCTCTCCCCAGTAATCTCTCACGGGAAGCTGTCTCTCCTAATTATTTTGACCCAGCCTCATGTGGTCCCTTTTGACACAACCTTCTTGCCTGCTGGCATGAATACGACAACCAGAGCCCGCCGCAGGTTTCTTTGATTTTTGGTGCTCTTCTTCTACCGCTCGTTACTCTTTCGTTTCAGCACTCTCGTTTGTTCTGTTGGTAGACGCAGCTATACAACCGCGCGCGAGGGCGCGTTGCTCTTCGCGCCGGTCCACTTACTTTACGGCCTTGTGATCGATGCTCAATTAGTCTGGTTGCATACAGCAAGCTTTTGCCACTACTACTTCTTGGTCTCTGCCCTCGCGTATTTTGAGCCTGTCGAGGATCACGACATGGAGCCCTCGAGCTCGCGCGAGCCACCATGGGCAGAGCATGAAAAAGTACGTACCTCTCAAATACGGTAACACGTACATCCATCACGTATGGGAAACTGATGTAACCAATTTAGGTCTATTTGCTTGCTGAAATACTAAAAGCAGCTCCAATACCATCTCATGTTCTCTTCGGAATCATACGCGACACCAACATCCAGCCACGATGGAACGATATGGCTTTGCCTCCAGGTATGTGCTGTCTACTTGTATGCTCTCATAGCACACGCTCATCACTCAACATTACACGTAACATTTGCAGTAGAGTAAACTAACGCGCTGCAGGCCGGTCTGTTCGTTCTAGTCAGATCGCATTCGACAGCCTCGCAGCGACCTACTCCGCGCCTGGGCAAGAGTACAGACGTCCCCAGCTACCTGCACCGATGCTATATCCAGGACCGGACATTACCAGAAAGCGACCACTTCAGCCAGAAGCTTCCACGCCTGTCGGCCGCTTACTACAACCTCGTCCCCCGCATTCGTTCCCGGGAGAATTCATGCCTGCAGGCCCTGCCTACACATCCACCATAAACCCATCTGGCGAGCCAGCGAACAAAAAGAAACGTGGAAGACCAACAAAAGCGGAGGCACAACAAAGAGCGCAAGAGGCTGCCGCGAGAGGAGAGGTATATCCACCACCTAGGAGGGGCAGGCAATCTATCACAGTACCACCTGGACCCTCACCACCCAGTTCGGACCCTCGGCCACACGATCGAACACCACCACCAACAGCGCCTTCGCAGCAGGCTCCCGCAATGACACCGCAACACCAAATCGGGGTAGAACACGGGTCAGAGTCCTCATCAGGCAAGAGAAGACGAACAAGGCCACAACCATTGGAACTAGAAAAACATCGCGCAACCAGCGAAATGGAGTCTCCGCTCGCATATGGATCAGGAGATCCTAGCCGCAGCCAACAATACTCAACATACACACCCATCTCTGCGCCCTTGCCATCTTCCACAGAATCCAGGGACAGAGATGTGCGTATGGAAGGGGTCGAAGAGACTCAACCACGAACCACGACACCTCACTCGTTTAAAGATACGGTCGGTATATGACAGCGTTTCTTTCGTCAACAAAAGCAACATACGGCGGTAATCCTGTTTTGAAAGCGTTCTGTCAACGACTTTACTTACGCACTCACGATGAACTATAGCCATGATACCATGGAGGTACGCTCTGCCGTTTACGCTTGCTACCACATTTGATGAGCACCAGTCATGCGCGCGCATCACTTATCATGTTCATGTTGTTATTGCTGTTCTGGGGCTGTTTGTGCCCCCAGACACACTATCTTTTTCCGTCAAGCTCAATTTCCTTGTCACAACCTGTTCATTCATTTCTTCATTGACTGCATGTCGACACTTTACGAAAGTCGAGATATGATGAGCCCTTACCTAATGTCTTACTATCGCTATCTTCACGACTAAAGAGTTTCATATCTCTTTCGGCAGTAAGGCGCTTATGCCAGCCATCTTGTTTTTTTCGCAACGTGTACGATAGATGGATTTCCGATCAGTTCCGCATCACGGCCTCTGTACAAAAAAGCACCTATTAGCAACAGCATCAATGGTAGACTTGGCCATGGCCAATCAGTACGCAGTCTTTCAACGCTTTGAGCGAGTATCTCTCGTACCACGTCGCACCTCTCTCCTGCATGTCAATGTACGTATCCTGGTGTCCATTCATCTAGCGAGTACTAGCATTTTACGACGTCAAGGACCTGCAGGCTGACCAAGAAGGTAGCATAGAAGTGGTTGGGAGGGCCGAACCGGGCAGCGTAGGGCAACGCGAACCGCGGCGCGCGACACAAGCAACGGGTCCTGTTTCACCTATGAATACCCTACCAGCTCTCGGTACTACTATCGCCCGTTCTCGTATTTCATACACAAAGTCTGCGACGCAGGGGGGAACATTTCGCTACTCCGCGCAAGAATGTTCGGCAATCTGCATGTAAGCGCCCTCCAAAACATCCTCCGCACTTGACAATCAATCGCATCCATGAAAAATCCGCAAATCTGGCCGGAAAGGAGGTTGGCAAAACTTCGGCATGAGTATTGGTTGAGAGACTTATGAGGAAATGACTCGAGTTGCAGCATTTGCGGCTACGCACTTGCGTTCTCTGCAGACATGCTACTGCTGCAGTACGAAAGGGGAGTCGACATGACGCCAACGCATGCACGCATCGACCAAGTCCCAACACCGAAATCCAAAGCAGACATTGCCTGCCCAACCAACTTAGCCTGTGGTAAACATTGCGGCTAAACGGTATGTAATTCCTAACAGTGAATTTCCACGATGATGGTGTTGCAAAACACGTCGTTCATACCCATGACGCTCGGATCAGGAGATGTGATGACGGAACCTAATGACAATAAATCGCCGTATCAGATCTTACCAGGCTAACCCCACATCGCGCCTACCTGTACAAACCACAGCGGCGCCTATTCACCGGCCTAGCAAGAATGAAAACGAAAACGTTTACCGCCGTTCTAGACTTTGGAAACTTTACTTTGTCAAAACGAAACGGTGCGAACGACCTAAAACGGCCTGGCTGTTATACAGACGTTTTCTGACATGGCGCGCGAAACTAAATACAGGCAGCTAGGCCAGCGCCAGCGTTTTGCTATTCGATATTGCCAATACATGTTATTCTCTGAGCCGTCTTTGGCGTGTTAGAGGAGGACGGTAGGTGAATATGATATCACGCATGGACCAAGCGTTCATGGTCTCGTTCTCTCCGGAGATCCGAGAGTCGTGAGTGGTCGATAGTTGGGCTAAGTGACATGTTCGTTAGCTTGGGGCGGACTGGATGAGGTTGGAGAGGCTGGTCTGTCGCGCGTGCGATATCCGTTCCAAGGCGTGGGTCATGTCACTGTCAATGACATGCAAATTGAGCGCAAACCGTCTAGTTCACCTTGAACAAACTTCATTGATCCTCATGTCGAAGCGCCGCCGTCGTCGCTTCTCGCTTATCACTTGAAACATACACCATGGTACCCTGCTATCATAGACGCGCTCGTATATTACATCTGATCGTCATAATGTAAATCTTGTTATACCCTCCATCCCGGCCCACCTTTCCACCTTCTCCTTCCGGGTGCTATAACCGATGTTGCAAGGCTAAGCGGAGGAGAGACATCTCAATCTGACAACGCCCGTCGCGTGCTCCTTCTTTCTAGACTACCGCATGTCATCCGCTTAGTCTTTGCACCTCGGTCGCGGCATCCGAAATGCAGAACAGACAAGGTGCAGATTGTTTAGATGAACGATGCTTCGTACCTGCATATTGATGATGGATTCCTGCATTGGAATCATCTACTTCATTACTCTGTTGGGCAAGATGGGTGTATTGAGAGTATGCGCATGCATGGGGAGATGTGGCGTTCAGCGGGTTTGATGCATATGTATCCAAGATGGGAGCTAGGGGTCTGGCAGATGTGGGGGAGAAGGAAGAAAAGAAGGGGAGGCTATAGCCGGCATTGTCATTGACAAAGGCAAAGTTTTGTTTGCTGCGGATTAATGCCATCTAGAAGCGGAGTATGGGCATCCTTAGCTGAGATTGTTGCCCGGCTGCGCTAATGTGATTATGGTGGTGGTAATTTGCTTTCGTGTCCAGATTGGGAAACTTTAGGCGAGGAAGAGATGAGATAATGGAGGTAAATATAGTAGAAACTGTATAGGATATCTAGGGGGAATTGTTTCCAATGGCTTACGTGCTTGATTGTCGCCTCGATCGTGAGGCCAGTAGCTAGATAGTCGCTTATGACGAGTATTTCACGGCTGAAGTTGGGTACGCAGCATGGCTGGTATGCTGGATGACGAGTGAATCTTCCAGACACATGTCTCCTTTCTCCACGACTCGGTATTACCACAAAGTAACAGTGGTACAGTATTTGTGCCACGCTACATCTGGATGATGACAAAGATGTTCCGAGGCGAAGGCGGCGGATTAGCTCCCATGCAAACGACAAGAAGAACTGGCAATCCCAAACAATGGTAGCAGTGTGATATATCGGCTATCAAATATTGCGTCACTCGCGTTCCATGCAACCCAACAAAACAAGCTTAAGTACAAAGTCAAACGCCTGAGAAGAAAACAACCTTCAAAATGCTAGTGGTATCGAGAAGAGGTATTGGAGAAAGTAGTAATAGTCCGCCCGAACAGAACAGAAAACACATGTCAATGCCGAGGCTACTGCCATTTTTTTTTCTCTACCAACGCCAAACGTAGTCAGTCAAAACAGAAGCAATGGAGATGGATACCTCGCTACGGCGCCACACAGTCTTCGGCAGCGAGAAGCTATCTCGCCGCGTTAGAATCGGCTTTGCACTCATCGCAGGTCCAGTCTCGTGTTTTCGGGGTGAGTATTGGCGTTGATGTTTTGCTGTGTTGTTGTATGCATGCGAGATGGAAGATTCGACGTATACAGTCCTGTAACAATATTAGTTCACGATTTCACATGTGTTGTAGGTTTGCTGAGCTTACGATGTTGTTACATGCAATGAGGCCAGTTTTGCCTGGTTTTGCCGATGCATCTTTGTCGCAGTAACATAGATCGTATGGCGGCTCAGCGTCCTCGTCTTGAGGTGTTTTTGCTGACTCCAATGGTATATTTGGCGATGTTCCATCGCTCATGTCAACATCGCCATCATGATCTCCATTGGCAGGAGTAAGGTAGCCAGCTTCAGTTGTTACGGCTTTACCTTTGCCCTTATCTTTCCTTAGCTGATGACTCTTGTTCCCTTCAGGGGTCGCGTCAACACAAGAGGCGACCCAATCAAGGATTGGTTCGTTTTCATGGTCTGGGTCGGAGGCAGAACTCGAGACCATAGCATTGCGTTCGATATTCTGATCCTGCGTCGGCACAAGGCCCTGATCCGCCCCATTGTCAGTAGGGGCAACAGGGGTCTTTTGATATTGGATATCGAGATATGCTAGACGCTGAGAAAGCTCGTTGGCGTTCACGATATTCTCCAATGCTTCGTGCACCTCTTTCGATATAATGTCCTCCTCTAACAGCTCGTCCATCTTCTTCTTGAACTCGCAATAGACATCGTTGTCGTCCAGCAATTTTTGGCGGCATTGTCGCGCAAATCGAATAATGGACTCTTCCACGTGCATCTCTGATTGCAGATTCTCTTCGTGCATGAAGTCATCATAGATCTTCAAGAAACGCTTAGAAGCCTCTGATAATTTTGTTTTGTCGATCTCCACGTGTTTCCGGAAATACATCCACCCTTCGTCCAGTTCATCGTCGCTTTCACTGATGACCTCGCCGGGTTGTAGAGGTCTCTTGCTAACCAAACGGAAGAAGGTGATACCATTTGGCGCCTTTGGCACGACGAATCTCTTCTTCTCCCTTTGCGGTCTGGACTGCACTTGATCTGGAGGTTTCCGTGGTCTCGGTCCTGGCGCAACTTTCAAGCTATTCGTTGCTGGTTTCGCTTTTGCGTGTTTGGTAGGCTTTTCTATCCTGGCAGTTCTTTCGAACTCGTCGTCGCCTACCAAGAATTTTCGTCTGTTGAAGGGCTGAGCTGGTGCGAGTACACGCACGTCGGCAGGCTCATCGGCAGTATCACTTGCACGTTGACCCGCTCTATAGTTGGCTACTTCGCTATCGAAGCGCCAGTGCTCAATCCCATGTTCGTCGACTTGTTCCAGGGTGACATGATAGTCAAAGTACTCGTGCCAGCTGATGAGGTGCATTTTGAGGTCTTCGATATCTGCTATCTTCTTTTTTGAGCAATGCGGGCACATGAGTTCAGATCGCTCAAGAGTGTCGTTGCCATAGACGAAAGTGAGCCTATATCGGGGTTCCTGATCGAGAGGTGGTGTCGGATATGAACTGGAAGATTCTATCGTATTTCGAAGATGCCGGTTGTGGCTTATCAAGACAGAGTCTCGTTTGAGCGGATTCCAATGCATGCTGACCTCTAGTCCCATGCCGAGCTGGTTTCCAGATGCTTTCAATGGTAAGATGACCCTCCCTTCTGGCACGTCGAAAATATTCCCATACGAAGTAGACAGGCGGGCTGATGAATCCGAGATTTTGAGGCCCATAAACTCGCACAAGTCCTTGAGATTGTTGTCATTGTCGAAATTCAGACTGAGCATTATTCTGTGTATGTCATTTTCGTCGATAATACTGGGATCGGTGTGCCAGTCTTCACGATAAATGATGATAGGCTCCATCTCGATTGATGCCTCCCGATCCGACCGCCTATCAGTGGCTCGCAGGATTGCCTCCTGTTCGGGCGGATTGTTACATGGCGGATCAGGAGATGATGAAACAACCGACGTCTTGATCGACGCAGTCAATCGCAACAAAGTCCGCGCCTTCTTTGCCAGGTCATTTCCACGACCACCACGAGGAGCTTGCTGACCGTTCTGTAAACGAATACTGTGCGCCTGAAGAACGAAGGACCCTGCTTCCCTTTCTACTAGGACCATCTCGTCCAGTAAATCCCAAGATGGAGGCCGCCAAGTGGCACGAAAATCGAATCCTGTCTTTTTGTCGTAATCCTCGTTGCGGGAAGAGTGCACTTGTTTTCTGTTCCGCTCTAAGAATGGGAGCCTTTTCTTCTTGTAAAGATAATCGTAAAAAAGTATATTTCCAGAAAATCTGTCTCGCCGTCCTAGCATGCTCTGCCGGCGCACACGCATGTTAGGGAACGTTCTGCTTGGACTTTGATCTACTTACAGAATTCCTCGGTTGCTCAGTTGCATCCTATAGCAACCGAGAACGAGTGGTGATGGCGCACATTAGTGGGGCCAATTGAGAGAATGAAGAGTTTTGCGGTTGCTCGCCGCTGTCCTGGGTGTCGGCAGTATGGCTTTGCAGATGGAAAGACGGATGAGAAAGTGAAGATGGCGGAAAGCAGGGTTGTCGTTGTTTCTAGCGGTCTGACGCCCCTGGGCCGCGCGCGACAATCCCACGATATAAGTCAACGCGCAACAATCATGCACTGTCCATTCAGCTTTGGAACTGCTGACAAAGGGTCGCGTCAGTTGTATTCTCGCTGTCGCTGTTTGTTGTGTCGGAGAGGTTTGTGGCGCACGATGGCAACCAGGAACGACGCGATGGCGCACAAGCGGATAGCGCTCAGCTGGCGAGAAGGCGAATGGCCTGTATCCGCAACATTCACTGTAGGCCAACGCGAACGCCTCGGACGCTCCACATGCTTGACGGCTGTGTGCGGGAGTTGTGTTGACAAGGGTCACGTGGACACGGGTGGTGCCGCTAAGCTGCATTGGCTTGGTGATCCTGGATGATCTCATTGATGGCCTCTTACCTCCGTGGTCCGCATGCATCGACAATTCACTGTCGCAACACTCGCCTCCAACTACCACTCTTTTGCCTCACATTTCGACCTGCTCCATGCACCTTCGCGACTGCCTTGCAGGGCTTAAGTGCCCCTTATAGGTCAGACCTAACACTAATCAGCCCCTCAAATTCAAGCTGGCCCTAGAAGTCATTGGACCCTACATCGTACGACATGGCTGTAACACTGAAGCGCAAACGCGGCGCTGTATCGTACAAGGAGCCAAGCAGTGACGATGACCTCTCTGAAAGCTCCGGTTATGAGCAAACCACCAGAAAGCGCACCGTCCCTACCCGCCGATCCACTCGCCGCCCGGCAGCCGACGACGAAGCCGCCAGCGAAAGCGAGCACTCTCCACCACCACAGCCCGCTTCTGTCAAGCTTCAACGGGAGTCACGAACCTCACGGAGACGAGGAGCGCCAAAGATTTCATACAAAGATGTCAGCACAGACGATGAAGACGAGGAGGATCCCGATGGCGACTTCGAGCTGGAAGAAGAGCAGGTCATGACGGTGAGGACACGGCCACGACCTGTCGCGGCACCAGTATCACGATCTGGGAAGACTGTAGGTATAAAGAGGAGTAGATCGCGACGTAAGGCGACCATAGGCGCACCATTGAAGCCGAACAACGAGGGTCAGGTCGAGCGCAAGACGACGATTCCCTCCGATGGGCACAAGCCGGTATGTCTGCTTCATCACATATATGTTCTAGCTCTAATACTCATGTCTAGGCCTGGGCTTCTCTGCCATATCACGTACTCCTCCAAATCTTTGTTTACGCTTCCCACCCGCTTCACGACGAGAACATGAAGCCCACCCCCGCGATATCATGGCTTGTACAGATGGCCAAGACGTGTTCAGCCTTTACAAAGCCGGCTCTGACGGCCCTATACCGAAACCCGCCCATATTCGCAATTAGGCAGACACGCAAAGACCTCGTTCATCACCTCATCACTCCTCCACCTGGGGCACACGATGATTATCGCGTCATGGTCAAGCGATTAGAGCTAGATGCGACGCAGATGACTGCTCTGACGGATCATGCCAACAGCGTGACCGATCTTGCGGCTCTGGTACGGTCACTGACCACACTGCGTGAGATTGACATCTTTGATCCCATGGATCGGCCTCCCTTTCGCCCACGACTTAGACGACTTCGGCGCTGGGTATATCCTGCTGAACTCTTCGACGCTCTTCGACAAACTAGTCTGCGTTTGAGAAGCTGGCGGTGGAACAGCACGTTCTGTAGCCAAGGACCTCTATGGATCAAGACGATTCATGCCGACCATGCTTTCCAGAGCCTTCGCGATCTAACATTGACTAAATTCCATCCTGAAGCCACTCGTGGGGATCCTGAAGAACATCAGGGCGAGCCAACAATAGAGGAGCTGCTAGCATCTGCGCTGGCTGTGCTTCCTAATCTTAAGACTCTATCCTTTGAGACTTGCGGCATAGTTAGTGGGCGCCTGCTTCCTTTGCTGCCCACGAACCTCACCAGCCTCAGCATCGTGAACTGTGGCGAGCTACTCTCCGATGCATTTTCGGATTTCCTGACCACCCATGGCTCTCAGCTTGAAGAACTGACCCTCAATCACAACCAGGCCCTGGATATGTCATTCCTAGTTGACTTGAAACGCTCTTGTCCCAAGCTTGAGGTTCTAAGGATGGACACAACCTACTATAGCTCTCTAGTCATGTCTGCTGACAACGAACCTCTCTACGAGACACTTCTTGGTGAGAGCGAAATGCCTACCTGGCCAACAACACTTCGAACCATTGATTTCCAGTATCTACGCAAGTGGAATTCAAAGTCTGCCGACAACTTCTTCAATTCGCTCATCAACTCCGCCGAAGAAATGCCCTGGCTGCAGGAGATCACCATTATCGCCATGGTGGATACCGACTGGCGCCAGAGAGCAGAGTTCCGGCAGAAGTGGAGTGCCAAGTTCAAGAAGGTCTATGCAAGAAGGTGGGAAGCACCTGATCCTAACCTCGCGTCTCTGAGGGCCTTCAGGGAATGGAAGGAACGTGGTGGTGAGGAAGAGAGGGTAGACTCGTTCATTGAGGGCATCTCAGAAGAAACGTCAAAACCCGAACCAGTTGTTGTAGACGACGGCAGTAGTAGTGACGACGATGCTCCACTGCTACAATCGCGCGCTCAGAAGCAAGATGAGCGATGGGGTTCGAAGCGTCTCCGCTCTCGCTCAAAAGCAGCGACCAGCTACGACGAGGAGTCAAACGAAGACTCTGCCTCTGAAGAAGATGTGTCAGATGAAGAGGAGCCATTCGTGCAAGGCCGGTGTCACACAGTAATCTTCCGCATCGATAACTTCCGTCCTCGCGAAGAGATCTTCAATGAAGCTGACTTTCTTGACGCGGAACCCAGCGGCGACGAAGAGTGGAACGGTAATGAGGATGACGACAACGATAACGGAGGCGGGTATGCGTGGTAACTAATGAGTGATTTTTTGGTGTTTCGGGTTTCAGACGCGGATGACGTCGTATGCAAACAGGAGTCAGTTTGGCATGTTTGCTCGGATCAAGACAGGAACTATGCATTAGGCAGGCGTTGATTTGGTTACTTATTCAGATATCCGTGTGTTAGTATTGGGCCTGAATCGGGCGCGGCAGAGAGGTTGGGCTCTGGCTTTTCTTGGTCGCCAGTAGCTGTCTCAGCCACATGTGGAATAAGGATGTTTTAGTCCATGTCCGAACGTGCCGTTGAGATGTGATTAGCTGTTTGTAGTAGCAATGTGGTCGCAGTAAGACGCAAGCCAGCTGAAAGAAACACATTCGCCTGCCGGACATGTGCGTCACTTTCCTGACTGCGCAAAGTGCACAGCCTCGCAGAGCGTCCCAGCATCCTGGCCAATCCCCACCATAACGCTAACAAGGACCACTCGCCCATTGCTGTTCGCACTCCTGTCATATAACCGCTGGCTGCGATGTATTGATATCCCCGGCCGCCTCTCCTCCCCTACTAACCAACTTTCTTATATCTCTTTCCCCTCTTCTATCGCATCCTCTCTCTTCCTTACCCCGCCATCGCCTCTCCACAAAACAACATGGCGGTACCCACACCTCCCATCCCGCCTGTGTCGCCGGACTCGGGCCCTACCGACCCTACCCTCCCCAAGCTTCCTGCTGGATGGATAGCGCAGTGGGATAACTCGTATGTTGAAGCCTACCATATGATGCTTTGGCCGCCCCGCCCTTGCACTCGTTGCCCCGCGACACGAAACTAACATACACGCCAGGTCACGAAAGTATTATTGTACGTAGCCTAGTCGGCTTGGTCGCGCCATATATACAACAACATCGCACATTCTAACCCTCCGCGACAGATGTCCAAATCAGCACCGGCGTCTCGCAATGGGAACTGCCCACCAGCGAAGCCCCCGTAGGCGGCTCCTCCAACCACAGCACCCCGGCGCAATCAACGAATCCATACAACGTACCCGGCACATCAGGTCCAGACGGCGCGGGCGATGGAACAAGAGGCATGGGCGACGGCCCGACTGGAGACAGGGCAGGCGGACTGGGTGTATGAGACACTCGACATACTTGGGCATCAATCGGGCATGCAGGCTGACAAAGGGCATACAGGGCTTTGCGATGAACGCGCTTATGGGAAACAAGCAGAGTGGTAGTGGAGGCCATGGCGGCGGCGGCTCGGGAAACCTCGTTGGCCAACTCGCGGGGAGTTTCTTGGGCAGTGGGAAACAACATGGCGGTTCTTCTGGCGGACACTCTGGTGGCGGTGGCGGTGCCGGCAACCTTGTTGGACAGCTTGCTAGCGGTCTGCTAGGTGGTGGGAAGCAGCACGGAAGTTCGTCTGGAGGTCAACATGGTGGCAGTTCTTCCGGAGGCGGGCTTGGAGGCATGCTTGGGAGCGTACTCGGTGGTGGTGGATCGGTACAATGCCCTCTACGTCATACGACTTGAGGAAATGCGCTGACAACATCTAGCACAACAAGCCAAACAACGGCGCTGGCGACTACGGCTACTCTGGTGCCTCTTCAGGCGGAACCTACACCGGCACCGCACCACCAACTTCCTACAACCACAGCGCTCAAGGCGGCCAATACGGCAGCGGTGCTCCGAGTCACGGACAACAATATGGCCAGGGTCAACCCCACGGCGGCTACGGCGGCTCACAACAACACACTCCCCAGCCACAGCACGGTGGCCAGCAACATGGCTATGGCTCGCAAGCTGGTTTCGGTGGTCAATCAGGATATGGTGGACCAGCACCAGGTTACGGTCAAGGACCACCACATGGGGGTCCACCAGGTGGCTATGGACAACAAGGTATGGACCAAATACGCGTGAGGGAAAGGATGCGCAAAACTGATATCTAGTGTAGCTGGCTACGGAGGCCCTGCTTATGGTGCACCAAGCGGTCCCTATGGCGGCCCTGGCAACTATGATCAACATCAGCACAACCAGTATGGTGGTGCTCCTACGCATGCTAACCAATATGGTGGTGGAGGCCAGCAGTATCCTCCTCCTCCTGGTCAGCACCAGGCTGGCTACGGTGGCCCTCCAGGTGGTCACCATACACCGCAGCCTGGTTGGCAGTAAACTCGTCGTATCCTGGTTTGCTGAGTCGTGCGCCGATACACGGACGAAGGATACACAAAACTTACGGTTGCGACAGAGTGAGGCCGCGATGCGAACAACAGGCGATGCTTGGTGGCTGAGGTTTTCGGAGGTTGCTAGAGATACCTTTCTGAACTGTGTAGATTCAATGACTTTGTTCTCTTCCTGTGTTCTCGCTGGTAGTGTCTGAGAGACCAATGCTGCGGTGACCTGATATAGGGTCACCCGTGGCTGCATAGATCTTGACCGCAGTGCTATGTGGGCTCGTAGCAGATGCCACACTAGCCCTCCCTGTGTCCTCTTGACTTTGAGTTTGTTCCACCCTGAGCGCATAACGCGAGAATCGCGCACTTCTGTCGCGTGTTGCTTATCGAGGATATGGCGTGTCGTCTAGTCGCTTCTACGCAGCCCACGATAATTGACGCGTATGACCTTGATCTGTACTGTACGACTTTAACCTCAGCGAGCGCAGCGCAATGCCATGCGCTTCAGAACAGCATCTCGCTGTCTTGGTGTACCATCATTTCCTCTCTGGAACCCCAAGTTTGTCGTTTGCCTAGATACTCCATCCTTCATCTTTACCCAAAGAGATCCATTCCATCACCACCCGTCGTTATTCCTCCAAGCACACCACCTTCTCCCACAACCCTCCAGGCCACCCCGACCTTGACACCCATTCCCCCTTCAACACCCGGTATGTCTTCCCCATCACACGTACCCACCCACCCACTCAGGCTGGCTCTGAACGCGCGTGCGTCCTGCCGTGGTATCCTCACCCAGACACTCCGTTCAGAGATCTTGAGCATGTCGATGGGTATCGCTGTGCCTGTGATACCGAGGTAGGACCGCAGTGAATGTGTGAGGAGGGAGGAGGCTAGGAGGGGTGAGAGGGATGTCGTCGTCGAGTCTGGGGAGGCTGTGGCTGGTGGTATGGCTGCGGTTCCGGGTGTGAGGAGGATGAGGTGGAAGTAGGACCATGCTGTTTTTCGGAATGTAGACTGGTGGAGGATGTGGACTTGTTTTTCTTGGGCGTTGTCTTTGCGTTTGCGCTTCTTGGTGTTGGAGGATGTTGGTGTGGTGGTTGCGTCGAGCTCGGACGTGTCTACGTCTTTGGGCGCGGGCGCGGAAGATTTAGTGTCTGGGTTCGCAATCGCGGAGATTGTGGACGAGGTTTCGGTAGGTGTTCGTGCCATGGTGAGGGTTCGTGAGCGTGCGCGCAATAGAGAGACACAAGTGGGTAGATGTTAGAGCTCCGAGGCATCTGGCGCGAAAGTTTTGGCGGAGTTGATTAGCGCGTTTTCTTACCTCCGGAGGAATGCAACTGGCTGCATGAGATACCTAGTCAACATTGGGCCCCAATGTTGACTAAGGAGACTCAAGCCAGTTGCTTATTAGCTTCACCCGGTTCGAGTTCAGGATTTCTCAACTAATCTTCGTCACGATGAGAGACTTGCACAAACGACGAATGCTATAATATGATTTATGCGGTCGGCGGTCATCGATTAGTCATCATCGAAACAATATCAGCCTTCCTAGCTCAGTGGTAGAGCGCGTCACTAGTAATGACGAGGTCGTCAGTTCAATTCTGGCGGAAGGCATTGTTTTTGTGGAGCGGAATTTGTTGGCTGATCGAACGGTTGCGCACTGAAGTCCTTGCATGGCACAACCCGACAACCTTCAGCACGCAAACTTCCTTCCGTCTTGAGAGCAAACCGTGACCGAATCATCCCGAAGGACTATGTGCGGACATCTCCATGGATTCGAAGTCCGTCGTGAATCGACTCAACATTGGAGAAGGACCCTCCAATATTAGGTAAGAGACTCAAACCGTATGCTCAACAAGTTTTCCCAATTCGAGCTCCATGCTTACGGTTGAGTAGTAGCTAGTACGAATAATCGACAGCGAGCTGCTTAAAAGAAGCGCAAGTACCGTTTTCGTCTTTCCTCATCGTGCATTGATTGGAATACAGTTACCTCCTTTTCTTTCAGCCTAATATATTCGTCCATCAAAGATTTGCCAAGCCATGTTGTCATTCCCTCGCTATGTTTTGCTGCCTCTATCGTCCGAGTCAACGTGTTTGGCATCCTCTCACTGATGCCATAGGAAGCCATCTTCATGGCAGTCATGTTTTCCTGAAACTCCATACAATCTTTGAATCGCAATTCAGAGTTCTGCTTCATGCCCTCATGGCCTGCCGAAAGCAACGCCGCAAGGAAAAGATAATGGTTAGCTGTGGCATCCACGCACCGAAACTCCCAGCGGTCCCCAATTTTGCGGATGGGAAGGTCGCGGTTCTCCGTACCCCAGCTTATGTAACACCCAGCTCCGTCATCCATGACACGCACATAGCTGTCGAAGTTTGGCATGCCAAGAACGCATAAGGAACATAAGTTCTCGAGAACACCTTGAAGGAAAGACGCGGCATTTTCGGGAAGAGGGTTCAGCGATACATGGGTATGAAGTCCGTTCTGAGGCCCAGATATCACTGGCCTTGGAGCCAATGATGCCTTTACTCCGTGCTTGATCGTGATTGACCGGATGGTTTCTTGCGCAAGCATGAGTGCGTCGATGGCTCTCACAGGATCTTCTGGGCAAAGGACAATCTCGAATTGATCTGCGATCTCCGTGTGGAAGTCTTGGACAGCTATTCCCGACTTGAGTAGGGCCTCACATACTTCTTCCATGATCAGCAAACCTTCGCCGCGAAGACCTGCCATGGATGCGAATCCGGTATTTCGATCCAAACTCGACGCGAGATTTGCGTGTTCGTCTAGCAGCACGAACTCAATCTCGTAGCCGATGAGAACACGCGTCTCATCACCAAATGCGTCGACTGCTCGGTACAATGCTTTTCGTGGACATTTCTCGAATGGTGTTCCACTTTGCGGCTCTACCTGCGTGATAAAGCACATTACCATGGCGTGGTTTGGCTTGAAATGGCAAACGCGTAGGGACGGCCAGTCTGGACTCAACTCCCAGCGCTGTGGGCCTGCGGGGAAACAGTCAGGCGCGGTGGATATGGGAACGATCAAGCAGTTCTGCGCAAGCGAGATTCGCTTATCATTGGCCTCCATAGTCAGGCAATATGCTTTTGGTATCACTTTTGCGTGCAGGACGCCGGAGTAGTCGACCCATTGGTATCTGACGTATTCGATTGAAGCGTTCTGCGCGAAGAATGCTACCAACATGTCCATTGGTTGCTGAAATCTATGGAGATTGTGACTTAGCTGTTTTTGATAGCTGATGGAAATAAGAAGCCGAAGTTATGGAGTCAAGAACTGGATTTGTGGGATTCTGTAGCCATAAGTGAACAGTAGCCTCTTTGTGAGACGGGAACACAGGTCCGAGCAGGCTGAATACGTGTTATCCATACATTGGCTGCACTGCCTGGTCGTAACAATCGAGCGGCAATCGCTATCGCAGCGGATTAGAATCTAGGCGACTGCGCGCCTGCATGAGCACAACGCCCGCTAGACTAGGTTTCCCCTCATCATCTCTGAGAAATGACAGGGTTAGACGAGGTGCAGAGCCTCAGAACAACAGGTACTTCAGCCTGCCCCACAGGATGTCTTCTACAATCATCCTGACCGTCAACTAAATCATCAAACAAACCACCAAAAGTCAAGAGATACGCAACAATGACGGCGCAAAAAGTTCAACCCTGGAAGGGCAGGTGGCCACAGAACATCTCTTCGGCTTCCACCTTCGATCCCAATACCTTCCCATGCGCGACGGGACCGGGCAAAGGAGCACAACCTAACGAGGCCAATAGTGCCGATGGCACGAAAGTCATGCGCATCGATACAGTGGAAAGATTCGTTGCACAATTGGGTAGCAACTGATGAGCCTGGTACGTGTCGATAAAGTTTTATTGTTGACGTTTGCAAGCAGTAAGCTAAGTAGGAAGTCGATCAGAAACGGTATGGTAGCCTTGGATGACAGGCAATACGAAGCACGAGCGGTGTGACCAAGTTGTTGGATGTTCGTATTGCCATCAGGTTGCCGTCTTGAAAACCATATCAATCGCTTTTGGTATCAAGACTTTGGCAGACGCATATTTCGTATATATAACAATACTACAAGTTTACTTCACCACACTAGTAGCACTCTCAATTCAATACTCTCTCGTGGTAGCTCGCTCTCGTATCTCGTATCCTTGAACGCGGAATGCGGCACTGTTTTTTCGTAAGTTGTCTTTGCGTATGATAAGTTCTGAGTTACGTTACGTACCTGCGCCTTCCATGTGCGAATCTGCTGCCTTGAAGATCAGCATCTCACTGGGCTTCATGTCGCTTAGGTAGTACCACTTCTGTGATGGACTATATTGCACGCCGTGCGACTCGAGTATGTCTTCTTTGTGTACTTCATCCACGCGTATCATATCGACCGAGGACACTGAGCTGTAATCGCAAACGGCGAGGGGCCAATCACGCAAAGGCCCACGTAAGGGCTTCCATAGACTGCGAGAGTCAGATAATGGTTGCAGAAGGGCGATGATAAAGCCTACTTGACCATCTGGAACCGGCGCGCGAGGATATCAACGGCGTTGTGTCCTACAAGTTGTGGTATGAGTTGTCGGATGTAGTCAATCGTGTAGTCTGTGCGCTTTGAGAATATGCTTTCATGACATAGCTGTTTGACCACCATACCAGTATGAGCTTCCTGGACTGGCTGTCCATATCCTTTGCCTGGTGATGAATCTCGTTTTCTGATCTAATGTCTCTGTTATCACTGCCCTAGACCTTTATCTACGGATGGACTCACGACGCATTCATGGATGTAGATCGCTTTGACGCCATAACGATCTTTCCAAAACTTGCGCAACTCATTCGCGAAGACTGCTCTTAACTTCTCTTCTTCGAAAAACTCATCGTAAGTTAGAGCACTCGCAAAATCAGCGACCACAAATCCTTCACAGTCTAGCGACAATTCGTCTTTGATAGGTCGCATATCTTTGATTGGAACATTCCGTACATCTTCGAAATCGAAATTGGTCAAGGGAAAGTTGTCATTTGGCAGGTAAGTTAAGACGTAGGGTTTCTCGTTCTCCGGCCAAGAGTTTTGTCGGACGAACTTGATCTCCCCAAATGTATCGCATGGTGATGTTTCGGAATCCATGCAGAGCGTACACTGCTTCTCTTGGGTGTGGCGAGCCGGTAGTAATGGCGAATCGACAGAAGGTAGAAGCATATGGCCAGTTTGATGAGGGCATGTGCACAAGGCTTCGCCCCCAACTCTTGTCTGCAGTCGCGCACTGCTCTCACAAGGGTGCAGCTTACCTGCATAGACGACATGTATTGCTTGAAGCCTCAATTTCTGGGGGTTTCGATGCGTGGTCTATAATTGGTGGAAGTCAGGCTATCTACACGTCAGCGGCTGCATCTGCATCGGCTGTTTTCGATGTTGATCGCTGCAAACGCTGCCGGTCGCGCTTCGATACAACAGAGCCGCATCGGGCTAGATTTATCTGGACAAACTGATAGGCGTTGGGCCAGAAATAGATCAAGAGAGTGAGCAGGAAGACTGGAACAGATAAGGCCGGGTAAATCCAGATGCTAAGATTCGTGCCAATCTCTTTGAAGTTCATCCCAAAGAGTGCAGCCGTGAGAGAGAGGGGGAGAAAAAGAAATGCCAACCAAGAAAGCCTGCCAATACTTTCGGCCTGTTCTACGCTCTTTTTGGCTTCCAGTAATGCTGCGGAGGTGCGCAATTCATCCAGCTCTTCGTTATACAATCGTGAGAGTGCTATGGCCTTTTGCAACAAGGCTTCGTAATCTTGAAGGATTTTGACTGCAGATGCGTCTGCATCGCCTTGAAGTATAGCGTTCTCCTTGTCTTTGTTCGAAGGATGTAATGGAATCGGTGCTCTGGCAGCTGGGGATTGTGCTGATGGCTGCCACGTATGCCATTTTCTATCACCACGCAGGCGAATGCACTTGATGATATCTTCAAATCGCTCTATCTTTGAGCGAAGTATATTCTTATGATACCGAAAGTTGTCGAGAGACTGCTGAAGATATTTCTCGTCGTTGCTGTGGGAAAATGAAGACTTCACTTTGTATCTCAGAGCGTTCAAGAACTGATTTTCAGCGCTGCTACAGAATATGAATAGATCGTGCAGGGCATAGAACGGATCGATACGCATCAATGGTAACGACAAAAATTGGCCGTAGTGACGGCTAGCCAGCAATGAAGCGCTTTGTGCGTACGGTCTCCGGGTCGCGCTGGCCACGTCACTCGGCACACCAAGATTGTTCGTCTTCGCTTGCTTCTCCGTGGACCAGATCTTCGGCTCAAACTGGATCACGGGCTGGAAGACGCTGCTGAACTTGCCTCTCTGGCAAAGAGGCTCCAGCCAAGGACCTTGTGGTCCTTCATCAAGGTCCCGTCCGTGATCAAGGAGTATCAATGCTGTCATCAAGTCAGTACAGTCTCACTTGCTAGCTTCCTGGCAAGTGTACCTAGCCAGCCCTCTTGTCTTCTGACGACATTCACGATAATGTTTTGCTCAATCGAGAAATGCATTTCGTCATGATTCCAAAGTTGGCGGACGATTGACTCTCCAATCAGTCCGCTCTTTCCGAGATTGTTGAAGTGATCTTGCAGCTGAGTTTCATGTTCGTGCCTGCTGCTAGAAGGTACCTCTCCATAACCGATCGTGGTAGTGGATAGTTTGATGATGTTGATGGAAGAAGAGGGAAGGTCTGGTAGGTCGTAGTAATCGCTTCCAGGGACCTGCTGGAGCTGTCTTCGAAAGACTTCTGGATCAATACGATATCTAGCGCCAATAGTATTCATCCATGTGTGTGAAGGATACCCTCGAAGGAATAGAAGTTGCCCGCAATCTTTTCGAGGTGCCGGATGGCAAAATAGTGCTTGCGGGTCATCGAAGGTTGTGAAATACTGCGGATCTTGTCTATCATAAGCCAAGTCATGTAAAATCGCAAAGCTATGCTCTCGCTTTGGGAAAGGAGGATCTGGAGTACGACTCTTCGTTCCGTGATGTTGGCCGGTTGAGTTCAGGAATTTGACAATAGAGCGGTATTGTACACCAGGGTAGAGGGAATCATGTTCGGATCGAGTGGAGTGTTTCGAGACGGTTTTAGCATAGTCGCTTGGCGTCCGTCTTCGCCGAAGATTGGTATCATGAGCGGAGTTTTGGAGTGAAAGCTGTGACCCTTGATGGTCAAGCCCATCGGTACTATCGTGGGATCTGCAGTTCATCTCCATCAGGCAGTCAATGTGAAGATGAGTGTCCACTATTGTTTCACAGGAACTAGAAGACGATACTATAAGGTATTGGAACAGGCGCGCGCGTCGTGTGCGCATAACACGGATCAGTGGGGGCTGTGTATACGCAGTGACATCAACTCGATGCCACGCAACAGCGACAGACCTAGAGCAGAGACAGAAAACGCCTGATGCAACCGTCCCGGTTGAATACTGCCTTAGTTCAGGGCGATTTTCAGGGGATCCAAATGGCTAAGCCGCCCACCACCACCAATCCCGGCCTACCACATGGACATGGGTACGCGACACATGATAGTGTGGCTTGCAGGAGCCCCACCAATAACCAGGCGCAGTAATTATATTCTGCTGGACGAGTGTCTAAGTCTTGAAAGTTACCGCCGTTTAGTGAGGCGCACTGATACAAAGCAAACCTGAAAGGATAATCTTGCTCTGATACTTAGTAAAAGTATTATAATGTGTCGCTAGTACCAAGCCACTATTATGGACGATGCGAAGTAGTCGCCGTTGCGTCATGTGAAGAGTACGAAAAGCGCTCTCAATATTGCATCGATCTGATCCTCTAAGCAGATAAGTTCGATCAATCCCAGTTGTTCCGTATCAGATCATCCAAATCTTTGTACTTCAGCTCACGACCATGTTCCTTAGATAACTTACGCATAGCAATGCTGTACTTTTCCGACGTACGAGCTGAGTCTTCATGTCGACCTGCCATCTCCTGGGTCAGCGCAAGCGAGTACAATGTGCGCGCGACCTGAGTGGCATATTGTCGTCGTTCATCAAACGTCCTGATTGCTCTTTCAAACATATCGCTTTGGAGGAGTGTTAGCGAGACGAAATGCGAATCAGCATTCTGGAACCTACCAAGCATTGATCAGTTGGCCTATTGCTAGGTGGAGCTCGCCTGTCCTATGGTAGAGCATCGCTACCCGAAAATGATTCGGTCCAATCGTTGAGAGGTACTGATCTAGCGCCTTCGTATAAAACGTGAGGCCGTCTCTTGGCCGACCTTGAGCCAATCGAACTAGACCCAGTAAGTAGAGGCATTGGCCAGTTCTGCGTAGGAGTCAGCTAAGGTAGTCCCTGTTCCATTGTGTACTGACTTGAGAGATTCAGAATCCATCGGTCCAAACTTCTTTGCTCGTAGATCTAGGTAGTCTTCAAGCGTGTCATTAGCCTCGTCAAGCCGACCTAACTTGTACAGTGCGTAGGCCTTGTTCATGACTGCCCAGTCGGGATAGTCGTCCTCCGGAAGTGCGAAATAGCTTTTTATGGAAAGCTCGGCTTGCTGCAATGCCTCCTCATACTTGGAAGCTGCAATGTACGCCTCACAGACCTCATTTTGGGCTTGGGCCATCCTCCAGCCCAGTGGATCGTGTACTTGAAATATACCGGCTGCGATTTTGGCATGTACCATGGCGGCTTTGTAATCGTTGGTGAGATTCAAAAGCTGAGCTAGACAACCCTCGGCATCTCCTCGCGTGATATAAGTAGATTCAGGAACCAGGTCGCACAGTTCAAGAGAGCTTTGGAGGTAAGGTCTAGCCTCGTCAAGAATTCCTCTTTCAATGAAATACCTGTATGAGTAAGCGTAAGAAAAGCCAATCTCGTTCCAGCATCACTGATCTTACCATCCAAAATCCATGAACAAACGAGCGAGTTCAGGGCGGCCTTCCTTCACAGCTTTCAGCGCATCGGTCTGTTGGTAAATCCGATACAGATTGGCCACATGTGAGATTAGAGGTTCACAGAGGCGCCACCGAGCGGTACTGAATTCAAATTCGCTGAAAGGCCAAGCGGTATAGAGGAGATGTGTTACGCTGATAAAGCATGAATCTACGACATTAGGCTGCATTCGCAACCTTGCTGCGTCTTGTATAATGCGATGTATCACGAGTTCTTTCCTTTCCCGATTACGCTTGACCAGAGATGATTTTGCTAGCTCTGAACGCGCGTCCATGAATCCGGTCGCTGTTACAGGATATTCCTCTGGTCGATGGCGAACTTCCACGCTTGACATCATCATCAAGATGTCTTCCGAAATCTGGTCTGGATCGAAGAAGGTAATCACATTGATCAGAGACAAAGCACTTTGGCTAAGATCATGGAAGTTCCAGGTGGTGTAAAGAGTCCTTGCTGTGCTTGCAAACTCGTTTGCGCGGTGCAGGTCGGCTCGAAGAGCTTCTTGATCGTAAAGTGATGAAAATTCTTCAAAGGATAGATCCCGACGAACCATAGTTCCTGCGATCTGCATTATAGCAAGTGGTAAACCGCTGAGCTTCCGAGCGACCAGTTCAGACGACTGGATATCGGCAGTCGCTGCGAGCCCTGTCAACTTCCGTAATAGCAACCCAGCTTCGACTTCCACGAAAGGCTCGAGCTCCAGTCCGGACGAAATGGCCACGTACGTCCTGGTTTTCGCTAGAGGGTCTCGACTGGTCACTAATATCGATCCATACTCGGACTCAGGCCAATAATCGCGGAGGATACTCAGATCATCGGCGTTATCAAACACCAACAACCACGGGACAATATCCTGATTTTGATCTTCCAGGATTGCAGTACCCTCTGACATGCGCCTGACTGGCTGTGAGAGCCATCTGAAGACAAGGTTCTTACTGACAATCTGGTCTCCAGCTTCACTCTCGAGACCAAGAGCGAGTGAAATCTCTGCAAATGATTGCGCCAGCTTCTCTGAGTCGCTAGCCTGTAAGATGAATATGGCTTCGTACATGCTTTTGTTCCTGTAGGCATATTCTACCGCAACCGAGGTTTTCCCTAAACCACCAGCTCCGCATAGAGCAAATGATCTGGAACGTGAATCAACCGAAGGATTGAGTCCTTCAGCTAGGGTATGGAGGACGTCTTGACGGCCGAAGAAGTCAGGATTACGTGTATGCGGCTTGAAAAAGTATTGAGGTAGCTGGACGGTCTGGTAAACACCCTTCATGGGCTCCCGCAAACCAAGAATCTCATAGCTAGTTACATCGACGCTCGCACCTCCTGTAGCCGCTGGCATGGAGGGAAACGAGGAATCTGTATGAGGTAGTGGACCTGCAATCGTATCAGTTTAGTGGTTACTATCCCGAGATACCATCAAGTTGGATCGTACGTCCGTGTTGTGGTACTTCTTCCACTGTTTTGGTCCAAGCCACACTAGCCGTATCTGCGTTTGTCAGGAAGAATTGGCCAAATAGAGAAATCTGCTCACGCTGCGTTGACGCCTCCAAACGTTGCCGAGATATGGAACTCTCTACCTTGGTGAAGAAAGCTCGAAGTTGCAATGACAAGTTGTCACCCGCACATAGCATGCATATCTTAGAATGCATCTTATCCGCTTGGAGAAGTTGCTCTTCCTTAGCTCCGGTCTGAGCCAACAATCTCTCTACAAGCTTTTCACTTGTTACTTCGAGCTTGAAGAAATCCTTTTTGTAGAAGCTTACTCACAACTTCATGCTTGGAGAACAGGGACGAGCCGACCTTGCTCGATTTCGTCTCGTACACTGAAAGAATCGGTATGTCGATATTAGATTCTTCGAACATGCGTGAAGCTCTAGCAACCGCTGGGACGTATCTTGCTACATCGTTCAAAGCCTTTCTGGAAAGTTGCGTACTTGCTTTGATGATCTGTGTTAGTTTGGGCCAGTCTTGTTGTCTTTCAAAGGTAGGATGCGGGGTGCCCAAAAGGACCATACCAGCCACACAGGTGACCAAGGAATTGATAGCCGGATCATAAAAGTTCCGATGCAGTGATTGTACGGCCTGTAAGCTGTTATTGGAGGAAGACTGAACAATTAGTTCTTGGGACGCACTCGTTTGGCAACGATTCCACCCAACCCATGACAAATGAAGACCATAGGCTTCTTTACGAACTATGAAGATATTCAGCAATCTGAGTTTCTAGAATGAACGGTCAAGTACCTCAGGGATTTCGGGGAGTTCAAGCAGTCTTTCGAGTAATTTATCGCCACATTGGAGAAGTTGGTCCCACGAAAACTCTTTGCCTCCTCTGACGCTCCATTGGAACACGTACACACGTGGTCTTTTGGCAAGAGAAGGTAGTACAGTTTCCAGCCAACAAGACTGCCCATCTGTCCAATCCGAAACGGATATGGGATTTCCGATGTCAGGAATGGCGATGATGCTAACATCGTTGGGTTAGTGATCATGCATCAACTATCAGCCTTGTTGCGTACGTCGTGTCCCAATCAACCACGTCCGTGCTTCCTAGGACAGTCAATACAGCGCCGGTATCAATAACAGAAAGTGTCTGAGGCATGTTCATGAGATGTGTGATGCAAGCATGGTCGATGTAGCAGCTGATGAGCACGGCTTGACTGTGAGGATGAGGAGCCGTGGCTATGGGATGAATCGACGGTTATCCAGGCTGTATAGCTTATCATGACCGGTGAAGGCTAGGTGGGACGATCGGCGAGCGTGACAAGGGCAGCAGGTTACACGCGCTAGGCATCTGTAAACCAGAAGACAGAATTCTGATCGCTGAACCGTAGATTGCCTTTGGCCCTACACAGCATGTTCTGCGCCAACCCTGCCAGATGCCTCCATCTACGTCATTCCACAGTAAAGCCCTGTTGCCACTTCTGCCAATGACGACGCATAGTATGAGATTGGCTGAAAAGCGAGAGCGATCTGGTAGGATGTAAGTGCGATAATCACATAACCGCCTGTGGCATTCTGGAGTGAGTTAGTCCGGCAACATTTGCGCCAAACTTGGAAGCTGTCATGAAGGGTGTATCTACAACAACGACAGATCAAACAGTTCAATGACTTCCAGCCATGCCGATTGGGTGTAACGGACCAATGAAATCATGATTCTCCTCCCACCTTGCTGAATCTCTCAGTACTCCAGCAATTGGCTGGCCTCGCAGGCTGCAGTGTCATCCATGCATGCACCCGCTAGCCTGCGAGCTAGTCTGTAAATCGCTAGATCGAGGATTGCGGCGCATTAGTGCCTGGGTCAATAGAGATCCCCAAACCAATTCTACCCAAGGAACTCGAACACCGCTTTTCACAACCCGATATTCTCTGAACGCTTATCCTTTCTTCCCCACACGAGCGCGACACACCAAGCGTTGGCGAAAGCCGGGCTACCCATTTCGTGTTAACACTCAAGACCAATCATTTGCCTTTCCAGTCAATCTTGGCAGATGGACACTTCGGATTCGGAACCGTTACTTGGGGACAGAAGAAGAATTAAGGATGCGACTAATAACGACAGTGACTTCTCGGTACGGGCTGTACTCGCTGGAATGCTCATCGGTGTCCTGATCAACATCTCCAATACCTATTATGGCCTCATCTCAGGTAGCAGCCAACAGATGCCCATAGTTTCTGCACTTCTTGGCTACCTTGGATTCAGATTCCTCTCTAGATTCGGTGTCGAAAAACTTTCCAGGGCCGAGAATGTACTAATCGCAAGCACCGCCACAGCCACTGGCTGCATGCCTGTTACAGCGGGCTTCGCTGAGTTGATCCCTGCGCTCGAGTATATACTTGAGCCTGTAGATATGGGCCCAGTGCATCTATCGTGGCAAAGTTCAGTTGTTTGGTCGCTTGGCGTCGCTTTCTTTGGTATAATATTTGCGTCGTTGCTCAGAAGGTCGCTTGTCATGCCCAAAGATATGCCATGGCCTGGTGCAACAGCAAGCTCAAACGTCATAAAGTCGCTGCACACACCTACCGTGGATCGTACGATAGCCGAAGATCAGACAGAACAAGAGCATGCGGGTTTCACCCCTCATCGACTGCGCGCGATCTTCAATTCGGCGGGTGTTTCTTCCATCATCGTAGGTGCGGACATTTCTCGATGCGGAGTGAGATTAACGAGATGCAGACTGTCTTTACATATTTCCTACCAGTCCTCCACGATTTGCCTATATTTGGATCACACGTGGCAAACACATGGCTTTGGACAGCTACGTTGTCGCCCGGCTTTTTTGGCGGCGGGATGATTATGGGTCCAGAAATTACCCTACATATGCTGCTGGGCGCAATCGTGGGATGGGCGATACTTAGTCCATACGCCAAAACTCGAGGCTATGCCCCAGGACCAACCGATGACTGGGAGACTGGCAGCCGAGGTTGGATTATCTGGATTAGTCTATCCGCTCTCATTGCCGACGCGGTGGTCAAGATAGGCTGGATTTGTCTTGAAGCTGTCCATAACAACGGCGCGCGGTACCTCACTGCATACACGCACTACTTTCGAAGTCATGCTGTGTGGCATCGAGGCTTGGCAAGGGAAGACACGCTTGCTGCAGATCATGAAATCTCCAATGATAGTAATACAGACGCACCAATGAGTATCATGAAGCGAACAGCACCGATAGCTGCTTTTGGTCTGTCAATACTCTTGTGCGTCGCGACTACCACGATCGTGTTTTCCTCAGTAGTACCGTGGTATCACGTGCTTCTATCAGTGCTACTAGCCTTGCCAATGGCAGTCGTTAGCATTAGAACTCTGGGGGAGTCAGATTACAATCCACAGAGTGGTCTATGTAAGTTTGCTTTGGGCATCATATCTGTCGTTTACCTTGGACACTATCCATTGGCTAAGTATAATAGTATCTCAACTGTTTTTCGCATCCATTGTCCCACACTCGAGCGCCAACGGTGTTCTGATCAACATCATCTCTGCATCTATCTCCACAGCTGGCGCGAGCCAAACCGGCGACCTCGCATACGACTTCAAGATTGGGCAACTTGTAGGCGCTATGCCTACTGCCCAGTTATTCGGTCAGGTTATCGGGTCAGTATTTGGAGCAATAGTTTCTAGCGTAACGTATAGGCTTTATGTATCAAGATTTCAGATCCCGGGATCTTTCCTGCAGGTCCCTTCCGCCTTTCTTCTTGTCAGCACGGCAAAACTAGTGTTGGGGAGAGGGCTTCCCTCTGGAGTATCAATATTCATGCTAGGCTTCGGTATGTTCTTTGTGGCCGCAACGATTCTGCGCACATTATATCCGAATCGCTGGTGGCGGGTGTTTATTCCTTCGGGTGTATCTTTCGCCGTTGGTAAGTCTAGCGCTGACCCTTGTGAGAGACTCAAATCGCTGACTAGTATGAAAAGGGATATTTCTTCTCCCAGCATATACTATCGCACGAACTGCAGGCGGGCTGTTCACGTGGGTCTGGATTCGTCGTACTCCCTCGAATGCATCGAGCGTCGAGGTTATTGGTAGTGGGCTGATTCTTGGAGAAGCAATCGCAAGCCTTTTCAACCTGGGGTTTACAGCCTTTGGCCTACCGCAATTTGGACCTCAGTCTCCGCTGTAACGATGCGATCACTGTGTCTACCGATGATATCGCAACGGGTATATGACCTTTTGAGGTAGAAGAGTCGTCGGATATGGAGGTTGAGTGGAACATTTAGGTAGAGTTGCTAGAGTAACCATTACTTGCATGTAACCATCGCGCGCACAAACAAGGTACTGAGTGATCAAAAAGTGTCGCAAGCAACTTAGTTTTTATTCTCGCACTGGGACGCAAATACAAGAGGGTTGCAACCGAGTGTGTCTACTACTGTACATGCCCACTCCTCGCCTCTGCCGCTTCCACTAAATTCACACTTGGCAGCTGCCAGATGAGGGCCAAAACTTGACTGTTACACCCAGTACCCATAAGGGTATGCCCGATAACGGGACTTTTACACGATAATTGCCCAAGTTTATGGGACTTGTACACGAAAAATGCCCAATTGAATGGGACTGAACACAATAGGATAATGAGAAGAGAACTCGTAGCTCGAAAGCGGAGCTGACATCCAAAATCCATAATCGCAAGACGCAAAGAGAAAGCCGTATGAGGCTGGGGGGTATCATATGCTGCTGCAAAAGACTTGCTATCCGCCAGGAACGCCAGTGAAGTGACCTTTCTGACGTGTATAAGAACACGATACAGGTAGGGTATAAGAGTAAAGTCAAGAGAAAAGAATGTCGAGCTCCGTGGCTGTGATCGAGCGAAGCGGATGCTTACTGCTTGCTCTTGCCCTTGCCTTTCGAATTGCTGGGCTCGCCGTTGTTTTGAAGCTCGCTGTTGTATTCAAGCTCGCTGTTGTTTTCAAGCTCGCCGTTGTTTTCAAGCTGACCGTGCTTTGGAAGGTAGCAGACCCACTCTAGCTTCAACGGCCCTTTCGGAAGGTTCTGGTTTACGCTTTCGAGGATTTGTTGAACTTGCGCAACGACCGTAATCACATTGTCCATTATGCCGAACAAGTCGCGGTTCGGCTCAATGTATGCTTTGACTGTAGCATCGAACTCTTTTCGCAGTTCAGCACCCGCCTTCTGGACGTTACTGAGTTGGTCCCGTATCTCAGGCACAGCCGCTTCATAATCGCTCTTGATCTGTCTTAGCTGGTCGGAACATTCCTTGGTCTCTTTTTTGATAGTTGACGCGTTGTTGGACACAATAGCGAAGAGATTGCTGATGGTCTTCTTTATCTCAGCCTCCGCATCTGCGCGCGCCCGTCGCTCGTCGCTCACGCGAAAGCGCAAGTGTTCCAACTCTGTCACACGTTCAATCTTGTCTTCTTCCAGTCGATTTTGTAGATTTTCAAGCGTATTAGCGTCTTCTATAAGTCGGCGCTGGATCTCTGCAGTACTGACGTTAACAATCTGCCCTTCAGAGGTAGCCGCCTGCTTGGTGTCCACAAGTCCTCGCAATTGCGGAGCAATACGTAGAAGACCGTGCAAGCTTTCTGCGTCACGACTCAACGCGATAAAGCTTCCGTGAGGGTCCGCTAGCATTTTAGCCGCCCTGAGTTCTTTGATTTCGTTCTGGATTTGTGTCACACTCGGATACTGCCTTGTGAACCACTCGACCATGCGCTTGTACATGTCGTCGGTATTTATGTTCTCGTATCGGCTTTGTAAGTTGTTCAGCGCGAAAGTGATTCCTTGTAGTTGTTGATTCATTCCCTGTAGTTGTTGATGCATTCTTTCAGCATCGACCTTTCTTGACAACGATGTTTGCAGAGCTGCGAAAGCTGTCCTAAGCGAAACTGCTTCCGCTACCATCCCTTCAAGCTGAGCTTGTTGTTGCTGCTGTCCCAAAATATTTTGTTGTGTCGGCAAGTTCGCAACTTGCCGATTCAGATTGAAGATGTCGTGGCTGTGCTGGTCTAACGTATTGCTAATAATTTGCGCTTGTTGTTCAACACTTGCCTTAAGTGGTGCGAAGTGTTCGCGGAAGAGATTAGGGACCATCTCTTGTATACTTGAGATGATAGCATCGTGATCTTCGAATTTCTCCTGGAGTGTCTCAAGGCCTTGCTGGGTAACGCTGAGAGCATTCATATCGAACTGCGCTGACTGTTCGTGCCCCTTGTTGCGCGATGCTCGGATCTCTTCTATGAGGCGGGTTTTGAGCTCCTCCAGATTCTTTGCAGCCTTTTGCTCAGTTACTAGCGTCTTAACTCTCTTTTCCACCGCCTTCTCCACCGCCTTCTCCACAGTCTTGTCTAAAGCCCTGTCTTCAGTCTCAACCGTCTGTTCCACCGTCTCGAGCGGCCTAGCACTAGCAGAAGATGCCTCTATGCTATCAATCCGCTCCTCTTGGCGATCCATCCGGGAAGTTAGGCTATTCTTGCCTTCCACGGTTTTGCGGAGTCGTTGCAACGACTTGTCCAGCGAGTCGACTTTCGAGTCTAAGTCACCCGTCTCTGGGGCTTTTGCAACAGTAGACGAAGGGAAAACAGGCGTCCCGACTCTCTTAAAGTTTGGACCCTTAGGAGCCCTCTCCAGCTCATCAACACGAGGAGGCAGCTTGTCCAGCTCATCGACACGGACAGCCAGCCTGTCTACATTACGTGCAGACTTCTCCAGCTCACTAAGGCGAACAGGGAGTCTGGACAAATCAGCTTCGGTTAGCGTTGTTCGCAGGGCGGCAACCCTTTCTGATAAGGATTTTCCGGTATCCTTGTAGTCGCTTTTGATTCGCCCAATGTACTTGACGATGTCGTCTTGGTAATCAGAAAAGTCCTTCTCGAACGATAAAAGGTCTTTGTTCATGCTCTTCATCTCTTCGCGAATTTCCTGCACCTTGTCAAGTAGTTTGTCGTCTGTGCGTCGCATTTCCTCCAGCTTGTCGTGTATATTGTCCATGCCACTTGGAGAAAGGTCATCCACGTCATCTTCTACTTTATGCAAGTCATTTTCCAATTTCTGCAATTTGTTCTGTAGCTTATCGGCTTTGGCGTATGTCTTTGCATTATTCCCCTCGACGGTCTTAACTCTCTCGTACAATACCGAAAGCTGGTTAGCAAGTTCTTGCTTATAATTCTCCTTGAAGCTCTTGAACTCTTGCAATTCAAGCTGGTGACTGCGAATCTCGGCCTTGTTGTCATTGAAACGCTCAGCAAGCTTGTGATTGGCCTCGTCTGTTTTTTCGCTTAAGGTTTTCAAGACGACGGAAGCTTTCTCTTTGACTTGGGCTGCGATGAGGTTATTAGTTGTCACCTCAGATACCGCCTTAGGTTGCGCGTCCTTCCATGTCTTCAGTGCGCCGATATCGATCCCCTGTAGTTCCTTCGCAGTCTTCAACGTGGTGATGTCGTTCTCCAACCTGTGAATCTTTGCGAGTGTGCTGTCAAGCCTGTCTCTTATAGATATAAGCTCTGATTTGACAAATACATTAAATTGGTCCGGTTCAGGCTTTGCAGCTTGTCGCGACTCCAGTGTAGCTAATGTTTCTGGCACAGCTGCAAGGTCTTGCAGTCCCTTTCTCAGATCAGGGAGCCCGGTATCTGACTTTTCTAGTACTTCCAAGCGTTCTGTTAAAGGCTTGGCAGCTGCATTTACAAGCTTGAGAGTCTCTGTCCTGTCCATTAGGCTAGGAACGCGAGCAGACACGGCCTCTACATCGTCCAGTCTGCGTTTCGTCTGATCATGCTTCTCCTCTATCTGCTTCTTGAGTTCGTTGAACTCCTTCTCACGGTCACTGATGATTTGGTCACGTTCCTTCTTAAGGTACGCAATATCCATTGCTTGGGTGGCGAGCTTAGCCTCGAGAGTCTTGCTGACGCCGGCGGTTATTTGATGTGCAATCGCTCTTCTCCTCTCTTTCAGATTTCGTAAGGACTGCATGGTGATTGGAGTGTTATCCGTAACAAGACTTTTTACCTCTGCAGGTCGTCGCAGAGTGCTCAAGTCTGTTGCTGGTAGCATAGAAGGAGCAGGAGGGGCATGATGAGTAGGTGTCGATGCGCCGCTCCCTATGCTGCTTGTAGACTGAACCCGAGTACTCTGACGCCTTTGATATTGAGGACCTTCTGGCCTATACTGGTCAGAAGCTAGCCTCGGACCGGTAGGTACATTTGCAAGTCCAGCATAAGAGCTTTTCCTTGATGGTGGAGGGCTCGGTATTTTGGAGCTTGTAGATTTGGCGTACTAATCTAGTGTCAGCACTGGTGATTGAAGGAGTGAGGACTTAGCTGACCCTGTCTTGCAACGCCGACCGCGGATCGGGCGGGCGACTCCTTTTATCTGGAGGACTCTCGCCGTGAGACTGAGAATCTAAGGGCCTTTTGCCGATGCGCGAGCCCACTGGGTCGTTGAGCGCAAGCGAATACATGATCGGTGTTCGAGCATGCGGACTATGTGATACGTTAGTAGATGTATTACATAGAGCTTGGGTGTTGGGTGGTAATGTCGTTGTTGCACGGTCCTGACCTAGTGTGTTTCAGATGCCAAACGCTCGTAACTAATGCAGGGCAATCTGTTGGCTTGAGGACGGTGTTCAAGTGATACCAGTTCAGGTGCGTACTTTGAGTCTTCTACACTAGTGAAGAATCGCAGTAGAGAAAAAGCAAGTGACAATGACGTGATGGAATGTGAGAGGAAGTGAGAGCAAGTGAGAGAGCAAGTGAGGGCATGGCATACCTATCTGTTTGCATACAGCCGCCGTTGGCATCGCTGTCCCTGGAGGTGTTTGTCAAGATAGTAGGGACTTTAGGGCGACTAGCCATGTCGTCGTTGTGTGGTCGGCATGTAAAGTAAGGGTAAGGGACGAGCGCTGAAGCCGCTCCTGCGCACAACCAATACACGGATTGGATGGCGGAAGCAGCAAGATTGATGGAGACAAAGCGGAAAGGGTAAGTGAGGGAGATCCCAAGGGCTCAAATAGTCCTAAGGAACAATGTCAACAGACTTTGTGGTGTCAATAGACTTTGTGGCTGTTTGTGTTGCACGCCAGTTGGGAAGGGGCTAGGTTGCGGTCTGGGGACAGTCGCGTCGACGCGCCCAATGCCACTACTTAGCAAACGGCAGATAGCGGGCCCGTGCGCCGTTACTGGAGCTTCCATCTTCGCGTTCGCGATTTATCGCTGTCGCATAACGCCGCGGAAATTACCCACGACAACACATCATCATGGCCATGGTAGGTGAGAGATGTGACTCTTGCGTCACCTGACTGACAATGCGTAGCCCATCACCACCATCGCCGAGAGCAAGGAGCTCCGCGGCCTCAACCTCATCGCGGCGCATTCTCACATTCGCGGTCTCGGTGTCGACGATGACACGCTCGAGCCCAAGGTATCTTCGCAGGGCCTTGTCGGGCAGGAGAAGGCACGGAAGGCAGCTGCCGTGATACTCAAGATGGCACGAGATGGAAAGATTGCTGGTCGCGCAGTCCTGATTGCAGGCCCTCCCAGTACAGGAAAGACGGCCATCGCAATGGGCATGGCGCAGTCGCTGGGCCCCGATGTCCCTTTCACAATGCTTGCGTCGTCCGAAATCTTCTCGCTGGAGATGTCAAAGACCGAGGCGCTTACACAGGCCTTCCGGAAGTCGATTGGCGTACGGATAACAGAGGAGAGCGAGGTCATCGAGGGCGAGGTTGTTGAGATACAGATTGACCGCAGCGTCACAGGCGTGAGTACGAGGTTAGTTGTGGCAAGGTAGCGATACTGACTCCAGTGCAGAGCAACAAGCAAGGAAAGCTTACCATCAAGACGACCGACATGGAGACTGTCTACGACATGGGCACCAAGATGATCGACGCAATGACCAAGGAGAAAGTCATGGCTGGCGACATTATCTCTATCGACAAGGCTTCGGGCAAGATCACCAAGCTCGGCCGCTCGTACACGCGCTCCAGAGACTACGATGCGATGGGCATCGACACCAAATTCGTCCAATGCCCAGAAGGCGAGCTGCAACAACGGCGCGAGGTAGTGCACACAGTCAGCCTGCACGAGATCGACGTGATAAACTCGAGGACTCAGGGCTTCCTAGCGCTCTTCTCTGGTGATACAGGCGAGATCCGCAGTGAAGTACGAGACCAGATCAATACCAAGGTCGCAGAGTGGAAGGAAGAGGGCAAGGCAACCATTGTGCCAGGTGTACTGTTCATCGACGAGGTCCACATGCTTGACATTGAATGCTTTTCCTTCGTCAATCGCGCGCTCGAGGACGAGCTCGCACCGATCGTCATCATGGCTAGCAACAGGGGAAACACACAAATACGGGGAACAGACTACAGGTCACCACACGGATTGCCACTCGACTTCCTTGACCGTGTAGTCATTGTCAGCACCCACGCATACTCCTCGGAAGAGATGCAGCAAATCATCTCGATAAGAGCGCAAGAGGAGGAGGTTGATGTCTCTCCGGATGCTTTGGCACTGCTTACCAAGATTGGCCAGGAGACCGGACTGCGATACGCAAGCAACCTAATCACGACTTCCGACCTGATACGCAAGAAGAGGAACGGGCCGGAGGTCACCATCGATGATGTGCAGCGAAGCTTTGCGCTCTTCTATGACCCCACAAGAAGTGTCAAGGTAAGTCTCCACGCACTAACCTGTTGGATATCACTAACGCGACAAACAGTTCGTCTCCGATTCCGAACAGCGTTTAATCGGCGATGCGGGCGCCGTCTCCTTTTCTATTCCCAACGGCGCCGAAGCGATGGACGTCTCATAGACAACCTTAACTCAATCTCAACGGCGTACAAGGATTTGGTCTGATGTCTGGTTCAGTGTGTTTGCATAGAGGGTAACCAGTGCCACGGCGTAGCAAAAAGTCTGGAAGTGTAATACCAAATACAAACAGCGTTATTTCTCATGGTACCAGCGGCCGTTTGACTAGTCCGTGACTGCGAGCATGAAGACGCAGGTGCAATCACACCAATAAGGCGCGATAAAAAGGAGACAGCCTTTCTATGTGGTTGTACGATGGTCTGTGCTATGTTAATCTACATCGCACGTGTCGTACATGTCTAGGGAAGATAGATTGGCGAACCGCTCTTACGGACCAGCTATCCTCGTACTTGACAAGCGTGTACGCTGATGGCTGTGCAACGTCAAACATGGACGCGCAGGCGTGAAATTGCGCAGATACAAAGGGATGAACTCAGATCCAGGCGCGTAATTGTCATTCGATAAGGGTCGGATTTAAGGCCGAAAAACGATAGACTGCTGACGAGGCCTTGGTTATAGACATTCCCTAGTGAGACGTCCATTCCCGATTGGCGCAGATGCGCATGCGACTTCACTACTGGAGTACGTAGACCCAACGCCACGACTCGAGTCCTCGAAGTAGATATTAACAGTCGGAGCAAGATGAAGACGAAGATATTCATGTTGGGTTGTATTAAGATCTTCAAAGAATGACCCACCAGCCACAGCTGCTCCCTTCTGTGCCACACCAAAACGGCGCGCAACGGCCGGCAGCCGGCATCCGACTTCCGAAACCGCTCAGCATACAAATCTTGGAAAGCTTAACCACGCAACGCCGCGTGTCACTGGACAACGCTTCCTCCCAAGCCTCCACCAAATCCACGATACCCCGGGAAACCGGCACACCTGTAACCGACAAGGGGATAGTGAATGGCTATACGTAGGACAAGGCTGAGGAAGTGGATGATGTGGGCGGCACCAGGCACAGACTGGCAGCCTGTCGCGTGCGCGTCATGAAGTACTTTGACTCCCCTCCCGCACGCTCTGACCCCATGGGTGGCTTAGTTGTTCTTCCTTCTTTCTTATCTTATGTGTGAAGCGTCGCCTGCCATTGCTAGAGGTTCATTGACGTTATTCCCGCCTTCCTTCGCCCCACGCCTGTCGATCGTTGGACTTTGAAAGCACGCGATCACCTTCCCGAAGCGCTGGCTACTTTCACTCCGTATTGCCTTGGTGTTCTTGATCGATCATAATAGTATCGTACGACAAGTGATACTTCCAGTCAATACCCTTCCGTCGTATTGTGTTTGAGACGACATACCTATCTAGAGAGCCCAGTGCAGGATTCCAAACTCAGCCATGCGCTTGTCGACTTGCGCAGCTGCGCTTGCATCCGCAGCACTCTTTGTTTCCTCACTGGCCACACCCACACCAAGTCACAAGCTGCAAAGACAAAAAGTATGGGCGGATCGTGTTGAAGAGAGGAAGAATGCAAAGAAGCCTGATACCAAATACTTCCACGAGCCAGGGTAAGCAATCTCCCAGCCGCACAACTCGTCATTGCCACAGGAGTTAACAAGCTTGCAGAGGCAGTCTTACTCTCGGCCACTATGACAAGCGCTATTTCAATGGCATCGTCTCAGATGAAGAGCGGACGGATACGCAATCGCATATGGTCCGCGCTTATCTGAACTACTTCCGTGAGAACGAACTGGATACTTGGATAGCGCACGGAACATTGCTTGGATGGTGGTGGAATGGACAGGTGTGTTCCGCCTCCGGTGACTTGCGATAATCACTAACGCATGTACAGCGTCTGCCATGGGATTTTGACCTCGATACACAAGTGTCCCATTCCACGCTCATGCAGTTAGGCGCAGAACACAACCAGACGAAATACCATTATACCTCCTACGACGGCACCGTTCAGCGCGAATACCTCCTCGATGTCAACCCATGGATCTGGGAGCGCGAGCGTGGAGATGGTATGAACATTATCGATGCGCGATGGATCGATGTGCGCAATGGGCTGTTCATCGACATTACCGGACTGAGCGAAACACACCCAGACGAACACCCAGGAGAGTGGAGTTGTAAGAATTACCACAGGTACGACACATCAGAACTGTATCCCATGCGGGAAACAATGTTCGAAGGCGTCCCGGCGAAGGTGCCTTACAATTATGACAAGATACTCGTGGATGAGTACAAGGAGAAGGCTTTGCTGGAAACGGATTTTAATGGGTAAGTCGACCTTCTTCTCTGCAAGGGAGGCCGTAACTAAAGATGCATAGACACCGATGGGATGCCAACATCAAGGAATGGGTAAAGTCACCAGAGACACTGGCAAAGGAAGAACAAGAACGGAAGAAGAAAGAAGACGAGGAGAAGAAGAAGGTGGAAGAAGAATCCAAACTAGATGTGAAGAGAGTGGAAGAGTCCAAGCTGGAGTAGTATTCCAGCTGGCCGTAAGGCTGGGGTGTGGTGCTTGATCGTCTCATGTTGGATTACGACATAGCTTGAGCATCGCCAGCGTATGTTTCTAGTACAAGATTTATTGATACCCGTTGCCGGTGGCGGTTGAATAGTGCAAACAAGCAATTGCTGATCATGATATTAAGCGAGTCGTTTCGTTTGCGTTTTGATACCAAGATGCGCGAGCATGGAAGACCTTGGACGGGCCGATGATGGCGGTGATGAATAGTGAACGGCGCCTGGGCATCGGAGTTTAGTGATGACAAATTCCGATGGCGACCCGGGCGTCATCTCGTGGAAGCCTTGGAGAACGTCACCGAAACAACGATGGCTAAAGCTCAGCCACATGCTGCGAAGCTTTATATCTTGATCTACCACTAACCCACCACTTACACCGTATAGTAGATTATACTCAGGAACCTCGTATCGCCTCAACGCCCCTCTCGCCGTTTACTACAACAAGACTGCCATGACAGAAGCCGACGCATCCTCTGCGCCAACAATATCCGGCGACGACATTGAAATAACCCTCTCGCACCACGGCAAAGCAATCGCATTACCTTTTGCACAAGATGCCACCATTTCAGATCTTTCAGAGCGCGTCGCGACAGACCTCTCAATACCATCCTCGAACCAAAAGTTCCTCGTAGGCGGCAAAATCGGCCTCCAAAAACCCCCCTTCAAGAATCCATCTCTCCCGCTTACAGAGCTCGTCTCGAAGAAGATAACTCTCATGGGAAGCACATCAGAAGCCGTGTCGTCCCTCAACAACACCATAACCGCCGCCTCCGCCCCCCGCCGCCCCGGCCCCATAAAAGCCGCGACCCCAGCCCGAAATCGCGACTACAAAAAGATACAGGAGGAGGCGCAATATACATTCCACACTTTGCGGCCATTGCCGTATCTGCCGAACCCGGACCGCTCGCTCCGCTTCCTCGAACGCCTCCGCGATGATGCCGGCATAAAAGCTGCCATGCGAACCCACAGGTTCAGCGTTCCCCTCCTCACAGAAATGGATCCCGCCATGCACACCACAATGGAGTCCCGTACACTGGGGCTAAACAGAAACCAAGGCGAGGTTATCGAGCTACGACTCAGAACGGATGCGTATGACGGATATAGGGATTACAAGACTATACGCAATACACTGTGTCATGAGCTTGCGCATAATGTTTGGGGGCCGCACGATAGGAATTTCTGGGAGCTGTGTAAGCAGATTGAACGGGAGGTTGCGAGGGATGATTGGAAGAGTGGAGGGAGGAGCGTCGGGGATGAGGAGTTTTACAATCCTGATGATGATGGGGAGCAGGTGCATGATCATGGGGGGTGGACGGGTGGCGAGTTTACCCTGGGGAGTAGTGGGAAAGAGACCGTGGTTAGTAGTGCCGGGAGTGGAAGTGTGAATGCTGGTGCGTTGAGTAGGAGGGAGGTGCTTGCTAGAGCTGCGGAGGAGAGGTTCAAGAAGACGAAGAAAGCGGAGGATGAGGCCAGTGGGAGCAATCAGTCTTGAGGATGTGGTTTTGTTTAGAGTTCTGCATGCGCGTATACCCCGTCGAGTGCGTATGGTTGGGTAGATGTAGGTGCTACTACTTCGCTTCTTATATCGTATCTTGCTCTCAACTTTCAAATCGCCTCGTATTTGCTCGTCGCGTATCGACTGTTCATTTCTTGCGATTTCTTCTTTTCCCGGCCAATAGCATAGCTGGTCGGCCCAAGATGTCGATCCGCAGGTTCGGATAGGAGGAAGCTATATAAGCTTTTACCCCATCTTCCCCAGCCCTTAGCGTGCCACCAGCTAAATCCACACCCGACGGTCTCCGCGTCTCCGTCGCAACCTCACTCATAACATTTTTCTTGATTGCAGTACTTCTGTTCTCCTTCTCAAGCACTGATACTTATATAACCATCCATACTATAGCATACTTCTTCGCTCAGCATCCATCATCCTCATGGGTTTCTTCGTCCCCCTGGCCCTCCTTATAGCAGCCGTTTGGTGCACTGTCGGCATCCTCCTTGCAAGATGGCTCAAGCAATCTGGTCACGCGCGGCCGTTTAAAGGAAGAACTTTCAGTAGCAGGGAGTTGTATGGTGGTGGTGTGGGGTATGGGAGAGTGGAAAATAGTTTTGGACAAGGAGCGGCGAGTGAGGGGAGAGGGCAAGAAGGCAGGGAGAGGGGGGTCGGTATTCCTCTGACAGGGGTAGGAAGGGTTAAGGGCGTTTGATTAGAGACGGAAGAGAAGGTGCTATGCGAGCATAGGTGATAGGTATGGTGCCCGGATGCTCATGTTGTGTTTCGGATGGCTGACACGCTACAGATGATCAACGTACAGTTCTGGCTCCTGTAGTATCGTGACTGGATTACTTAGAGAGATAGTCGTTGTTGTCGGTTCATCTCCGATCGATTGGTTACCATGTTTCGCATTCACTTCGGGGGTGTGGGTTTGTGCGTTTGCACATGGCCGATCACGCATTCACTTTCAACAACAACACCAATGTTACGTCATTCTCTTGGTTCTCCAGCCAACTAAGGCATTCAAATTTCTGCCTGGAAGATATCACAACACTCGCGTCGAGCCTGCACGTTCCTTCGATCACCACATCCTTTGTCTATTGCTCTTCTAGCCTTAATACTGCCGGAATCAGACTTGCATTGCGCATATCAACAGCTTCAAAGTAACATCCTGCTTGATTGCTGCTTCTTTCATATATACAGCCTTTCCACCCATCGAAGTCGGTAGCTTGGTGCTTGACACCACTGTGCAATTGCGACGTAAACAGACATCAGACACCAAATCGAGCACCACTACCGCTAATCAAGACACTGCATCCATCTAAAGGGTTACACAGCTCAGATTGAGTCGCGAAAGTCCTGCAACACTTACAACTTATCGTTGCCTGCTCTTCACTACCACGCGAACTCCTAGAAATCGACTACAATATGCTCGGCCATCCCAGCACCAACGCTGCTTCGCTCATCAGCCTGAATGCTACCTCAAAAATGGCGTCAGAGACGGCTAAGTTCACCTTGCTTACACAAACCACTACCACGATATTGTTATCCAAACAAACTCAGGCGACGCAAGCCGTGCCTCCTCTATCCTCCATTGCGAAGACCCTGACCCAATACTTCTTCGGCGAAAGCATACTCCCTTCCTACCTCCAGCCATATGGACATCTACTGCTGGGTTTCACAGGAGGTGCAGCTGCAGCGACAGCTCTGTACAGCTTCTTACAACGTAACAAAGATGACCGCAAAAAGATTCAACTGGCCGTCTTCCATGTCGTGCGTGTTCTGCAAAACCTTCCCAATCTGGAAGAGCGCATGCAGACGCCAGAGAAGCTTCTTGCTATGATCAGCGAAGAGGTCAACTATATGATCGGTATTCATCTAACTCAATCGGAGGGCGCTGCCACTATATCGCAGGTCAAGCGCAAGGTTGAGACAGATTTCAATGCACGTCTGCAGAAAGAGGAGATTATGAAGAAGCGGAGGATGGACAGTGCAGCGGTCGAGGACGAAGATGACGCACTGTTCGATCGTCCTGGGGAGGTTGATGTACAGGCTACTGAGGCGCATGTTGCTGGCGACGTACTGGGGGTTGTCATTCAGTCGCCTTCCTCTTCCATTGAACGCAATGGAAACACGTCTCAGGAGCTGGACTTATCCCATGAGGAGGACCTGGACCTGGATATGACCATGCCTGATTACGACAGTCTCGATCAAGCCCAGATGCCATTTTCGTACAAAAAGCCAGTAAATGAGCGGTCGCTACCCGCATCACCTGGTTCCGACCATGACTCGAACGAGTCTTCACCCGTTCTAGCTGCACGGCCTTCAAACCCAACCACTCGCCATAGTCATGGTGATGCGTATGAGAGATATGACACGCTCGCTTTACAGCCATCAAGGCTTGCCTGTCCTCGTGGCAACGTCATCTCATATGAGGAAGACTCAGAGCCAACTCTCCAACCATCCAACTCCACACCTCGTCGCGACCAAGTGTCCTCATTCGAACACACAGACACGCCGCGACCAAAGATCGCTCGGAAGGTCAACGATGGTTCTGGCAAAGACAATCACAACATCTACTCTTCTCCTGCTTTCCAAAAGAAAAACCCACCTGTTGATGAAGCGCCTTCGATATGTACCACCACGAAGGATATTCCTGGTCGTTATGAGAAGCCACGCGCACAAAGCCGCCCCAAGACAGCCGTGAAGCCACGAAGCACAACTTCACTCCATCGGCCACCCAGCACGATAGCCGTGAAGACGGAAGGCACTGTTGACGGGACTTGGCTTTTCCCCATACGAGAAGGTCTATCACCACATGTGAGCCCTGCGGTGGACACCACACAGTATCGTGTTGCAGAGAGTCGCAAGCTTCACAAGAATCTTGAAGGAGAAAGAGAAGGCCGCCGACGCTTCAAGAAATGGATTCTAACGGATGTGCCAGTGCAGGAGTCTGATGAAGAGAAGATCTCGAACACGGTACGTAAGGAAGAGAAGCTCGAGCAACCAGCCCGAGGCGGTGTTGATGAGACTCTCCAGCAAGCTCTTGACTTGCACGCCACTGCGGAGGGCTTGACGAAGAGTTCTGAGCAGGAGTATGCCCAAGAATCCGAGGAAGAGAAAGTGGATGTGGGTGACACTCTGCCCGGTTTTATATCAATCCACTCAGATAGCGACGAGGATGGTGAGGGATTCATTGCATCCTCTCCGCCCGGACCCGCAAACTCATCACCATTTCATGAACACGTAGAACTACCGTCTAGTCCCTCTCCCTTGCCCACCACAGCTGCTTCACCAGCATTCCGCCAAGCCTATTTACCGCCTGTAGCCAAGTCTTCTACACCGGATTCGGCGTCATCACACGACTTCCCAGTACTTGCTGCTGGCTCGTCACCCAAAAGGGTAATTAGAAGCGCGGCTCCAAGCCCACCAGAAATCCCTAGAGGTAGCCCTTCGAAAGCGACCCAGCCACTCGAGGCACCGCAGACACATGTAGAGTTCAAGACTCAGAGGGCGGGTCGTCCCAAGAACGTGACGAGGGCGCCTGCCAGGTCGAAGACTGCGCAGACGCCTGGGACACGGAAGAGCGCGAGGGTTGCAGCGCGGGCTCAGGCGGAGGGAAAGTAAATGTTGGATGTTTGGGAGGACTACAGGGTACGGGTTGAAGTGTTTACCAAGAGCTCAGACGCATTGGTATACTTTAGTTTGTCTTTTGGGCGTTGCCATTGCAATACCCTTTTGCGTTGTATTCCTCTAGCATGGCGAAATGATTTTAGCGTCTTTTATAAGGTAGGTAGATTCGCTCACGTCATACTGATGGGCTTCACGACGGGGATGCACATGCATATAACTTTGTAAAATACGATATGTTCATCATTTCAATCCAAATTTGGACATCTACTTCCCACCGTTCTCCAAATGCTCCCTAATCTCCTTCTCTTCATCTCTGGCCAACACACCCCCATTCGTCGGCTGCACGGCCACAACAGAGCTCCTCCTCCTCTCTGCATCGTGCGCCTGCTCTGTATCCGCATAATCAATGAGCAGCTCGCCCTTCTTTCCGTACCGATGTGGCAAGTCGTGCGCAATGCCAACGACGTTGAACGGACCCGTTGCCTTGTGGAAGATCTCGTCCATCTCCTCGAGGGAGCGGTACGCGGTTTCCGGGAAGAAGAAGTATACGGAGGGCACCATTGCGGCGTTAATAACGGCGAAGATGATGTAGGTCTGGTAGCCGATGTTTGCAAATGCAGGAGGAGTGATCATGACGACGAGGAAGTTGAATATCCAGTTGGCGGTGGTGGAAATGGCGTTTGCAGGCGCACGAATGGACAAGGGTGTAATCTCTGCGGGATACAACCATGTCATGCCTAGCCAGCCAATGGCGAAGAAGGAGTTGAAGACGAAGAGGAAGACGGTGGCGAGGAGACCCAAGCTCGTGTTACCAATGTTGCTGGTTGCACCTGCTAGGACAGCCATGGACATTGACATGCCGGCCGCACCGAACATCATCAAAGAGCGACGTCCAAACTTCTCGATTGTGAAAATGGCAATCCAACTCGCCATCCAGTATTCTGTGCCGTTACATGCGGACAAGAGGCGACTGAGGAAGGGCGAGAGACCGATGGAGTTTTCGAAAATGGTTGCGGCGTAGTAGGTGACTAGGTTGATACCCGAGATCTGTGGTCTTGGTCAGTTACTGCTGCATATCGCTTCTGAGCTGACAAAACTTACTTGTTGGAACATCTGGTTGACATACGCCAACACTGTGCGGTGGAAGTTGCGGTTCTTGTTCATCTTGAAACAATCTCGGAAACCACCGCGCGACATTTCCAGAGTGACGTCCTTGACAGCCTGGAACTCCTCTTGGATTCTCTTGTCATCCTGAGGCAGATCGCTCAATGCAGCCAATACCTCCAAAGCCTCCGCCTCTCGGCCCTTGAGCACCAGCCAACGTGGACTCTCAGGAAGACCGGGGATCATGACGAGAATGAACAGGGCCAGAATAATCTGGAAAGCAATCGGGAAGCGCCAGGCGATGCTGCTCGGTTCAAGGAAAGAGAACCCCAGATCGAGCCAGTAGCTAAGCATGACACCGAAGACAATCATCGATCCTTCAATCATGACCATTTGACCTCTGCGATGCGGTTTCGATGTTTCAGACTGCCATGTGGGAACTGTACTCGTGTTCATGCCGTTTCCGAAACCGGTGATCCATCGTCCGACAATAAGTTGTGCAAGACCGTAAGATGATGTTTGGAGGATGGCTCCTACGATCATGATGGCGCTGCCGATGAAGATTGTCTTCTTGCGTCCGAGCATGTTGCCGAGCCAGATGGTTGCTACGGCGCCGAAGAAGCAGCCGAGTGTGTAGGCACCGACCGTGATGGCCTGGATGGTTGCAGCATGGCTTGTTGAACTGCCTGGCGGTGGGTTGACGCTGTCGATTTCGGGAAAGTATCTGATGAATGAGCCCAGGGTGAGCAAACCACCCATTACACCTTGATCTATTCAAATGTTAGGTCGTGTATTGTTAGTGAATGGCGTAGGCGCTTACCATAACCGAAGAGTGCGAAATCTGTGCCTGCAATAATAGCAATGGCAATGTTGAGCTTAGTGCCCCGGAGGCCGTAGAACTTGCCCATGTTGTATAGTAATACCAGTAACCAGTACGCGTGTTGCGTTGTGACAGATCAAAGGGACGTCGCAAACAAACAACGACAGAGGCCAGCTCGCTTCCCAAACTCGTGGCGAGGTTTGCGATACGATGAGGTATGACAGCAGGCGCGACGACGCTCTCTTTAAGAAATGTCGCGTCTCTACTGCCACCAATGTAACAGTAGAGTCCGACCTCAGTCCCCCATCCTAGCAAATAACGCCGAACCGCGCTGCCCTACCGGCGTCATCCCCACAGTTTGCTTCGACGATGACGTTTGGTCTGGAGCCGCTGATGATCCCAACCCCGTGGAGTTTGGCGTGCGGAGAAAGACACACTACACGATCGCACGGGGATAACAGGGTGCGGCCATGTCATTGGTTGCCTTCACTCCGCATCAGCACTGTCCCCCCAGCACCGCACTCAAGTCACCCCAGTTGACTCGTTTGACTCGAATTGCCCACCGGGATTACTAGATTAGGCTGTCCCGGCGCATTATGATGTCGGCAATGGGAGGAAAAGTTCGCGAGGCGGTGTTTCGCGCCGCGGCGTTGTCCTTGCTAGCTCTGGGGTCAAGCATCGCGAAGCCCCGGGTTAGTCCGATGCTTCGGCGCACGTAAGAAATTGCTTGGGCGGCTTGCCAAAAAGCGTAGTCCCGCCTGTTAGCCCTCGTAGTGACAACTGCCTAAAGAACCTCGTGTCGAAGCAGCGGGAAGCCCTTATACCCAGGTACCTGGTGGTGTTGAGGTAGGTTTGCCGCTCACAGGTTGAAACAGCCTGCGGGATTATTGATCATCAGGGACAGGGTGCGCCAGCCACGCGACAAGACCAAGTTTTCTCGGATCGGAACAAGACTGTGGAGCCGATGGCTTGGAGGGAGGCTTCTTTGTGGAGAACGCGTGATTGAAGCTGCGCTGGATTGCATATGAGATCCTTCCAATACCTTCCTAACACGCACATGGAGTAACACTAACCGCAAGCAACCATGTGACATCGCGATTCTGTTTCAAATGCCGCGATATTTTCTATCAAATGCCGCTAACGTTATAGTGGGTGTCTCTTTCACATGCACCAGACTGGGGCGATGATGCAAGCAGTTCTCTACTTCACGATACACGCCCAAAACCTGTTCAATATAAAAGCGACGAAACAGCGACGCAGAGTCATGCCAAACCATTTTTCTTTATGTTGTGACTAGCAATTCCACCAGGAAAACTGCCCGGGCAACGCCTTGACACCTAAGGTTCCCAGGCCGTACGCTCGGTCTCCACCATCTCGTCAACCGCCGACCCTGCAAAACGAACCGGTCTGATCATCCCGTTCAGGTCGGAGGTTGAAGTCGTTGCCTTGGGCGTCTGTAGATACTGGTTGGATACAGCTCTGACAGGAATAGTGGCAAGCTGCGCCGAATCATCTCCGGCAGAAGATGGAGCAGCAGCAGCAGCGGCCGCAGTAGAGATCGTTCCACGTCCGATCATCTGTACTCGCTTTCTCTTCCATTCAGCTACGATCATGTTTGCCCTAGTATCATTTCGCTTCCAACGAGCCATCTGTTTGACCCTTCTAGTGGCCATGCCAATACTAGCGGTCACTGGCTCGACCATGCCCATACCGACGTAACACTCGACCTCCCACACAGGCCTAGACCTGTTGTGTAAAAGTCCCAGGGTTTCGTCATCTTGTTCCGTTGTATCATAGATGGGTCGCTTGAGAGGGTCAGTGGACGCTTCTACAAACTCACCATATTCTTCATCGTCCGGCTTTGCAGTCTCGGTCTGACTAGCGTCTAATGTAGTAGAAGGTTCGTCCAACGGGTTTACAGATGCCTCTAGCTCAATGGAAGAATTGGATTGTGAAGCAGAAGATGCATGATCATTACCCCAAGCGTTCTGTACAGATTCAGCTTCACTGACCGCATCCACGTCTAGCACATCACCCGCCAAAAGATCTGATTGAGTCGGTATCGTGATGTTCATATCGGTTGATATGTCAGTTGATTAGAGACCTGCACGTTCAGAGACAAAGAAAGAAGTTCTTCTTGAATATCGTAGTATTCAATTTCACTTTGTGGGTCATCGTGAAAACAGGCAACATTGCGTTTGTTGCGCCGTAGTCTCACGAGCCTCTGAAGTGATTCTACATGAAGCATCGAAGCATTGTATGAAGAAATGGTATCAGACCGAGAATCGCTAGAACGTGCGCCTCTGGCGCGAAGACGAAACGCTTTTCCTGAGCCATTGGCACGTGAACTCCACATCCCATCGATGAACGCCAATAGTGTAACCATGCTAAAGGTATTATACGCGCATAGCTTCTCTCGCAGCAGGCTCTCTCTCCATCTCGTACTCGATCTCGCGTCTCGGGCCCTTTGAGTCCTTTGATGGCTTCTTCTTGGGCTTTGGAGGCGGGCCAGCAGGACGCTTACGCTTGAGGTTCGCCAGCGTCTTCTTGAGAGCCTCTGTGTCTTCGTCTTCAGATGCCTCTTCGTCCTCGTCTTCTTCGCTACCACTTTCATCGTCTTCGTCACCTGAGCCTTCGTCTGGACTCTGACCACCTATCCAGTCTTCGAAGTCCTCCAAGTCGTCGTCGGATTCGCCTTCTATGTCGCTCACGTATTCGACTTCACCGACACCGTTCTCCATCTCGTATTCATTCTCTTCCTCTTCGTCTTCGATGCCCTCATCCAGGTCCTCGTCGCCCTTGAGCTGGCCTTCTTTTTGTAGACCGTTCATAACACGCTTCCAGACATTTGGTTCCACGTTGATCCTGCGTTCGAGTTAGCCTCGATCTCATATAACAAGTGAGTCAAGTCTTGGTATTGTGACGGTGCTCATTAAAAAATTAGAGTGTTGTTGTTGTTTTTAGTCCTCATCGTAGGACTCAGGGTTAAAAAGCAAAAATAATCATGGCAGCTGTGGGGGAAGAAGGGGTGTAAACTTACGGTCGATCACCATATGCGCCACTGCGCAGACGGTCAATGAGGACACGCTCAATGGCGCGCTCAACCTTGGCAGCTGCAAGAGCCTTTCGCTCTCGGCCCTCCTCTCGTCGGCGAACCTTGGGCGCCAGTCTAGGAACCAGGCGTTCTCCTAGGCGCTCTTCTTCCTTGGCCAACTTCCTTATTCTTATGTTGACCTGGGTCAGACGTGTCAAGCGCTGCTTGTTCTTGTGCTTGAGGAACTTGGGGAAGTATGCAAGATGTTGGTCGACAAGCTCGAGGGCTTGGCCGTAGTTCTTAGGTAGCTTTATCTTTTCCCACCATTGCGACGGAAGATGGGCGCGTTCGATCGCTTTGATATACAGATACAGATCTCCGGTCGCAGGATCTGAGCGAATCGTGGCATACCGTGAGTTGGCGAGAGGGCACGACTGCTTGGAGCAGTAACCCGATACGTTGTGTTCATTCCTGCAGAACGTCTGGTCCTTTGTGGTCTTGAGTTCTGAGTGCAAAAGGTTAGCGTTGATTGACGTATACATGCTGGTATGCGGGAATACTGACTGAAGCTGCAAAAGTCAGTTCCAATGACGGACCATACAAGGTCATCTGAAGCCATGGCGGCGTAAGAATTCTTTCAGCCTCGCTGCAAAACAAGTGAGATGCTTGGCGACGGTAGTCCTGTGACTGTAGGCGAAAACAGCAAAGGGACTTTTGAGGGGTGTGAGGTTTTCGCTGTTGCGCGAAAGGAACAGGTGTTGTCGTGAGAAGGTAGACAGGCGACGATCTCAAGAAATTATTATCTTAGCGTATGCACGGGCCACTGCGGAGGTGCAGCGGAGCTATCACGGCATCCTTTATTCCAACACAACCATGATGTAGAACCTCAGCTTGCGGAATGAGAGCCATTGTCTCATCCCTTCGTCGCAATGCTCTTAGTCGATTGAGAGCACCCAAGCTGCCGGTCTCCTGTCTTACGCGAACCACATGGCCGCAATGTGGACCCCACCATGCTGTTCAGCGCATCTTGAAAGCTCCCAAGGAGCGCCTATACCATACCAGCCATGAGGAACCAACCATCTATGCCCTATCTACTGCCAATGGACGCGCAGCCATAGCTGTAATTCGCGTTTCAGGGTCAGCATGTAGACAAGTCCGACTCGCGTCTCCACACACTACCGCAATGTTAACGCCTTTTAGATATATAAAGGACTATGTCCCTCCACGTCCTTCCCAAAGCCTCGATACGCGACCCTGCGCAAGTTGTATGCGCCTGGCTTACCTCCTTCACCCACAACGATACTAGACTCCGGTGCTCTGGTACTCTACTTCCCCGCACCCAACACAGTGACTGGAGAAGATGTCCTTGAATTGCACGTACATGGAGGTCCAGCCATTGTACGCGCAGTCTTGGCAGCCATACCAGAATGCGCAAAGGCATCGGAAGGTCTCGAGTCGATGCGCAAGCAGATTCGGTACGCAGAGCCTGGAGAGTTCACTAGACGCGCCTTCGCCAACAACCGGATGGACCTTCCCCAGATTGAGTCGCTGGGAGAAACACTGTCAGCTTCGACGGAACAGCAGCGCACTATCTCTGTAAGGGGTACCAACTCTTCGCTAGCCCTACGATATGAGCATTGGCGCATGTTGCTGCTGCAGGCACGAGGCGAGCTGGAGGCCTTGATTGACTTCTCGGAAGATCAGCACTTTGACGAATCACCCGCTGTCCTATGCGCCAATGTCGCAGCTCAAGTCCGCGCCCTGCAGGTACAGATGGAGCTGCACATTGCGAACGCTGTTCGTGGAGAATTGTTGCGCAATGGTATCAGTGTTGCGCTCCTTGGGGCGCCCAACGCAGGCAAGAGCAGCTTGTTGAACCGTATTGTTGGAAGGGATGCCGCTATCGTTTCACAAGAAGCCGGAACAACACGGGATGTGGTTGAGATAGGGCTAGATCTTGGCGGATGGCTTGTCAAGATTGGAGACATGGCCGGTTTACGTCGGCCTGGTGTCGCAGGTGCGGATATCGTTGGGCCTGTGGAACAAGAAGGCATCAGGCGCGCGAAGCAACGAGCGCTGGAGTCAGACGTTCTGATCGTCGTCCAAGACGCCACAGCCGAGATGGATCCCGAGGTTATGGAGACGGCAAAGCAGTGTGTTGACATCGGCATCCAAGTCATTGTTGCTCTCAACAAATGCGATCAACTCCACACATTCCAACTCTCGCGGACGGCATGGGAGGAGAAGATCCGTTCTACACTGTGTCTTCCCAACGACCGTCTATGCTTCATTTCCTGCAGGTCACCCATGACACCTTCAGACACATGGAAGAGCGACAACATTTCAACATTCCTTACCACTTTGCAGGACACCTTCAAATTTATGACAGCCGCGTTGGTTCCCGACTCAGACCCTGACCCAAGCATCTGGCAAGAGTCATTAGGCGCGACTGAGCGTCAACGTCTTCTTCTCTCCGAATGTCTCAGCCACCTCTCCGCCTTCATCACGACCGTTGCCGACCCCTCGGCAGATTCAACCAGATCCGGTGAAGACGAATCAGGCGAGGCCGACGAGGTCGACATTGTAGTCGCCGCAGAGTGCCTTCGCTCTGCCGCCGACGCTTTGGCCCGCATCACTGGCCGGGGTGATAGCGGCGACGTTGAAGAAGTATTGGGGGTCGTTTTCGAAAAGTAAGTAACCCAATCCAATTTCTCGCGTATCCTCGTGTTGTGTCATGTTCTGGAAGCCCTCGTAAGGCGTTCTGTACTTTGGCCCCATCCAGGTCAGACGGCAGCCTCCGAAAGGGGGCTAAGCGGGCTTTGCTGGGGAAAGCCACAACGCTTATAGTACGGGCGCGTCTGTGCAGTATCGATTGTTGCACGGGGCGTAACTTTCCCCATGGTGCCTGCCGGCTTACGTGGAGCTGCGGTTGCAAAGAACACGTGACGAATATCTGGCTAACATCAAATTTCCTGTAGATTCTGTGTCGGCAAGTAGGGAACACGTTTTCCGATATCAGTGGCCGTCTGTGAAATCTACTGTCATTACGATGATCTATTGTATTGCGTGGCAAGGGATATCGCCAGGACGTCAAAACTCTATCGCGGAAAGAGTAGCAGTTATTCATTCTACAACCAGACCAGCTGGTCTCTTAAAGACACCCAAAACTCCACAAAACACCTGATCTAGAGTCGAGAGATAATGATCTTGGTTGAAAAGAAAAGCAAAAAGAAACGTGAAATCTACTACGCCTAAACACCAAATGACTCCGTCTCTAGATTCAATACCCCTGTTGCATTACCGATTCCGTTACCCAGTCGCTCAATGAAGAGCTTATCTCAACTTATCCAACGCCTCAGAATGCCGTATAACATACATATTCCCATGATTCCGTAATTCGTATCCATATGTCAAAAAACTCCGTCGCTTGCTGATGCCGAGTGAAGATGGGAAGTTAAAGAAGAAGAAGAGGCTGGCAAAGAAAAAAAGAAAGAAAAGATGGTGGTACAAGACAGGAAAGGAGAAGTGATGGTACAGTGACAAAGGAAGTATGGAGACAAGAGAAGAAAGATATGACCGGACCCTAGGAAACAGACAATGGCTTCCATCGTTCAAGACGTCGCTTGCGAAGTGTTTGTGCGGCGGGTTGTGGGTAGTAGCGAGGCGGGATGGCGTGAGGCGTAGTCATACTGAACCACGCCGCCATGATGCTGATAGATGTTTCGGATTGCGGGAGCAGCCGCTGAGCTTAGTTGTAGCCTCCGCGACCCATGTTGGAAGATTCTTCCTGAGGAGTTGGTGGTGACATTGTTCTTGTGTAGTCTGTTTGTCCGGCTTTGTTGTTTGTTGACTTGTGGGGTCTTTCAAAGTTGTGCTTGGTCTTTGACGTTGGTACAAATGCTCAGATCTTAGTTGTATCCACCGCGACCCATTGGGGTAGTGTCTTGAATGTTGTGTAGTTGAGGGTGTGTAGTCTCAGAATGAAACAACACTGATGACGACCAAGACAATGTGCGTAGAGGATATACAAGGAAGTCGCTGATGAAACAATGGGATAATGGTAGAAGACGGAAGAAGCAGGTGAGAATGGATGCTGGATGACTGAAACTTTGACTCAAAGGGAAGAAGCGACTCGACTTATATGAAACAAGAGGCCAACAAAGACACCAGAAAATGCAAGAAAGCAGACTAGGAAAGGTAAGAGAAAAAGGGCGTTCGGGTGTTGTGACTGAGTTGATCCGACTGTTCTTGCCTGCTTTCCAATGGTCCAGGCATCCAAACCGTCTTTATACCGCACAGTTCACCTACCTGTTCTCCTCTACACCACCAACCACAATGGCGGGAACTGGTGGCGGACGCACCCTGGTGCACGCCACGAACAAGGCATCTAGTCATCATTTTCCTGTTACTCGCCGGACGACTGCGCAGCATGCGAAGCGTTTTGCTTGGGTAGACAGGAATAAGTTTCAGGGTCTGTGGGTGGGTGCGTTGGTGCTAGGGTGCGTGGGAATGCGTGGCAGTGAGGGGGGTGGACCTGTGCCCACGGGTGGGAACTGGAGCCGCAATGCAATGCACGAGCTAGGGTGGATAAGATGGGCGTGCGCGGCTGATAGACATCCTTGTTGCTGATTACATGGAATCGTGCGGAATTGTGCAACAGCATCCCCCATTGGTGAGTCTATGGGTATACCGATTGCAAAGCAGAGAGAAATGCCGTCCCTCGTGGACATCTGGACAGTGACCGGACGAACGAGGTGTTGACGATGCAGCATTTCTGCCTACCACTACGTATCCCCCCCATGCGTCATGACCACACGTCTTCTCTTCACCACTAACAACACCCCACGCTGTTACGATCGGAACGTGTGGAGCCCTCGCCAGCGTACTTTCTCGACAAGCGCGGGACGATTTGCCATTGGTTGGTTATTCGTAACGCACGATACAGTCATACAACATCATCGCGACAAGCATGTTTCCCTACACCAGATAGCGTACCTGCGCAGTGTCCAGACACCAAGAAATCGCATTAACCTTTGCAAGGCAATTCATCCTTTCCCGTAGCTCGCGCTTTTAGGCGACTTGCAGTTTCAAGTCAATTATCGCATCGTCCGATAGTTACTCATCCATCGCGTCACCATCTATCGACGATTGCTGTGCTGCGTCTCGCTTCGTCGGGGCCGTTTTCCGTGGAAACTCGGCGAGGGCAATGCTGGGCGTGCGACACGAGTACTCGCAAGCCGTGTGCAAAAGAGCGAACTACTTCTGGGCGACGTTGCAACGTGCCGTTCCAGATTTGGGAGGCCGCCCCATGGCCTTGGGTCGTCTGAAGCAGCGAATAGGGTTGCTTAAGTGGCCGAGAGAGCTGTTTCGAGACCACCGGGGGATACAGTGCATGGCGGAGCGTTTGAGCCTTACCCGCCCATATGCCTGCTGCTTCAAACTGGTGGACTCTGCTACCCATGCCCGACCGTTGGTGCCCGGACATTGGGAATGATCCTGGTTTAGGAACTTTCACACATGCACCAGTCGCGAGACGTGCAGTCCGATCGTGACGGAAATCCGGTACATCTAGCGCACAATGTCCAGCTGCGATGCACCCCAAGACCCACTTGTTGCGAGAATGCGCAGTCGCTATGCCTTGAATAGGCTTAGCTACCGTTGTCATACTCTCCAGCTTGGCCAAAAGCCTGTCCCAGAAGGTACATGAAGATGCAGGAACAGAGTTCACTTGCTGCTGCATGTGGGCTGAAGACGAGGGCTGTACGCACTAGGACTGTGAGGTCACATTACTAGTCCGCACCTGCGGGACGCACTCGCCTGCTCTTTATCGTGACTGGCTGTTCCGAATATGTCGACCTTCACTATTTGCACGCACGGGACAATGGGCATCGCAACCATGTCGAAACTCGGACGGCGACATACGCCTCGAAGCTTGACAACGCCTCGATGCGCACTGTCCAGATACCGGTACGCCCTATCGTCACGTTCCCATACCGTTCAGAGCAAAAGAAGTAAGACTTGGCCAATACGACTTGCATAGACGCTCACGTTCGTTCGGCTTCCCGGTCAGTTCGGCATCGGGAGAAGCGCCACGTTTTTTGTGACGGAAGGATGCCCACGAGCGAGCCAGCATCACGGCATCCCGACAAACTGGATAGAAGGATTTGCAGCAACACAACAGCGAAAACCCCTGAGGCTATCTATGGACTCCGATTATGATCGGTACCCAGCGCAATGGAAACAGGCGATGGACACTTTGTCAAACTAGGAAATTACGCGATACAGGAACACAAGGCTAACCGGCAGGCATATTCGATCGTACAGCGTAGGTGCAGTATCGCTGTCGACTGTGGAGCCAGGCGATTGGTGCGTTCCTCGAAAACGGAGAATGCGACACTGAAGGACGACGCCGGCAGTAGCTTTCACAATACAATACGACGCATCCACACCACCAGCATTGCACACATCGCCAAGGTTCGTCTTTCACATGAAGACACACACATCACCGACCCGAAAGCTCTACGCGCCCACCTCGCAGCATATCAACTTGGATCGACAAACGACTGCAAGAATATCTGCAGCTTCGCTTTCCTTATACACAGCCCCAAAAATAGGACCCCATACCATACCAATCTGCCATCCTTCAAACAAGCGCGACAAGCGCTTGTAGGGCTGACTGAGCCATAACGTCAGCGCATTCACCCGATTTGGTATCTCCGCGTTGCTGTTCAGCTGAGCTCGCTCATTGGCCAGACTTGCAGTAGTACAGATGTATTTTGGGATGTATGTCAGCTGCAAGATATCTGCCTATCTAGGACTTATTTGGCAAGATTGAAGTCAGATGAAGAGCGGATTGGGGTTATTTTGGGGTCTGAACATTACCCAACTGGGTAGTCACATGTGGATTAGGAAGCCATGTGTACTCGGTGTTTGGAATAATAGATCAGTCCATCAGCCCAGGTATAGGACCCACTAACGCCCTCGGACATAGATTTGTGACCGCGTCTGCCTACCTGGATCCAACGTAGCAATCATCTTCAGACAACTACATCCCCGACGGCTAGATACAATAGCCCGACGCACATCACTAGCCACACCACAGCCTCACCTACAATACCTTCCGCCACATCACTCAGATTCTAGGCTACGAGGCTCGTCGCCGATCATGTTTGTCATACCCGAGACTGAAATGAGTACGCTTCCGCCTTCCGAGTAGTTGCACGATGACGCCTATGGGATCTGCAATGCCACAGCACGCGTGCCGCAAGGCTAGGGACGAGAGATATAGTTCCTTAGAACGTAGGACAACATCTATGATCTTGCCAGGTACCCTGTGTAGCATGCCACGTAGCTTACTGTTCTAGGTTTCATGCACTGCCTGACCGATATCAGTCGTCCGATACGCACGACAAGGCATCAGGAGTCATTGATGCAGTTTCGACTCATGGTCCGTATTCAGACCGCAAGTTAGACACTTTGCCAAGGTTTGTATCGATTTCTAATATGTCGGTATTAGCAATCGTGATGTTGGCTCGGAGCGACCGACCCGCACTTGACGTGCAGCCTCGTGCTCTCGGGTAAGGCTGACCGATCGGCGTTCGATCTACAACTCCTCTACTGGATGCAGAACGAGGCTGACCACACCTCAATAACGTGGGATATGCGGGCAGCAGCTTTAGATTCACGACGACGTTGGTAATGCACGAATGTCAAGATATGTAATCTCTTTGCTGCTTCTCGGAGAGACCGAGAATGAGTCGCGTTCGTCGCGGTATCATTCCCACGAATCGGAAATAAAGCTACAGTATACACAAGAGAACGCAATTTGTAGAACATTCATGTGGATGAATGAAGATGAAAGAGAAACTAGTCTAGTCATGATTCGTCAACCTGCCTTTACCCATTTCGAGCTGTCGGGAAACGTTCTACTTTCCTGTCCCGTTTGTCGGAAAACGACGCTCTACCTTCTTATCGAACTTGCCGGTCTTGCTTAGCAGCCTCCTTGCACTCTGGATCCTCGAAAGAAAAGACTTTGATTTAGGCCGCTGGCTAGCATCAGAATCGAGACACATCTCAAGATATGTACGCAACTCGGATGTGTATTCAGCAAATCCTGGATGACGAGTTTGATACAAGAAGCCCGCAGTGAAGATATCCTTATAGGGACAGTTCGTCATACAATACATAAGCGAAATGACTAATCCAATCTGGTACATGTCAGCCGCTTCAGTTGGTAGAGCGCCTTCTGGAGGCTCATAATCACCAGATATAGCCGGCAGATCCCACCAGGGTTTGGGTTGCGCTGCCATTTCGCTGTCGGCGATGGCGCAGCCGAAGTCTGCGAGTTTGATGCGTACTGGGTAGTCATATGGTGACTGCTTGGAACAACTATCGAACTTGTATGGTAAGGTTGGTATGGCGAGAGTACAAAGTATATTGGATGGAATTATGTCACGGTGGGAAACGGCATCCCATGTACCAGGTAGAGCGTTGTCAGGTCCGTTGTGGAGGTACGTCACCGCGGAAACGAGGGATTCGAAGACTTGCCATACAAAATCTTCGGGTATGAGCTCTTCGTTTTGGTTGCAGCGCGTGATGACATCTAATAGAGTTTTTTTGTCACAGTATTCCGTTACTAGGTAGGGTGTAGCGTGGCGCTCCGTAACTGTGCATGGTAGATGCGCGTCGAAGAAAGAGATTATATTAGGATGGGATAGGCGGCGTAGAATGCCAATCTCTCGACTCGAACGACCGGGATCCAGGGCTTCTGAGGTCAGGAGCTTCATAATACATTTCTCGCCATTCAGTTTATGGAGGACGAAGAGAATGCCCTGGTTACACGAACCCTTGACTTTTGTAAGTTTAGACGTGATGACCCACCAATTACCAACGGTTTGTCCAACAGCGAACTTGTCGCCAGTACATTCCTTGTTCTGATACTGTAGTAGCCACCTTTTGGCATTTTCACGATCATCCCATGTTTTTGGTGGTTTGTTGTTGAAAACCAGTCGTATGAAATTCGCGAGACCGGGAACATCTGCAGGATCGCCCTCCGAAACTATGAGGTCTGCATGATCAAAGAATTTAGCGACTTCATCATCATTATCATTCGTTGGAAACTTATAGATCTTCCGAAAGTGACGAAGAGTAAGCTGATCGGGTTGGTCGAGTGAGGGGTCTTCTTTGATGTGGAATTCGGCAAGGCCTAGCATGGTTTCGCAGAACGCCGAAGATTCGTCTTCATGGACCGCCGCGCCGATGTCTTTTTGGTCGTACTCTTGGATGCCATCACAATCTGTGGCGTTTCCGTCTATAGACATTCTTTCCAGGCGTCTTATCAGAAAGCGAATGTATTCAGGTAGGTGACTACGTGGTACACGGGCTTGTTCGAGGCAGATGGAATCTTCGCGGTGCTGCTGCCAGATCTTATACAAAATGCTTCTGGACACCGTGTATATACTCTGATGTGTGTTGTTCATTCACTTAAATGAATACCAGTAACACAATGCTGAGTGTCGTTATGGTGAGCGTTCTAGCGTTCGACTTACCTGTGCTCGATCACCGTAGACTTTTGGTACATGTCGTCAAAGTGGTCTGTGATAACACTACGTGCTGGGAGGATGTCTAATCACTCACGACCTCTTGTTCTATCTCTCTTCATTCATCATCAAGAAGAACGTCTATCATACACCTTTTGTATTAGCCCAGCAAATCGTCTGTATTCTTCAGTATGACATCAAAAATAATCACTACCAGAACAAAGAATATTCGTAAGGATATTGCAACTAGACCATTCGATGAGATCATAGCAGAAGTCGAAGACGGCATATTTCACCTAACAATGTTTGGCCAGAACGACCTTAAACCCGCACCGAAACGATCACGAAAAGCGCAGAGAGTTGTGATCATACAAGCAAGTTGGAGATATTCTGGGCCGAAGCTAGTATTGATTAGCCGGAGGCCAAAGATCATATTTCAGTTCGGGTATGTCTTCAACTATCCGATCGCCAGACTGGGCGATTTCGGCTGCGCAATGCGGCAATTTGAAACAGAGACGATAGCCCACTAGGATTATCATTGGTCAAAAGAAATCCCATTCGTAGATAAGGAGTGCGAGCCATCAGAAGATTAGTATACCACAGAAGCCGCGGGCGTGTACCAGATCAGGTTGCTTATGTGCTGTGTAATACAGAACACAGTGAGTCCCTCTAGTTTCGATGAAGAGGCGATACAGCCAGCGAAATTCGATACCTCAAGCTCCTTGCACTACCTGAGGGAGCTACACCACCTCATCGACAGGTACGTGGATGGAGATGACCAACGAAGTCGGCTCGTGGTGGACATGCAGTGGATGAGATGACGTGAGTTGACAGGCCGTTTGTCAAGGCCTAGAGAAGGTGCAGAAGAGCACCATTGAAGCGATTATTTCGAAGAGACAGCTCAGGTGCTTAATATCTCACGGATGGTTTTCGACAGCAAGTACCCGATGAATGATTACATCCTATCTTGCATAACCAAGTTCTGGCTCTCACCGCCTCAGGCTTGGACCTTGTACACCCCATCACTCCCTCTTAAATCTGGCCTTGCTTGCCTAATTCCACTTCTTCGACGATCAGAACGGTGTTCAGTAACTTCGGCGACCTTGTGTTTGCACCAAGACCGAACTACCACCGAGCCAAGGATGCACTGTTTGGTAGGACATCATCCGTCGCAAGGTACACGATGCTTCCAATTCGATGTGTACAACAAGTGTCTTGGAGTACGCGCGTATGTGGATAAATACGCGTCCATCAACATAACTTCCGTGTGGGTCAGGCGGGCCGTGTGGGTCTACCCCCGGAGTCAGGCCAGCGGTCCGTCGAAGGATTAGATCCTACGTTGTTATGAAACCTTAAAACCAATGAATGACGATTCTATGTCTTCTCGATAATTTACTGGAGTACAGGGTGTTCAACAGCGACCGGCGTGTCCCGTCATTGTTGCGATGTCACAACTGGTGATCTCGAAAAACACAACGTACAGAATCGCGACATTCGTTGGGCACCCAGAAGAAGGAAGGATTAGAGCAACAACCATCTTTGTTAGATCTGAACATGCTCGGATACCGCCTCGCGGGGCCGCTGGGGCCACATGGAGATAGGATCGTGGTTGCGAGGGAGCATAGATTGCGCCAGCGATGCCTTCATAGGTGGCCTGAGAGGGGCCAGTAACTCTCAGCTCGAGTCATATCACTGGCTTTAGCGCGTGGTACTCCTCCGATTTCTGACGCGTAGAGGCGAATGCATACTCTTCATTGCCGTCCGATGATCGGATCTCATCGAAAAGCTACCAACTCGCCCGTTCCCCTACCATCCTTCTCTCCCAACTTTTTCGCTTCGCGAAGATTGTATACGGTGCAGCCCTGCAGCTCTGTCAATTCCATCAACGAGACGTAGCTGTTTTGGTTCCTGGACGCCTTGTTATCGGCGATCGCAATCATACGTACAAAAGCCTCCATAAGTGAGTGGAACATCGTCGGTATAGAGCCCGCCGCGAGGCTGGGGCTAAGGATCGACTACCCGCCGCTAGCGCCGCCACCCGTGCGGTACAACCTCGGGAATCATTGACAGCTCTCCATTCCTTCATTAGTTGTTGCAATTCAGTCCGCAGCATCGAATTTGCCGTTGCTTGGTCTGTAACAAAAACATCAGGTATCTGTACATGGTGGAGTGACTGCTGAATTCAATATATGCCCATAGCATTCGTCCACAGAATCATCTTCAATGATTATAGTGTTGCGCAGGAGATCCAAGTACATTGCAGCTGATGAGCAGTTACAGCCCCAATGTCGTACACAAGGGTATGATGCTATCATTATCATCATCTTGCTGGGACTTGCAAGATTAGGCGCTCTGTCTGTGACGCCTCGATGTGGAATCTACCATCAAGCGAACACCTTCATGGACGCGATCAGCAAATGTTGAAGGTGAAGAAATACCCTACAGTAGCTAAAGGTCAAGATAGCTACAGCAGGATAACTTTCTTTGTGCTCTTTCCGGCAGTGACTTGTTGATCCGCCTGGTCCACTGTCACTTCAACTCCACCACTGGAAGCCTTACGATACTGGCAGCGACCTTCCGCACGGAAGACGCCTTAGGCCACCAAGTACTTGACCCCCCTTCAACGTAGTGCAACAACTCTGAGTAAGAGACTCCGCTGCTGCTTGCCTGAAGACGTCGGGGTGCTGATCGCAAGCCTTCGCATCGTGGAAGCATCTGCGCTCTTGATTCCCGAAATTACACCAATACAGCATGGTACGGCAGGCCTGCGAAATGTATAAGTATCAGCCTTTTCTCTCTTCGAATGCTCATCATCCAACACAACTTACAAACGTCCAACACATCATCACTCCACTTCCACTTCCACTCCAAACACTTTGTCAGTGTGTCTCTCCAGCCCCTCTGGCTCTTGCCTATAGCTGATCCGATGTCTCAGAACTCCAAAATGCAGTTCACTCTTGCCTCCGTCATGGTCATTGCTGCCGCTCTCGCTCCGGAAGTCAGCGCTTTCTCCGTTACCGTAAGCCTCTCTTTCAAAACTTCGATAGCTCTTCTTCTTTGAGCATAACCTCTGCTGACTTGATATTCTCATCTAGAACTGTGAGACCGGACAATACAAGAACTACGGCGCAAACGGAAACAGTGGCTGCAAGGGTTTCACCACTGGCAACAGGGTTGCCTACGACAGCAACAAGGGTCTCACCCTAAGGGTCTTTGGATCGACCGACTGCCAGGGTGATGCTATCAAGGAGATTTGTAAGTCTCTATCTACCAAAGGAATACAAAACATATACTGACTCTGAAACTCCTTTGTAGCTCAGCAGAATACTTGTGTCGACGTTGGCTTCAACGGACTGTCCGTCGAGGTCTTCTAGATCTGGAGAAGCGTCTCTACTAGCGAGAATGAAGGGGAGTATCATGTTTCCAGATAGGGAAGAGACTCGGAGCCAACGTTATCCAACATAGCCTAGTCATCCGCCGTGTATCTTAGCTATCCGGATTGCTATAGAATGGTCATTCGTTCATTTACATATTCGCCCTAGTCTTTCCAGTGATCCCTTTCGACAGACGTTTCTTTGCTTCTACTTTGGCGTCCACAGCCTGGCTTCGATGCGGTGACTTCCGACGAGCAAACTGCGAAAATAACTTACACCCGCGTTTGCAGCTAACAGCTGTTCCATCTATCCACCGCTCGTTGTGCGAAAGTGCTGGAACATTCTTGAGGTTGAGCTTTGCTGATCAAGGACTCCACAAGTCATGCAACGCAAGTGGGGCACTCAGGCCAGAGCTGCACAGCGTGGTTGCTACGCGACTGCCTAGACCGCCTGGTCAATGGACACCGCCATTCAATACAACACGCCATCGCAATAGCTAGTTGTTTGGTGTTGAGATCTCGCGGTCTAGCGCTGGAGTGTTGTTTTGCGAGTGCATGTAGCAGTCTAGACCTTCCTTGACGTTCATTCAAGGCGATCACAGAAGCCGGTGCATACGCCTAGGTGTCTTTGATGTCCGAATTATGAATATGGATTAACTGGAACGGCATCTTGATGGAAATCGTTGTAGCTGGCAGACACGTGACTATCGCATCATCATCGGGCCGATACGGTCGGTTCCTGAAGGATCTGTGACACGGGAATAACACTTAACGTTAACACACGGCGCTGCCCAGGGCCATTTCCTGACCCCACAAACAGCTCCTTCATCGAATAGCCTAACTCGATCTCCAGGCACCCCAATAAAAGGCCGATCTAGACCTGTGTTTCGCCTACATCTGCCGAGGTATCGCTGCCGAGCCTAGCTTGTAGTGTACCTCGATGACGTTATTATGGATCGTTCTCGGACGAACCCATGGTCGTCATTGTTTAGCAACCATTCCATATAACCGCTTAGAAATGCGAAAAGGTTGAAGCACTAACACATTACTTATAGACCTTTGTTGATCGCGCATTCAATCTCAGCATATTCTCCAACACACATCTTGCAAACCTTGATTTCATTTACTCACGACATCTCTTTTTTGTTAGATACCCATTCAAATTTCAGCAAACATGGCACCGCGACGATACGAAGCAGAGAAGGTAGACCCCGCGCCATTGGGCAAGCCTCTCGACTTTGCTTTCTCCAAGAAGACTGCTCAGAACCGATTTCTCAAGGGTGCTATGACCGAGCGCCTATCATCATGGGATCCCCAAAACCTCGAAGCTCGTGGTGTCCCGTCCAAGAACCTAGTCAACGCTTACCGACGATGGGGTGAGGGTGAATTCGGTGTCATCCTGACCGGTAACATCATGATCGAGTACGACCACCTAGAAGCTGCCGGCAACCCCATCATTCCCCGTGGCTCAAAGTACGAGGGTGAGCGGTTCGAGATGTTCAAGGAACTTGCAACTCAGTCGAAGAAGCACGGTTCTTTGATTGTTGGACAAGTCAGCCACCCTGGTCGTCAGGTAGCCGACAATATCCAGAAGAATCCCATCTCCGCATCCGATGTACAGTTGGAAGGCAACGTCATGGGCATGACCTTTGCTAAGCCCCGCGCCGCAACCGACGAGGACATCAAGAACGTCATCGAAGGCTTCGCTCACGCAGCCGAGTACCTAGAGAAGGCTGGATACGACGGTATTCAACTCCACGGTGCTCACGGCTACCTACTTGCGCAGTTCCTTTCCCCAACAACCAACAAGCGCACCGACAAGTACGGCGGATCCCTCGAGAACCGTGCCCGCATCGTCACCGAGATCGGCCAGGAAGTACGCAAGCGCACATCATCCAACTTCGTGCTTGGCATCAAGTTGAACTCTGTTGAGTTCCAAGACAAGGGTTTCGGCACCGAGGAGGCTGCGACTTTGTGCAAGTTGCTTGAGGACAACAGCTTCGACTTCGTCGAGCTGTCTGGTGGTACATACGAGAAGCTTGCTTTCGGTCACCAGCGCGAGTCAACTAAGAAGCGAGAAGCCTTCTTCCTCGAATTCGCCGAGAAGATCACACCTTCGCTCTCCAAAACCAAGACCTACATTACTGGTGGCTTGAAGAGTGCTGCCGCCATGGTGGACGCATTGAAAACTGTCGATGGTGTCGGACTTGCCCGCCCAGTGTGCTTGGAGCCCGAGTTGCCTCGCCAGATCATCAACGGCGAGGTTCATGCTGCGATCGACCAATTGACCGACGACAACGACTTCGGTATGACCAACGTCGCGGCTGGCACACAAATCAGGCAATTGGGCAAGGACCACCAGCCTATTGACCTGAGTGACGAGAAGAACTTTGAGGCGTTCAAGAAGGACATGGGTACTTGGGCTCAAGGCTTCTCAGACGACAAGACCGGAAGCAAGTACGGATACGCCGACATCGAGAGTGTTCAGCCCACTCCTTACGGCTCCGCTGCACCTGCCTCATAAACGTAGGTTGCATCAATAATGTGTAAATAAATAGATGAAATAGAAACGAACTGAACGACCAAGATCAATAAGTTGCTGTGTCCATTGCAAGTCAAACACCCAAGTCCACTACTAGCAATCCATTCAGGACTGCATCGCCTACTCCGGAGTCGGAGTGATAGGTCTTTCATGATACTCCTGTTCAAGAATCTCCCTAATAACCTCAACTCTCCATCTCTGCGTCTTCCTCCCCTCGTCTTTCTCACTCAACACAACCTCCCTCCTATCCTCCCTCTCGCCAACATCCAAGACTTTCAACACACCACTCGCTTCATTCCCAATCCACCACGTACCATCTTCCCACTGTCCGACACTCCAGTCCAGCGCATTTGCTGTATCAGTAGCGTCCGCCCGCCTCAGCACCGCTTTCGACGTGTCATCTTCGTAGACATCGAGTTGCCGGTTTGGCCCCAGCCACCATGTTCGGATGCGGTAGGTGGTGTTGGAGGTGGAGGTCGTATCTCTTGATGGCTCGCTGGCTTGGGGAGGGCAATGAGGTGTACCTGAAGGGGTGAATGACCAGTATTGGCCAGAGTAGTACCCTTCGCGAGTTAGTTTGAGGAGACCGGTACTGTTTTGTCTGCCGGCATCGTTTATGATGTCGAGGGTGGGGTTGGAGGGGTTCGAAGTGTTTGTTATGCGGTGGAAATGGTGTGGAGAGAAGGGCGGTTGTGATGAGGTTGTCATTTTGAATGGCAGTGGAAGATTGTGATGAGAACAATGGTTGGTGACGAACTGAGAGAAAGTGAAGACATTTGGAGCATCGTGAGTTTTATGCTTGAAGTATGATGATAGATGAAGATTTGTTGAGTGAACTTGGAACTTTCAGGTGGTCATTTGCTTAACAGATCGTATTTGCCGTCCTGTGGCGTTTAGCACGAGACATACAAAACGCATAGAACATTGCCCTATCACAAGGTTACAAACAAGCCAAGAAAACGACCGATTGGGGTATTGGATAAACTTATCAGGCAGCCAGGGACAAGATCAGGGGAGTGCGTCGATCACTTGACCAGCTGACTGTCAGCCACTAGGCAAGGCCCTCATTAGTGTCCCAATTGCGGCTGTTCATGTATTTTGTTGGGAAATATGGCGATGTTCGTGACCCGACAGCATAATTGTTGAGGCCGTGACGAAACGAAAGAACAGGGAGAAGAAAATGGAAGATGGCTGAGAATACATAAGATGACGTCATGCTCGATCATTGAATAGAATTATTCGTCCTCACAGTCAGACCGTGGCAGTTATTCTCGATAACACATGCCATGACTAGGCTCATCCCTAAAGATATTACGATATGAACATGGTCGATATGTTAGCATGTATAATTTCAAGAAAAACCGCAGTACGACTTTTCGTGATCGAGTATCGATCCATTCCTACCAGCCTGACGTCCCATCCTCGTTCTTGCCGTCATACAAGATCTTTCTTGGCTCTTTCTTCAGTCCATCCCACATCTCTTTACTGTAGTACCCAAAGCAAACGTCACAATCCCCGCATTTCCCGCAGCCTTGCGGTTCCCTGCGGCCGGTATACACATTGAAGACCCAATCCTCTGGTCTCTCACCCCATGGTCCAGTCTTGAGGTCGTACTTATCAGGCGCCTCAGGAAACTCGATCTGGTGAATTGGCTTGTTCCGATTTGTGAGTGTGTGGAGATCGACGCCACGCTTCCTTGCTGTTTCGATCGCGCGGCGGAACCAGATCTTATCCTTTTCCATGGGTTGAGATGGGCTCTTTATTCCACTCAAGTTTGCGCTGTGCTTCTCTACGTCTTCCAAGTACATGGCTAGTGTGCAAGACTCGGGTCCGAGGGCAGCTATCACCGCATCTTCAAAGCCTTGTTCCTCAGTCGGTTCCCATTGAACGTAAAAGTTACCAAGCGACCCCCAAAGAACTATTACCTCGTACTGCTGCACACATTCGAAAAAAGTGCGTTCGGCAAGCGCTCCATCGCTTTCCCACTCTTCTCTATCGTTTTTTATATTGTAGAGGGCTTCGAGTTCGAAATCTGAAATATCCATGCAGACATGCTTCAAAGCTCTGTGATCGTTGAGCTCTTCCGGGCGGAAGGCGCCGCAGCGATAGCCATGAATACTACCATTAGAGCCATAGCCGTAGAACATCAGGCTTTCGAGCGACTGTCCTTGATAGGTGCCTAGGCAGCTGACCCACTGGTCGGCGTGTTCAAGTAATGCATCGCCGGCGCGAAAACAGGCTGTTTGAAGGGCTGACGGAGCGGCCACAAGAGCATTGAGAGGCTCGTTGTCTAGCTCGCCGCAATTGTCCAGGAAAAGATGTTTGATGCTGCAAGTTCCGGCGGGTACTAACACGTCCCAAGGTACCTCATCGTCACGGTTGCCCTCGAGGTCTTTGTAATATAACCTTTCCAGGTGAGGTAGACGCAGGAATTGCACCAGTATCCCTATGCCGTTTAGAGGCTCTGTGTTAGGATGGAAGGCATCGTCCATCCAGGTCCCCGAAGGTAGGCCGACTGCGGCTGATTGTAGGTTTTGTAGTCCCGGGCCCCAAGAAGTCTTCTTGTTATGAGAATCGTTTATGAAGGTGTCAAGCCATCCAAGACAAGAACATGTTTCGACCTCGTGACGTGCTGGTAAGACAAACTTGGCATCTCGAAGTCTCGGACAATGAACAATAAGGAGGGCTTTTAGGTAAGTATCATGCCCGTCCAGGATTTGCGTACGTGCTTCATCGATACGCCGGGGTAGAAGACGACCCTGTCCCTGCTCCAGTCGCTCTAAATAATCGTCGATTTCGCCAGGTATGAACTCCCACGCTATCGGCGACTGCATACTCTGATCGACGGGTGTTTCAAAATCGAGCGTTTTCCACATGTCCCATCCTCTGCGGTCGTACCAGACTTCTAAGGATCGAACGTGCCATGCTAGAATAGGGTCACCGTATCCAAATGCGCTTCGAAGGAGAGTGGGAATCGTAGCGGGGTCAATATCAGACGCAACACCGTATTTCAGCTGGGCGTCGCGATGGCGCTTGAACACGTCCGTGGAACATGCGTATAAATGTTTGCAGGAACATGCGAAGTCGATATGGGATGCGGGGGGTATAAAATCGATTATACGATGAACGAGTTCAGTCGCAAGATTGGTGAGAAAACATGTATCGTCGGTATTGACTGTGTGCACGTCGCTCAGGTTGGATGGATGTGAAGGCAGTGAGGCGGTGAAAGAAGCTTTAGCTAGTTCGTCCATGTTGCAGTATGGAAGATCTACGCGAGTAAACCTATCTCGCTCGAAGACACGAGCATAGACATACTTTATACTGTCGTGAAAAGGTAACACGAAGCACGAGGCGTAGTCTGGAAGTGGTGCCCGTAGCTCGAAGTTCTAGGCGCCCTTCTGTTGCCTTCGGCTAATGGCATGCTAATTTCCGCCAGCGCTTCCAGCCGCGTTTTGTAGCTTGCACACGAGTAATGCGACCCTTATGGATGCCGGATTAGCAAGTTGTTGAAGCACGTCACCACAAGACCATGGAAGTACTTCTACGGTGGACAACGACGTGAAAGTGTGTTGAAAGTTGAGCTCTCGCGAGAAATGGTATCTAGTTCGTGACTCGTAAGCGTGGTGCGGGTACCGAGGTCAATTTGCTATGCGCTGTAGGAGCTGATGAAATACTGAGTGAATGTCAGCGTGGTGGATGAGAGCATGAGAAGTGCAACGTGCCGTCAAGACTGACTCGTCCTCGCCATTATCGTTGGGCAAGTACACGTAGAGAATGAGTGCATGCTCGTGACAGAAGCCTTTTGGAGTATTAGCATGCTGGTAGAAGTGGGCTTCGTGAAACTTACAAGCAATGACCCGCCCGCCCAGTCTGCCCACACTCATGACCTTGCCCCAATCCCGCCCGTCAATCCTCACTGTGGCCCACCCTTCTTCGCTACGCCCATCGGCCGACCCTAGCTGCTTCATACGCGTGCTCGGGTGTTCAGCAACGCCGTCCTCGCCGCCAGCGACGTGGCCAGGGTCTAGCTCCGGGTTGCTGAGATCGGTCCAGATGGAAGATATGTTCATGGCGTCAGATCTGATGCTTATCTTGAGGCATCCGTGCATATTGGCCGAAACATCTAGGCGGGTTCTCGCTGCGGTCGTCGCACTGCTTGCCTTGGTGGTGTCTGCCAGCGCTAGTTTGGTGAACCTGTCGCTGATGCTTTTCAGTTGCATCAAGGGCGGCAGTATGATGTGCACGTCCGGCTCCCTACAAACAGGCTCATGCAGATGGGCTACCGTATCCGGAGCAAGCACACGTATAGGTATCTCTTGCGTGATGATGGTCTCGCGGTTGCCTCCACCGAATTCGTTGTCGAAGGCGGCATCGAAGCCATCGTCATCGTCGTCGCCGTACTCATCGTCGTCGTCGTCCTCATTGGTTGAAGTTGTAGGGAAGGCGCTATACGTGTTCGAGGACGGGGTAGTGGTGACGGTAAGAGCGAGCACGGGCAGGTTGTCCTTCTTGGTGAGGCGTATCTGGGCCGACGTGGCATTGAAGGCCGATTTGAGGGCGCGATTCAGCGACGCGAGCGGAACTTCGAGGTTGATGACATTATCTGCAGCCGACTGCACGCTGATGCTCTCAAAGATGGAGTCCTACGCGGCGCATTAACCTCCACACGGCCAAGACGAGACAATATGCTTACAATTGAGAGCACACTACATTTGGTTAGAACGAGCGACACCAAGATACGAAGCGTCTACTCACGCCCATACTTGTGTGCCCTGCTCTGGTATGATGGTGAAGCATACCTGCTCCTCGCTGAGCTTCACCCACGCGAGCGGGCCGAGCGAATTGAGCGACGCTGTAAGCTCTAGACGGTGTCAGCTGCTATCTCACGTACGAGGCACGTGTACCTGCTCGTAAAGGTTGTAATGTTCTGTATTGACGCCTTGAAGCGCATCTTTGCGTTGTCGTAGCACAATGCAGGCGGGATGTCGCGACGCGTCGAGAAATGTGGAGGGGAAAGCCGCCCAAGCGAACGTCATCGCTGCTGCTTCACCAACGCCATCATCAGCATCATCATCATCATCACGTCTTCTTCTATCATCGTCATCGCGGATTAGTACTTCGGTATCGCATGCATTTTTCCAGGCTTAGAAACATAATATATACATGGCATATTCTCAACCCGTCTATTCGCCACTATGTAAGGCGATACATCGATACAGCAACGTCTAGTTCATCTCTCGGCCATGGTCTCCTCTAAACCGTCTGTCTCTGCACAGAGATGCCAGTGCTTGATATTGTCGTCTTCGAATACATCTGCCCAAACATTAGCCGAAGTACACGAAGTAACACGCACGACTAACCTGTCCACTGGTTCCTTGTATCTCATATCTTCCTGCGCCTGAGATCGGAACGTTCACGCCGCTCTTGGTCGTCGCAGTCACCGCAGTAAAAGATACCGTCCCGAAGTTTGGCGTGGCCACCAGCTGACCTGGAATTACTTGATATGCCTGGACGAACCAGTCTGCCGCAAGAGCAGTCAAAGAGGATGGGTCCACGCCGGTAGGGGCTGCGAGCGTCTGCGTCGTTCTTTTGTTCTGTGTCTTATTCTCGATGGTCACGGTACCCCCAGCGGTAGCCACATTGACAGTTACAGTGATTGAGTTACCATTTGCAACAGGAACAGTCGAAGTGGCGTCCGTCACTGGACCAGGAAAGTACGCAGAGAAGCTCTTAAGGGTACTGTTATAAACAATACCACCACCAAGGACGTTATCCTGCTCAAGCGTGTCACCAATGCCCACCCATATCGAGAGTCGATTGGTGCCCGACAGGTTCGGCACTGTAAACTGTACATGTAGTTGGTATACAATCACATACAGCATGGAAGCAACTCACAGTCCCTGTGACGGTGGCAAACGAGTCACCTGCTGGTGCTTTGAGAACAGCACCACCCCGATTCAAGTCAAACGCGGCAGATGCGGCCGACACGCAGCACGCCAGGAGAGCAGCGGTTCTCATGGCCAACTCAGAGCTGTCCAACAAGGGGAAAAAATGTCGTGTAACAAGCTGTCCAATGAAAAAGAGATGGGAAGGCTTCTAAAGTCGAGCAGCAGAAGAATTCGGTATTCCAGAAGGATATCTGAGATTTCAGAGGCTCTAGCTGACAGCACCACATGGACTATATTACTTTCAAGGAAGCGTACCCGGTTGATCAAGTCTCCCACCTTGCGATCAGATCCAGTCTACTCAAACAGCCTGTTCTTTTGACCTGCCGTTCGCCCAAGCCATGCAACTACCCTCCTTTGTCGTCATTCACTTTCCTCAGCTGGGCGCCCTGTAATGGTCCAATGAGCATGCGCAAATCATCTATAACGTACCAAGAATCCCGTACGAGTGGCATGCATTGATGAGGTACGGGGCCTGAATAATTAAAAGAATTGGGGATACTGGTACCCCACAACTTGGCGCGGCGGCAAATGGGATAGATTGAGGCTCGTGGAACCTTGTCTCAACGTCCACGAACATCATCCAGCCAAAATACCAAACAACCAGTCATCGCTTCCTTGCCACGTGGGGTGTCATTGTACAAGTGGGGCGTTACATGTTCCGCTATCCATCGATGCAACTGCCGACGAGATGTCAAGACTTGCGATATTCGACAAATCTCGGAGATCAACATCACTGGAGCTGTCCGGGCTCGAGGAGGGGCCGTTTCCAATCACAGCAACGATGTTGCCGACTAAATACGTCACGTTCACCATCGTAATGAGACTGTGCGAATTGCCCCAGCTGATCACGAAGTGCGCTCGATGCCACTAGAAGTACCATGACTGACATGGCTGCCCGATACGATAGGAGGAATAGACGTGAGTGGATTATGAGCAATCGGGAATGACAATTAAGAGACGTTGATGTGCACCGAACCCATCCATGCGATGCCAGCATGTATCCGCGTCCAGCTCAAGGATCCATAATTGCTCTAGCTCCATCCCAACACAAGATAATGCCCATTTTGATTTCTACCAAGACCGGATTATGCCTTTGCGACACAGCATACCCGCTCGGCGTTACCACCCCTGATCCCGGTGACATCGTATGCATATCTCACGCAGCTTTATAAGACGTGCTATACTCTGCGCACAGTTGTACTTTCATTTTGCTATCTTCCCTTACAGCTCACCACTCTCTTCAACATGAAGGCGTTCACTGCTACCGCTCTGGCGCTTGTCGCACCCGCAACTGCACTGCTGCGCTTCCCATGCGCTCAGCTAGTCATCGACAGGTTGGATCCGCTGGTCACGCCTGGCCAGGCTCCATCTCCACACTTACATCAAATTCTGGGGGGTAACTCTTTCAATGTTACCATGGACCCGGAAAAGGACATGCCAGGGGAGTCGACATGTACATCTTGCCAGTTCAGCGAGGACTTTTCCGTAAGCAATACTACTCACACCTCGACACGCCTGGGCCAATCTGACGAGTCTATAGAACTACTGGACAGCCGTGCTATACTTCAAAGCCCGAAACGGCACATACAAGCGCGTCCCTCAGATTCCCAACTCAGGCTTCAACGGCGTCAACGGAGGCATGACAGTATATTACATGCAAGATGGGCTTTACAACTTCCAGCAAACCTCCAAAGTCCAGGCCTTCCAGCCCGGCTTCCGCATGTTCATTGGCGACGTGAATGCCCGTACCAAGGAAGAAGCCGAGCGCTTCCGCCAATTGACATTCACTTGTCTAGACAACATCAATACGCGTGATCCGCAGACTCTTGATTTCCCCACCCAACCATGCAAGACGGGCATCATGACCGCAGTTCGCTTCCCCACGTACGTCATGCTCATCCATCTATCCGCCTTTGTGGTCCTACTAATACCCCACCTAGCTGCTGGGACGGAGTCAACCTTGATTCCCCAGATCATATGGTGAGACATGTCCCTTCACGAACTGAATATGAGACATATACTGACTTTGTATACCCACATCTTAGGCACACATGAGTTACCCCGAGTTCGGCTCCTTTGAATCTGGCGGTCCCTGTCCCGCCAGTCATCCCGTACGCATGGGTCAACTCTTCTACGAAGTCATCTGGGTACGAGACATCCCTAGACGAACTGTATCTGAGGGCATATACTGACTTCGTACACGTATCATTGTAGGACACAAGCAAGTTTAACAACAAGGCTGATTGGCCTGAGGATGGTAGTCAACCATTCGTCTGGAGTTTCGGCGATGGGTAAGCCCTCGTTACGATTCGTGCAAGAAAATGCGGCCACTAATGTTCGATGTTTGTCGATTAGGACGGGTTACGCGAACCACGGAGATTACCTGTTCGGCTGGCAAGGCGACGCGCTCCAACGTGCTCTTGACTCGCCTTGCTATCAGAACTGTCCTACGCTTAAGACGCAGAATGCTGCTGCGATGAACAAGTGCACGGTTCCGCGTGTCGTGAAAGAAGAGATTGATGCTTGGGTTAGTGAGCTACCCGGTGGCCACCAGGCGCAATATGTCAGGAAGCGGTGGGCTGAGTAAATTCGATACCCGTTCATGAAGTAGACAGCACCGAGACATTTCAGGTGGGAGTTAGGAAATTATAACTATTGACTATGACTGTAGGAGCTATCTGAGTTTGTAGAAACGATACGTGCAAGGCGCGCGTTCTTGGCGTCTTTTCTTGCCTTGCAGAACATAAAATGATGTGTGTAAGAAAGAGATGGTGATGATGATGGTATATGACTCCGGCCGAAAACGGCACCGCCGCGGTTTGAGACGCAAAATGGTCTTCAAGGAAAAAGTCGCTGTCGATAACAAAGGAAAATCCGTGATGGGAAGATTTCTCACGATGCGCGCGCGATCCACTCTCCAGAGTTGAGTCGCGAATGAGCCGGTCGAGCGCCAGCTTCTTGTCTATGGAGACTGCATTTCGCGCTGCCACGTATGCGTATCACAGTGACCTCGCTCGAGTCTGCTTCAGCCTGCATACTCGCGTCATCCCTTGCCCTTGGCGCTGGGCATGTGCATATGTCTTCAGCTCCATCTACCTCTACGTCGTCGTCTTCGAGGTATATTGTTGGTGCAACACTGCTTCCTCCATCTTCGCTCTTATCCTCGGATGAGCCTAGCTCCTTGTCCCAAGTCCCATGACTACCGTGTCTCTTCAGGCCTAAGCTCTTCACAATCTCCTCAAGTTCCACTGCGCTCACTCTGACTCTTCCACTCTTTTCTTTTTCAAAATCGGCTTCAGAGTCTTTGTGTGAGTCTCCACTGAGCTGTGACCAGTCACTCACTCTACGTGTGTGTGTGCTGACTGTTGACGCGGAGAAGCGTGACGATGGCCCTAGTTTCGTTGTCTTACGAGGAGGGCTGGACCGTGTCGACGGAGCCTCAATGTCAAAGTCGAGATTTGATTCGTCGTCGTGGAAACGCGATAAGCTGTGGTTGCCTTGTTGAAAGTGGGAGGGGAAATAGGCTGTGTCGGGCCTGTAGATGACTGTCTGACCTGAATAGCGGGAGTTGTAAGAATGGTTTGTTTCCTCTGGGTAAGTCTCGGAGTAGCTAGGAACTACCTCGTCGACATCGCCATGGAGTAGGTGAACGGTGCTACCGGCTACGGGGCCGGAGATGCCAACGGAACGTGGAGCGTCACGGGCAGCGTCAGCGGGACTGCGAATTGCTCTACCGAGAGGCAACAAGGTGCTAAGGTTAACAGCTATCATCGCGGTCAGGAACTCGCAAATTCCCCACGTGGTGAAGTTCAAGTCGAAGTTGTTACGATAGCCGACCTCGGCCCATGACGTGACGACCATCCAGGTTCTGATGATAGCTGCCGCGCATGCAAAGAGTCCCAAAGATACCACCGCAAGAAGATGTAGGGTAGATCCGAGCTTCAACGAAGAGCTCACGGCGATAGGGATCGTGAACAAGATCAATAGCAGACTTGATGCAGCATTGATGGCTGGACCACCCAGTCAGTACCATTTCTAGTATTCATGGACGGCGATACTTACGGTAGTTCGCCAGAGCCCAGTGCTTGGACTCGCTCTGCGACATGCACAATGCCCTAGCATCTGAAAGGTCCCAGGCCGCTACTAGAGGGACACATTGAGCGAGGAGTGATATGAACCACTCAACCGTGTGCCAAAATACTAGTACTGTGTTCATCAGCTTCTGCGTTAGATAATATCGTGGCTGTAGACCTACACATGAGTCCGATGAGAAGAATAGTGCGTGCCATCAGCAAGCACGAACGACTCCCGGCGTCAGCCAGAGGTAGAAGAGTAAAAGTAGCCGATAGCTTAACAGCACCCAGCCCTAAGATGACGAGTGAATTCAACGCCCACATCCATGGGCCCATCTGAACGGTCTTGCTGACCGGTAAGACATATCCATCCTCCTGCTGTCCGATACCAAGCTCTACGACTCCAGTGAATGTGATGAAGATTCCTATTGTGCATAGCTGTTTTGAGTGTTAGCTAATATAGAACCTCTTCACTCCAAGTTTCGAACGTACAGCGGCCAGTACCATGAGCCCATCATCGATGGCGAACGAGCGAACGAGCCTTCCACGAGTGAAGACTCTTAGCGAATAAATCAACAGCCCGGTCAAGGCCAGCGTGACGACGATGGCAAGATGGAGCGGCCCCCTGTCGGGGACTTGCCAGGGCAGAGGAGTTCCGGAGGGTGAGACCGCGCTGGCATTGACATCCATTGTGTGAGGTGACGATAATGCTGTCCGGTGTCCTGTGTCCTCCGCGAATTCATGCAGAGTTGTCGACCAGGCCGTGGGGAGTTGCTTGAAACGGGTGAATGTCTGATGAGAAGTACACGGGTGAAACGAACGTATGGGCAGGAATAAAAGAGCGTGGTCGAGAGGAAATGGAGGAGACCAGGATGTTTAGAGGAGAGCGTCTTGTACGACGAATTGAGCATGGCGTTTCAGCCCGGGGTAGCACCGCAGACACAGGCGCATGGTTCACGGCTCCTCGCCGACGTCGCTATAGAGATAGCAATGCTGCATAGGCGTAGTGGGGAGCCAATCGTCGAGTTGTCATAGCCTGCAAGGTACACGAGCGGGGATGATTTTGTTTTGCCGTTGAACTAGTCCTTTCTTTGCAGGGGTCCAGTGTCTTCCATGGTACAGCACGGTTGCTCTAGTGAAGCTATCAGCACCTGGTACTGATTCTCAGGTACCCTTCCGGAGTCCTTCGGTGCGCGACTGCTTTTCTCAAGGCTGATCTTCTGTATCAGGGACATTTCAGGGCTCATGAAGGTCTCTCAGGGTCAAGACGGTGAGGGTCTTTTCCAGCGCGTCGGTATACCTACTCCCTTATTCGTACCATGTGTATCTGATAACGGAGAGATGCTCTGTAGATGCGATGTCGTCACGATGAGACGATGCAGCTATCCGGACAAGGCAGATGATTTGCTCCCTCTCCACATCATGCAGCCAAAATTGTCTTAGTAAAGATTGTGGCTTGAGTTTCGAGCAGTAGTAATTCAGGACTGCTGTACAGCTCAGAAAGAACAAACAGAGAAAAGGAAGTCTCAAAGTCTAATGTCCTTCAGGGATGGATTTGTGTTATGGGTTCGTGTGGATGGGTGGGGAATGGCGCATCCTCGCCTGCATACAACTGGTCGAGCGCACCATTGCTTTTGCTCGTGATCTTCAGATTGACGAACGGGTTTTGCGAATTCCAGCGCCACAACGATATGCGAGATGCAGGAGATCTGTTGGAACGCAAATCCATCGATGGAAGATCTGATACGAGCTGAAATGCGGAGGCTGTGCCAGGGCACGCGAGGAGGCGTATCACGACACAGATGTCGTTAGGACAGGCTCGTGGCTCAGTGATTACCCAGGTCTCGACTATGCATCCCACGCAACAGCTGGCGGATGGTCGTCAACGGGATGAAACGTGTTTCTCAAAAAGCATGCGTATGTCGGAGTGCAACGGATCTGTGGAGTCGAGCAGGTCTTGGATGTGCTTAGGTTGGTAGCGAGGATTCCGCTTTCAGTGGCGTGGAGAAATTGTGGCTCGCGCTTTAGCTATTCATGGAGATGATCAGGACGTTAGCGGCGCGGAAGTCGTGCTGTGCCGGTCTTGGCACGCTAGCTCGGTTCAACAACTGGCATTTAGTGCTCTGGAGCCATACCATCTTACACTGGTGTATACGCACAGCACAGCGCCTGCCAGAATCCATCCCAAGTATTTCCTTTCGGTCCCGCGAACTACAGAATCAGGTTTGATCAACTACACCGTCAGAGGAAGCCTGATGATTGCCACGACTAAATATAACCGGGGTGTTGTTGGGGCCATGTAGGATACGCACCAAGTCTTCCCCCCTACCGCACAGGCGCTCGACCATCGCATCAGAATACACTGGAAAGGGTACATCTGTATGTGGTACGAATTCTGTGGTGCGACCGTGGAGAAACACTCTGGTCGCGCAAATTCTGCGAGAATAGACGCGATGTATACGGAGCCGGCGCAACACGCGCTTTTTCCGGTCAAAGTCGTGAAGGCTGAGGTCAAAGGAAAACGTGTCGGTGAGCCGTGTTGAGATATTGAAGAGAGCGGTATTCTTTGCCGCTGCCCATCATCACTATTCGGGATTAATACAGGAGAGTACATGTCGGTCTGAGATGTTGAGAAATTGGAAGGAGCGGTGACCTTCGCCGTTGCTCGTTACCAATCGGGTATAACACGTACCATCTGACCTGCTTTCAATACTACGGCAACTACGGCAATTGCGGCTACTATCGCCATATCTCCAGTGTCTAGCCGAGACGTACGTGTGCCGGCACTCTTCAATGAAACGACTTGCCCAAGTTTGGGGCGCAACGCGTACGACTTCTATCTTCGAGCCGTTGTCGCTGAAGACGCTGCAAGCAAGATCGATACAACTCTTTGTACGGATAGGCCATACCATAAGACGCTGCTGACATCTGAATCCGGGTTATAAGTTGCCCTTCCACTAGAATCCATGGATATTGTGTAACGGAGCTCTGGAGCAGACCTCTCGGCGGTGAGGGTTCGCCGCACGTGTGATTCGAGACAACGACAAGCCAAGCTGCAACGGTTCATAAGCGATGAGTATTGTTTGCGGAAGGAGTGTAAGCAATTACACATCCAGACCGCACTCAAGTTCTTTCCCATCACCTCCATTAGGTACAGTCGGGAGGGATACCGCGCGAAAGGTCTGCGCATTCGTCACTCAGGACACTTTCAGAGCTGTTTGTGCCAATTCCCAAGCTTAAGCATTGACGCCATTGAACTGATAGAAGCGAATTTTCTTTGCGGTAGTTCATCAAAGGCAGTTAACGCAACCTTCGAGTGAGTGCGTGCGTCTAAAGAACTGCAAGGAAACTACATTTGTCCTGCAAGGCGAGAAACATATACCAGTCTTCGTCCGATGTAGATGCAAATTGAAACAAGATCTAGCCAGAAGATTGAAAAAGGCCACACACACATATCAACTAACTTTTCGCACCAATCTTTGAGAATACAGTAGCTTCTAAGATCTAATCTTAGCGCTCGCAGATGCGACGTTCAAAGTAAGTAGTGTTCGATGTTTGTCTTTAGTCAAACCTCAAAAAGAGGTTCTTTCTCTTCTGCCGCACCATCCACCATCTCCGCCACAACAACATCATCCTCAGACCATCACAACCGCAAAAAGAATAGCTAGAGCAGATAATGCATCGGCCGGGAATCGAACCCGGGGCTAGCCGAAACTGTCCTGTGAAGGATGGCAACGGCTAATTTTACCACTAAACCACCGATGCGAAAGATGCTAAGCATGATAGAACTGATGACCTAACCAGGGGTCGCTGAGAGGATGTTAGAAACCGTATTCGAACGGGTGGCAACTGAGTGCTACTTACAACCTGGAATCTCTTGATATCGGACTGAGTCGTAGTCAAGCGCCTTGCCATTGGGCCATTAGGCCAGTTATTGCTTAGTAATGATGGAAAGACCAGGAAATAAAAACAATATATTTTAAGTTATTTGTGATTCTGTCAGACTGAACGGTTGAGATTACATTCAAAAGGCCGCATGGTGGGGCATTGTTGCGGCAGACTTTTTCTTAGTGAGGTTCGCCGTGGTGGGGCATGTATATCGACCAGTTCAACCGGGAACATCATGTCCATTATGGTAGCCTGCTGGCAAACAGCTTCGCTTGCAAGCACCTACAGACGCTCGCTGCTTCAGAGTGTGCGTTCTTTGCCCTTTACATCTATCGCTTGGATTACTTACTTCCACACCGTGTGCAGCAATGCAAAACCGCGATGCCGAACTCGACCGCGAGTCTAAATCATAGGGGATACAATGCGGAGTATGCCTGACTGTGTTCTCGTTGGTATGGTTTCCCTTCTATCATCCGAATGCTACAGGTCTGTCGCCAGAAGATTAGTGTGCAGGCTGTGACGTGCTCTAGCTTTGGTTTCCATCTTTGCTGGTTAAAGTGCTGCAAGTAAACATACTACACTAGCTATCTCTACGGGGCACTTCCTAAAAACTGATTGTGCTCAATCCCTTTATGCTTACGTCGCGAAATTTTGGAAGACGCTACAAAATGGGTGGGCTTCACGAATACACTGAGGACAGTCAATAAAGACGTCAGTGTAGACTTGTAACGTCTTGATGACAATGGCAATTAAGATTCGGACTGTCTGTAATTTGTTGCGATGTCGTGCTGTTTTATCTATCTCTCAACACGTCGAGCTGTTCCAAGCGGATGTTTATCACTTCAAGGATATTCCATGGAGCCTTTTAAAATCTTGATAGCTCTTGTGCTATTGTGATGGAAGTTGAAAAGATAACGGCGAAGTAGAAGCATTCAATATGAGACGATCACGATTAGGCAGCTGCGCTGCTGTCTACGAACGAGAAGCGAAAGAAAAGTAGGCCCTTGCTTGCTTGCTGTTACGAAAGGCTTTATGCGATTGGTCGGCTTCGGGGCGAGCCGGGGCGAGCCACGGATAGAAATTCTAACGAATTGCTAGGGGTACACCTCCAGCAAGCAGACCACGATATCCATGATGGGCGAGGAGTGCCTATTGGGAAGTTGGATCACGACCTTGGTCGTGATCTATAGTGGAAGCATCAACCAGCTACATTAGCGTGGCTCTAGCGCGACATCTTCTCGTGCATGCAGGTGCAACGTCCTACCCTCGCTTCCTTCTCGTAACCTCCTCATTGTCCAGATTTCATCAGAGTCTGGCTAAATGATCTGACAGTCCGGACCAGCAAGCAAATTACTTTCTACTTGGATGCAAATATACTCTTCGCGACAAGACACGATGCACTACCCCAGGATAGGAAAGAGACAAGACTTATTGCAGCGACAAGACGCGCTTAGCATCTACCCCGGAACCGTTGTACGGTCCGATTGGCTTGTGGACTATGATACTGGCTCGCTCTACTCTTGGTACATCCTTCGAATACACACAAACATATCGCCCGTGGTTAGACAAGGCACCAACCGGAACATGATGGAAGAATGCACCCCGAAGCTGATGCAAGACACCTATATATTTGGCCTCATGAGCACGATTTGAGTACCACACTGGCTTCAACTACTTAAGCACTCTGATATCCTCAGTGTTACCAAGATGAAGTCTGCAGCTCTCCTTGCCGCAGTATGTGCGACCGCTGTGTTTGCGAAGCCAGAGCAGGTCGCGCCTAGGGCGCTATTCACTATTGAAGTCGCTCCTGGAGAGACTACCCAGATCACAGAAGAAGAGAGATGGGAACTTTCCGCTGTCAGTAATATACACCTTGCTAGGATTCACCTGATCTGACTTTCTCCTAGAGCGGCGGCTGCGGAAGCCATTTCTTCGACATCAGTGACTCCCATGTCGCACCTCTCGCAGTCAGAGCAGGACCACCCTACCCCAAAAAGTTCAAATACCAAGAAAACGTCAAACGACTTTTCCCGAAACTCAGTTGGGATAACATCAAAAAGAACTTAGAGTACTACTCTACCTTTCACACGCGTTTTTCCGAAACCGAAACCGGCGCCGAGGCTGCGCAGTGGCTTCTTGGTCAGGTTCAAGATGTAGTATTGAAGTCTGGAAAGAAGGGCGTTACTGCCGAAGCCTTCCCACACGCACGATGGCCGCAAAACTCTGTCGTTGCGCGTGTCCAAGGACGAAGCAATAGGACTGTAGTTGTGGGTGCTCATCTCGACTCTATCAACTCAGCAGACCGAATGAATGGACGTGCGCCAGGTGTCGATGATGACGGTAGCGGATCGTTCCTTATCCTAGAAGCTCTCCGCGTATTGCTAAGCGACAAAGACTTCGGTCCAAGCAAGCTGCAAAACTCCATCGAGTTCCACTGGTACGCGGCGGAGGAGGGAGGACTGCGTGGTAGTCAAGACATCTTCACGCAATATGCGGCTGCCGGCAGGGATATCTGGGCCATGTTACAGCAGGATATGGTTGGATACACAAAGGGTACTCTTAACGCTGGAAAGCCAGAGAGCTTTGGTCTTATCACCGATTTCACGGATCCGGCGCTTAACGAGTACATCACTCGCGTCATCAAGGAGGTGAGTGCATGCAAATCAAGACATAAGCTAGCAGATCTAACTTCGATATAGTACACCGACATCGCATATGTCAACAGCACATGTGGATACGCGTGTTCCGATCATGGCTCTGCCATGAGGAGTGGCTTCCCCGCGTCGTTCGTCTTCGAATCTGCTTTTGAGTACCGAAACCCTTACATCCACACTGCCAATGACACCATGGAACACATGGATCCCGACCACGTAATTCAACATGGCCAGCTCGTCTTGGGATACATATATGAGCTTGGATTCAGTAAGCATGACTTGTAGGTAGTATCAGCGATGAATCAATACGCTTTCATCAAGATGTAATCAAAAGATGACTATTATGAACGCTAGACGATAGTAGCAGTTGAGGTGCCTGTCTCCTGTCGGGGCCTGAGAGTCCGCCTTCGTAGCTTCATCGTATGTTCTGCCTCCTACATCGACATGATGAGATACGAACGATACCTCAACCGTGTAACCAGCTGACTACTCCGAGCCAAATCAGGTCCGCCGTGCCCATCCCACAGCCTGGTCTATCTTCGGTAGCCACTGTCCTAATACACACTCCTCATTGGGGTTATTTTGACACTTGAAGTTCATTTCGATCATTTCTCTCGCGATGGACACGACACCAGGCATATGCTCGTCCTTTATGAGCAAAGGAGATTCGTGATCAAAGACCTCGCAGATCACACTTAGCGTATCTTTAATCTTCTCTTGAATGTCGGAGTCGAAGATGTGCTCGTAGCCGTACAGCTGCCTAGTTGCACACCATAGTTGTATGACGAATTGAGAAGCCTCGACGTCAGATGTGATCCGATCGAGCGTATTGGCGGTCTCGCGTTGACCAGGCATAAACTCCGGCTCACGACCGAAGTAAAAGAGGACTATATCTGGATGAATCGGACAGGTGTTGTGATGTTTGAGGTGATTGGTGAGACAACTACCACAATATACTCCGTGACAGGGATGAGATTCGCTTCTAATGCGGAGAGATAGTGCTGAGACAAGTATGTCAATAATCAAGAAGCGTGAAGAAGGATTTGTTGGCTCTTACGTGAAAGAAAACCTCCGCAGAGATCGCAGTCCACATTATTCTCGATGCATTCATCGAGAAAAGATTTGCGGTCCTTCAATGGCGCATCCATGTTTTCTTGTCTTTAGTGTAGGAGGGATTTGAAAGACAAAGGTGACTCGTCTTCAGAAATATAGAACAGAGAAAAGAGTTGACTGTACTTTTTCTTTGAGAGAGTGCTCAGACTTATATACAGCTGGGAGGGTGAAGAAGTAGGCCGTGAGTGGACTAACCTCGTGATAACGTGCCTAGATAAGAAGGTAGTCCTTGTTAAGGTGTTGTTATCAGTGGTGAAAGTGCCATGTTGATCTCGAGTGAATTTGAATTCTACCCAATGCGGTGGAAGTACCTCGTTTTCTTCGCAATATTTCAACTTCCACACCAACACTTCCCTCAAGCTGTACGTGTATCCTCCAACCTTCATCTTTTTGAGTGGAGAATAACAGCCATTTCCATAATGCACCTTCAATATCTCCCGTGCCAGCTTTCTAACACCAAGCAGTATTCGCTAAACACATGGGGGACCAGAGTGTGGTACTGGGCCATTGGAACCAAGCCAAAGTTAACGCCTTGCTCGATATCAGAATCGTAGGTAGTCTGTTCTCGTTTGTAGAGACCGTACAATGCCTTTCGAATGAGCTTGATCAAGGTTTTCGCCTCGATCCAGGCGTCAGGATGCTGAGCCAACTAAAAATCCTCGTTAGCGAAGGGTACCTGTCGCACGCCCTCGAAGAAATCAGGTTTGTCGAGCTTGAAGAAGGGCCACTGTTTGCCAAGGGGGCATTTGGGTAGTCCATACTCCGGATCGCAATCCCCGGCCAGTCTTCAAAAGCAATCAGTCCCAAATTTGTGATGACAGTTTGCGGGCCTCATGTATATACGATGACAGTTTCTGTCAAACGGTTCATGATCTACGTCGAACGGTTTTACACAAATGCCGCAGTTGGCAAGAACAAAGTCTTCGCTAAGAAAGTCGCTGCGCGAAAGAAGATCTGCGCTCGGTGCTGCCATTGTGTGGTTGTTGGGGATCTTGCTATCGTTGGGAAATGGGACAATGTTGTTGAAACTCAACGTTGACTTGACCAGCTGCGACCCTGGAAACAGTTGCTACCAAGCATGCTATAGTGATGAGAAAAAGCCGCCTATAATGTACGCCGTATTTTTATAGTCGGAGGATGCTTCCCTACACGCATTCAATGTCGCGAATGTCCGGGGAATCCGAAAGTCCTGGTGGCTTCCGCCGGCTCTCCGCATTGGTGGAGTCCAGCGGTTGTGTTTACGCCTTTATGTCTCGGTGGGTGCAAAAGCAAGACCGACACGGATCCGCAGCCCGCTCAGATGTTGAAAGCGGACACCAAGCCAAAAGAACGCTAGTCTAACACTAGCAACCATGAATGCTTTATACAATCACCGCCGCCTTGAATAACACTTGAATGACAGAATCGAGACAACAAGAAGAACAGTAATGTCTGGCTCCAAAAGCAAAGTTTTTTGGTGAGCGTGAACCTCAATGTGCGCGGTCTTCTCCCCGTAGGGACTTTGGGGGTAAAGACATGACAGTCTTTAGCTCAACACCCAAAGGAATGTCGCTGGCAGGACTGGATGGATGCAACAATGACGAGCCTTTCCTCGAAGCCATAACTGATCGGTGGGTCGAAAGATTGGTTGACTGGTTCTGTTCGTGCATACCGTTGGAGGTCGAAGGAGCATCGAAAGAATCAACACCGCCGGAGGACTCAATATCCGGCGATGATGGATGTAGCAGTGTTGATTGCCGTCGCGGCTTCGGCATTTCGACATCGCCATGATCTGATAATGAAACAGTGCTGCATCTCTTTCGTGTTGCCGACACTTGACAGTCTGTCTCAAACCATCCTACGTCGTTGAAAGGGTCTACGATAGAGTCGATCGAGCTACGGCGTAAAAGCTCTTGCTTGAGATTCGGGCGCCAGCTCGGCCTGCGGTTCGATGGAGGTTGTTGGTAGGGATGGTCGCGTTTGCGTTCAACACGTTGTGTTCTTCGCACCCTGAGCGGCGTTACTGTGGTCTTCGGCGATAGTGGCGGTGAGGGAGGGTATGCGTCGGTGTCGGTTTCTATGTTGGCTGCATGCGATGCCTTGGTTTGGTAGTAAAAGGCCCTGAGTTCTTTCTCATAATAGCTAGGTGTTGTGGATAGACTGCCTTCTCCGCGCTTGGCTATTCCGCCTCTTCGTGCAAACGGCCTGGGGTTGCTGTAATCTCTGGATGAGTTTCGACAAACGAGGGCATCAGCGCACATTTTGGCAAGTTCAAGTTTTGTTATCGTGTAACCAGGCTGGGTCTGGGAAGTTTGAGTAGACAAAGCGTTGAGTGGTGTAGGTAGATGATCTTATGATCTTCTTACAACGGAAGTCAAGCATGTATATTGGATTGACAGCTACTTGTAAGGTCAAGAGAGGATGACTCGGATACATTGACCTAATTTATTGTATATGTCAACGTGGCTGGTCGCACGGTTGTTGTGAAGCGCGGGCATTATCGAAGATGGTTGGTGCCCTGCATGGACGACCGTTGGCACAGTAGACGCCAACATGCGCACACTGCAAGCTTGGGGCCTAAAGAACAAAGACTAGTAGATGCGAAAGGCAGCATGGCAGCTGAGATGGCTTGGATATCCTTTCACCGCTTCTTGCTCTGTGGACCAAATACCGATGTTTCTATGCTCGCTTGAATTGCCTCGATGGATTCTCCCTGCGTGCGATTACGACATCCGTGCCAAACCTATAGTCTGCGCGTGATTTTGCTTGTTTGTGATCGGGCAGTTGGCAGACCCTGCGTCTAATGTTGGCGCCCGGTGCAGGACGGACCGATCAGTGCGCCCGAATACTCTGCCCTGCATAGTTTGATTTCCGAATCAAGTTATAGGCAGTTTGCGCGGTGCCAATTTCATCACTGATTGCGTTCAGAATATCCAACGTGCGGATTGTGGTTGAGCTGGTGCTGTCGATTTCGTACGGTATCCGCACGCGATCAGAACACATCCATCTCCTGGGTAACACGCTTTCCGAACCAGTCAACCAGTTCGTCTCCACCACCTTCATTCTTACCACTAAAGAAGTCTGTCATGCGCATGTCGTTGCCATCGTCTTCCGTAGGCCATTCGATAGCGACGTCGGGTTTCTTCCCTTCTAGAAGCTCTTTGGCGGTTCCCCACGAAAAGCGAGTCTCGCTACCCCAGCCAAAAAGAGGGTCCATGTTCTGCTTCAGCCAGGTCTGTGTCCTTGGGTCCGACGGGTATCCGGAGCCCCAAGCCACCTTGACTTCAGCATCTTCGTTCGCCTCGGTAGCGCGATTCTGGTAGGGTTCGTAGCAGACGTCCAGGGCGGCGTCCCGGGTAACCTTGGCACACACTGATGCCGCACTGACACAAGGGTATAGACTATCGGCCTTCTTCGCGACTGTAATCCGTATTGTAGGCCATATCCTCTCTAGCTTCTTCTGGTAAATTTCTGGTTTGCCAATGGTGTCGATGTAGATCTCCTTGACATTCACTCCTTGAGCCAGCACCTCCTTGATCAGGTCTATGGTGGCATCCATTGCTTGGGCGTTGAGATTGTATACGTTGGGGGATAACATGTGCGCTGAGATGTCTTGAGCTGACATGACGCGTGTTGCCCATCCGCCGGCCTCGTAGAGATCTGAGCCCTTGGTGCAGAGCTTGCGCATTAAATCTGTGCGGACTTCAGGAGTCAGGACCTTGGAGTCATCGAAGTGGTGCGTTTCGGCGAGGAGAGAGTGATGCAGTTCGATGGGTAGATAGAAGAGTCCGTACACCATGGGTCCTGAACATGTTAGTGACTAGAAGGGCTCTCATAAGGCAGTCAAGTACCCAAGACAGGACCTCGTCCAGCTTCATCAACACCTAGCACGACTTCTGCGGACATGTCGTCTGCTATTCGTTTCGGTATTGGTGAGAAGTGCGAATACGACTTTCCGCCGAGAATGCCTGGCTTGGATATTGAAGGTGCCATGAAGACATCTGAGGGCGGTGTTTCCAGCTCAATTTCTTGGGTGTCCATCTGAACGTCTTCCTGTGGTTCTGCCATCCTTCTTGACGTATAGCTTTGGTGGTTTGATCGTAGGCGTAATGTGTTGTATGTCGTTGCAGAGCAATCGGAGGGGGGAGACGCGACGCGTTCTTCGGCGGCTTCGACGCGACGGAGGCGCTAGCGACGTGAATGGTACCGAAGCACGGCAGAAGAACGGCAGAGCCCACACACACCTCATGCGTACACGGCACGTTGCATGCCGTTTTCAACACTTTTCCCCGAAACCTACTGCAATGGGTAAGTTGGTGCCGGCAAGTCATGGTCGTGCTACCACACAAAGTGACTCGCTGCATGAGTCTCGCCGAAGCCAGTCACTTTTCCCCCGGGGTGGTTGCATGGATTGCGAGATGGGTGGTAGCACATTACAACACGACTACGGAACTGCTACATACGAGATCAATTGCGCCTATTTGACAGTGTTGTAGATCGCCTTGCTCGGACCACTTCGAACATTCTCTTGTACCCAATTTGGCAATCCTCTCAACAAACTGATTTTGTTTATACTGCTAGGCAGGAAGACCTGTCCGCCGCTGCAGCCCATGATCCTTCCAACAATCGCATCCGCGACGGCAGTCGGCTCAATAATTGCAGATCCCTGCTTCTTGAGCTCCTGTTCTACGGGTGCGAGAAGAGGCGTGCGAGCCCAATTGGGATGTATGGATGTTGTCAGTACGTTCGGGCTGTTGTAGTGGAGCTTGAGTTCCTGGTTGAGCGCTATCATGAATCAGCATGCTGCATCAAAGAGTAAAAGCAAAAATCGTACCTTCATGGAAGCCGAGAATGGCCGCCTTCGTCGCACAGTAATCCGCCAGACCAGCGACACCAACGAAGCTCGCAGTACTTGCGACTGTCACGACATGGCCCTTGTTGTGACGAAGCATATCTGGCAGGAACGCTTTGGTGGTATACCAGTTGCTGAGCACATTTACATCGAAGATCTTCCGGAGATACACGTCGGATGTGGTGAGAATGGTGTGAGAAGCTAGGATGCCGGCATTGTTGATGAGAATAGTCGGTGAACCCATCGTTTCCTTGATCTTTTCGGCGATGGAATAGACTTCGGATGGGTCGGTAACATCGCATTTGAAGAACTTCAGACCGGCATCTATCAGGCGCGTCAGTACCAGGCAATAGCTACCACAGTAAGTGATGGTTCGTCTTACAGCCCTGCAACCCGGAAGGCAATTGCTGAATATCCAGCACTGCTACCCTTATCCCTTTACTGATCAATCTCTTGACCACCAGCTCCCCGATTCCGCTACATCCTCCTGTGACGACTGCCACCTCCCGGCTCCAGTTCCACTTTGCCTTCTCACTTCGCAACCTGCCTGCATTTAGGGCAATGTGGTTAAGCTGCTTGTTAACAACTGATGCCGTCCCAGCTATCAGACACCACTTCAAGGCCTTCAGAATCCGTGCATATCTGTGAGGGTCTCGAAGAGCAGGGATTCGAGTTGTGAGTTGGCTACGAAGTTGTGTAGGCCCTTTTGTCAACGCCCATAGTAGGGTTGCCGTCACTAGAGGGTTGAGTGCAATATGACCGGCAGAAGTCGTAATGAGACTGAGAAGATTTTGCAATATTTTCGACATATCTAAGTTCACATCTGAGGTGCGCAAGTGAAACCAGAGTGCGGACTCTGAGCATTTCAAGAAGAACGTCACTTGTGTAACTTTCCTTAGTGTATATAGGGCGTTGCGGGTCCGTTTGCATCAAAAGAGGGGACTGAGCAACGCCAATAGAGTCTAATTGAGGGGACTCGCGCCGACGATGTCGATGCCTCGGCTTCTCAGTATCGAATGCCTACGTTTACTATACGAGCATCACTTTCCAGTGCGTCGAAAGCGGAGTTTTCGTCAGTCTCAAATCGGACAGTGAAGACTATATACTTCGACGAGGGCATGCATCTCAGAGCGTTGGTATATGCCCCGATATATCGAAGTCAACCCCGGACTACACGCTAATCAATGGAGACCATGACGTGCCACGCGATAACGTCCTGCTCATTCCCAGAATTTTGAGGACTTCTCAAAGAATGCAACCGCCTTGTTGACAATGCACATGGCCATTGTGCTGTTACTGGCACCCTGCGTCATTTTTCTGAAGCTGTTCTGCAAGAATACATCGGGGCGTGGCAAATGAGAATAGAAGGCGCAGCTGTCGGGTGCATTGCTTCTCGGGTGCAGAGGTCCGCATTGCCTGAACTAAGATCTGATTGGTTGGTATTCAAGCCAAGAAGCGCACGTGTTGCGGCTTCCTGCCACGAGCAACTCTATCAAGACATCGCAACGAAGGCTTGCCATCCGAAATCACTCGCGATCGATATCTTCGCATATGTTACTTTGTTTCCGCCGATGGTTGCATACAGGCGCACCGCTTTAGCCGGTCCCACGGAGTCCACCCTGCATCCCTTACTGATTGGCAGATGCAAGGCGCGTGCGGGGAAATGCCTGGTTCTCGATTCTGAAACGAGAGCGGTCAGGACCTACCTAACCGCATTGGCTGCGTTGGAAAACGAGGCGCCTCATTCGAGAGGATCGTCGTTGTCGTAAAGAGAAGCATACATGGCGACCATGATGGATCAAACGACTGAGCAAGCGCTGGCTAGTACCGCCTGATCATCAAGCACATTAGTATCTACAGGCGACAGATAACAGCTTTGTTATGGTAAGATCCAATTCATGCTTCTGCACGACATGTCTACCATGCTGGCGCGGCATGCGTAGCGGCATGCGTCGGTGTTTGAGATGATCTATGCCCCGCCAGTCCTTCGGCCGTGGAAGCTACACTGCCCCTCCTTGTACTGTATTGCGGTACTACTCGGTGCTGCAACCTTGACTGGTTCAGCGACTTTCTGGGCGAAAAGCTGCCGGATGACGTGAGGGTATTGCGCACCGCCCGCCGGCATCTCCATCCCACTCCAGGGGCCTGGAACACGCTGTAGAGAAGCATTCAGAACCACGTTTGCCGCGCATATCGAGCTAGAGTGGGTCGGATTAAATAACGGAAGACTGTGACAGCTGCGCAGAGGTGTGTGAAAGGCTGGGACGACGCGCAGAAGGCGGGATGCGATGTACGATTAGCTGTTGGTTCCGAGGCAATGACTACAAGGCATTCCCAATCCTCAAGATGAGGTCCGCCCTTGGTGCTAGGTGCTTTTGTAGAGTAGGTGTGCATGTACAGTAGAAGACTTGCGGGAGAACAGGAGGGTCCAAAACCTCAATTGGGCACAGTACGCGACAAGCAGATGCGCAATATGTGCGGAATCCCACCCAGCACTAGTTGAGCGCCACATCGTCCCCTGATCAGTGATGGACCCTGAGCTCTTGAGTTCAACGCTCCACTCCCGCTCCATCTGTAGACTTGCTCTTTCGGTGCCTGAAGTTTGAACCGTTGGCCAGCACATCCAGGCTTTCTCAGACTGTCCTTACCCACGACTCGTGCTGTGCATAGGCCGTCAAGTGCGCGTTGCTGCGACCCGCTTCATAGCGACTTCCGTTCCTGCCTACGTACCGAGCCTCCAACAACGATTCCGTCCCAACCCTGTAAGATCAAGAACAGCGAGCAGCGAGGGTAGTAAGGGCCTTTGCCCTGTGTACGAATTATCTGTATGTAACTGCGCTTTGCGTGTGCTGCGACAAGTGGCTGCCGCTCTCAGGTGAAACCACACCGCCCGCCAATCCCCCACACCAGCTTCCTGCCGAGTCGCGCTGACCGAACTGGCAGTGTATTTCTAGTGTTCTAGTCAGTATGGCCTACCAAGGCATGGGAGGAGGCAACGGCCTCAGATCTCCTCGCGAAGAGTCGTCGTTCCTTTCCCTGAATCGCGCCGCTCAGAACCAGAACGGCGACGGCCGCGCGACCCTGCAGCGCCGCTTCACGACCAACAACATTCCCACCATGAGTACACCACTGTCGCCAATCGGGCAGCAACGCAGACAGGCGGCAGAGCCGACCGAATTTACTACAGCGGTATGTGGGCACTCTCGTACAAGTAAGAGGCGGACGTCAAGTGTTGGCGCTCCGCGGCGCTTTGCACACCGGTACTCAGCAGCTGTCGCAACCATGTCGGAGAGACGTGAAACGGAATCATTCAGCTCTGCTGCTTGCTGAAGTTGCTTTCTGTCAGCTGCATATATGTGTATTCGCGGTGAACAAGAGTTTGGGCTAACGACCAATGCCAACAGACGTACCACAAGCTGCAAGTTGTAAGTCTACTTCACTACGTCTTCTATCGCCTCTCACTCGGTGCCCCTCATTTCCCACTGCAAGTAAGATTGCAATGGCCAAGGTCGCCTGACCAGGCGACGACGCGCAAATAGGCCAACAACTGTCTCTCGCCTTTGTTCCTCCTACACCACAACAAAAGTTCGCCGTCTCTGCAAAAAGCCTCATTGCTACTACCACGCCTGTACATCCCACGGTCTCGATTCGAGACTCTCATTCCTTATCTACATTCTCATCTTTTCCCATTTGCGCTCATTTTACGTCAAGAGCGACACTGTTGCCTCACGACAAACCCTCTTGCCGGTCCGCGTGATCAGCTAACAGCTTGCTAGCTTGAGAGGAAACGGATCGAACACGAATATCTCAAAGAGGCGAAACGGCGCTTCGACGCTGAGATGGAGCTCCTCAATCTGCAAGCCCAGCACGGCGAGACTGACATCAACCGATTCTCAAACGATCACTACGGCGGACCTGCTCATAGCCAGCCCACCACACCGCCTGAGTACAGCGAGGTCAACGGCTTCCCGTCTGCACTATCGCGTCCAAACCGTTTCAGCATGTCCAGTATCAATCCGGCCATCACTACACGCAGCAGCCGCGCCAACTCTCAAGTCACTTCCCCTCCTGCCAACTTCCAGGGCAATGGCAATCTGCCTTCGCACTCGATGCCAGGATCTCGTCGTAACTCTGAGGAAGAGCACGATGACTTTGAGAACGACGACTTCACCCCTCTAAGTCCAGCTGCCCGCAAGTAAGTTCACCTGCCACGACTCCACCTTATGCAGAGCTGACTGAATTAGGAACAACCGCATGTCAATGCCCGTTACTAGAATGGACTATGGCAACCGCGGCGGTCTCCCAGATGTGACCTCTCTTCTAGGTCACATCGACACCGCGGGTTTCTTGTTTGGTGATGACGCTGCTGCCTCTCAAGACCACAAGGCGTTCCTTCAGATGGGCAACACAAAGGACGACTTTCCCGTCCTGGTCCGCCGCGATGGTGCTGGTAATGGTACGAAACTCTCTGCGTCTTCCGCTGCACTTGATTTGGCCCTCTCACAA